GAGTTCAGGCTTGGGATCAGGGCTCAGGGTCAGAGTTCAGGCTCAGGGTCAGGGCTTAGGCTCGGGGTCAGGGCTCAGGCTCCCTTCGGCATCATTTTACTCCAGGGGTTCGATGGGGCTGTGACTCGGCCGATGGCGGGTCAGCCGCTGTGAGTGCCCAGGGCTGTGCGTCTCCAGCCTGCAGGGGCCACGCTGGCTGTTCTCTGGTGGCTGCTGCCATCCCAGCGCTGACCCCCAGCATCCTCCCCCTGCTCTGGCAGCGTTTTCCAGTCTCAGGCGGAGGCGGCGGGGGCGGGTCGGGATGGGCAGGTCACTCCCGGGGAAAACGCAGAGATGTCTGGGGGAGGGCTGGGCTTAGAGTGTGTCCCCAGCAAGGGAGGTCACCTGTCGGGCCTCAGTTTCCCCACCTGGAAAGTGGGGATGAGGGTCCCGACCCCACAGGAGTGTGGTGGTGGTGGCAAACCGCACGTGCCGGGTCAGGAACCAGGGTGCCAGGCCGAGGCGGGGCCTCCGGCAGCCAGCTCCGACCTGCCTGCTCTCTGGCCCCTGGGGCCAGGTTTCTCCTACACGGAAGAGGGAAGGGACAGGTGTCCCGTGCCTCCCACAGTGGGCGAGGTTTCCAGGGGAGCGGGCTCCACCCACCCAGTCACGTCGAGTCAGCACCTCGCCCCGGCTCCCAGGGCTGCTCTGGGGACCCTTGCACCTGCGGGGGGCGGGGGGGGGTGACTCATGCTGCCGGGCGGCAGACCTGCGTCTGGGTCGCGGCTTCAGCTCCATCCGGGGGACAAGCCGCTGCTTGTCTGCAGCCCGGGGTTGACATGTCTCCCATATTTAGCACACCTGGAGCTCACCTTTGTACCTGCCGTGGGGGCGGGGCAGCCTCAGCCTGATGCTCAGCCTGCGGCAGCTGCTGTTTCTGTCACGTCCCGGGAGGAGGCAGGGAGGGAGCGGCGGGCGGAGGGAGCCTGCATTCACAGACGCTGAGTGGCCTGGGCCGGCCCACCCAGCCAACTCCCCCCCCAAAGCCGAGGCCTGTGGCCACATGGGCCTCACGGCCGCCCTGCTGCCTGGGGATGAGGTCTGCGGTCCGTCTGCTGCCGTCAGCATCAGCTCCAGGGTGGGAGCCCGCCCGTCTGGGCCCGTGCCAGGGCTGCGAGTCATGCCCACGGCCAGATGGGCCAGCTGGGTCAGACGCAGCCGTGGGCCGCAGGGACCCCTCCCGAAACCGGGAAGGGCGGCAGCAGCGCTCCGTGGGGGTTGAGGGAATGAGGCAGGTCAGGCAGGAAGCCGGGCAAGACGTGGGCTGCGTGGGCTGCGGCAGAACAGCCCCCGATGCGAGAGTGAGCAGGGCACCCGTGGGCATGTGTGAAAATTGGACCCTTCTCCCTCCTACACACTTTACAACCTGCTCCTGTCGTTGGGGTGTTTGTGAAACGTCGCCTCAGTGAGCCCCGCCCACGCTCTCGGCCCACGCTGGACTCAGAATCCCGCTGTGCAGGCCTGCCCGCCTTTATTTTATCTCCCTGTTATTGCTCAGCACGGCTGCTGCCGAGTCCTCGTGTGTTTGCGAATCGCCGAGGTCAGTGCGTCTGCAGCTGAATCGCCCCACACGCCCAGCATTCGGACTCGGTCGTCTGTAGCGACACCTCCCCGTTGGCACGGTCCCCCTGCGGGCCGGGGCTGGGAGCATCTCGCCGAGCACCCTCCGGCGGAGAGCCCTGGTGCACCGCTCCGTGGCTGTCCTCGGGGTGCTGGGCCCTTGGAGAGGGGGCTGGGCGTGAGGTCTCCAGGCTGCTGTCACGGGCACCCACACACACATCTGCAGCTGGTGCTCAGCCCCGCCCAGCCCCAGAGCCTGGTCCGCAGCCCTGACAGCGGGGACAGTGAGGCCCGGACCTCCGGGCTGGACCCCGGAGCTCGGGCAGTCTGCTCCCTGGGCCGCAGGCCTGCTGTCCCTGGCCGAGCCCGGCCGGGGTGTGTGAGTGTGAGCACACCTGAGAGATGTGAGAACCAGCAGAGCAGCGGTGGGCAGGCAGCCGGGGCGCGAGAGGGGCCCGCTCCCAGCGCCCTGCTCAGAGGGATTTGCTGGCGGCCACTCCAGGTCACCCTGGTATCTCTGGGACACCTTCCTCAGGCTGCCGGCCTGCCTCTTTCTGCCTGGGCAGCATCAGAAGCTAAAGTTTGGAGCCCAGCACAGGGGCACTGCTCCTGTGGGTCTCGGGGACCCACGGGGGTCGGTAGCACCAGCATCATCATGGTCCAGTGCCGGTAAGAGGAGGCAGCGAAGCCCCAGGGCAGGGGTCCTGGGAGCCTGGTTCTGGAACTGCAGGCTTGGTGTGGGCTGCCCTGACGCCACCCCTTACCTTCCTGGGGTGCAGACCATGCATCCTTTCTGCAGAAGTCCTTACTGCCCACTCAGCTCCGCGCCCAACCTGTGCCCTTCAGGCCGCCCTGAGCGGGACAGTGCTGGGACCGAGCCTGTGCTGTTGTGCTGTTGCCTGTCTGAGCCCAGGCCCCGCCCAGAGCCCGCGGAGCTGCTGAGGGAGGTCTGCCTCCTGAAGCACCACCTGTGGACGTGAGGGAGCTGACGGGCTGCTGGCGTCGGGCACCTAGACCCCGTGGGGAGCCAGGGTCAGTGTGTCTGCTGCCCAGGGTCCGGGGACCCTGAGCTGAGGCTGTGATCTGGGTCCAGGCCTCAGACCTTGACGCCCCGCCCTGGAGGCTGTCCCACCCGCCTTTTGTCTCTGAGCTGCGTAGGAAAAGGAGCTACAGTGTTAAAGGTCACGGTGGGGGGCACCCTGGGGAGCCAGCCTTGGGAGCCCTCTGTCCCTGCCCTTCCCTCCTCCCCTTGGGAAGCTCTGTGGGCCCAGGTGGCCGGAGCCCGTTGTCCGTGGGGTGGGGGCGGGGACGGGAAGGAAGGGCAGGTGTGTGTGTCTTCATTTTGTTCATTAACTGGGACGAGGCCGAGAGGCGGAGGGAGGAGCTGGGAAAATGTCACCCTTTGACATTTACCTTTCCGGAGAGGCAGGCCCGAGGGGCGGGGTCTAATCTGGTCTCCAAGCTCAGCCTTGGGGAAGCCGGCCCCCTGCGGGCGGTGCCCCTGCTCCTGCCCTTTCTCAAGGGGCCAGCCCCCCTGCCCGGCTCTCCTCACTGCAGTCTCAGGGGTCCCACATCTGCCCCCAGCATCTCGGCTCCCCGGGTCCCCGGAGCGGGCCGTCCTGTGGTCTCACACAGACTCCAGCCGGGAAGCACGTGGCCCAGGCGGGCGCCTGCGGCAGAGCCGGGCACGTCTAGCGCTGCAGAAGGAGCCTCGCTGTCTGGACAGGACCCTGGAGTCGGGCCCTTCTCAGGCCCCTGGTGACGGGTTCCAGCTCCGGGCCGAGTGGCCATGATATCCGGGCCGAGGCTGCCGTGTCCACTCCGGCCAGAGGAGCCGAGCTGGGCCCGGTGCCGAGGGCCCACGGACACGTCGGGGGCCACCTCCCGTGCCCGGTGCACTCCCTGCGGCTGCTCCCCCATGTACGTAGCTCCGCCTCCGCACTCACGCCAGGTGGGCGATCGGGCTTTGTCTCCTGTGTCCGCTAGGCCGCTGGTGCGGAGGGGCTCAAGGGGCGGAGGGGGGTGGCGGTTGATTCGTGGTGTCCGGCACGGCACGGCCAGGACACGAGAGCGGCGGCTTGTGTGCCCTGGAGTTGCCAGCCTTCCGGCCCCCCCGCGCTAACACTTCTTCTGTCAGATGCCTGGGAGGGCGGCTGGCAGTGTTGCTCCGATGCCTGTTCTCTGTAAATATTTAGAGCTCTTAACGCCAAGAATAACATCCAAAGCCCAGTTGCTCGTGAGAGAGCCCCGCCCCCCCCCCACCAGGGCTGCTGAGCCTGGGGCGCGGCTGGGCCCGCTGCCCAGCGAGCCAGCCCCTCAGGTTCACGGCCCCGTGGGTCCCGGCCCCTGGAGCACAGCTGGCCGAGTCTGCTGTCTTGCAGGCTGAGAAACAGCCCTTCTGGCTGGTTCGGGTTTTGCCCTCAAGCCTCTGAAAAGTTGCTGCTAGGAGGAGAACAACCTAAAAGGAATGTGTCCCATCCGGGGCGCCTTGGGCAGGTGACCCCACCTGTTCTCCTGTCTCCAAACCTGCGCGTCAGGACAGGCCATGGCGGGGCGCGGGGGCTCCCCAAGGCGAGGCCCGTGGAAGGGCCCCTGGGCTCAGCTCCCGGGGCGCCCCGCTCCCAGCAGGGTGTCTGGAGTTAGCAAGTGGCTGTCACGGGCCACGTTCAAGTTCTCTGTTCCCATTACACATTCGTGTAAACACACCCAAGCACTCGTGCCATGCACATACAAGCTCGCACACTCACGCCCATGGACACACAGAGACGAACCCCCTCACGTGTGCTCACACCACGAAGTCTCCCAGTGGGGGCTGGGCTCCGCTTCCTGGGTCCCCCGCGAGTCCCGGCGTGGATGGGGGCAGCCTCTCGCTGTGCCCGAGGGTCACACTCTGCACCCGCCTTCCCGACTGTCTCCCGGGATCTCCGGCAGAGCCTGGTGCCCGCTTGCTGCCAGTCATTTTCACGATCTGTTCGATAACGTCCCTCCCCGTCTGCCCCCCCGCCCCGGGGCTTCTGCAGCCGGGAGTGGGGTGGGTGCCGCTGTCTGCTGGGCAGGCCAGGGTGGGGCCTCAGCCCAGGCGAGGGGGAGAAGTGGCCGAGGCTGGTCGCCGAGCGGGTCACAGCTCACCTGTGACCAGCCTGCCAGTCTGGGGATGTCCTGCCGGGGCCCCTCCGCCCTCAGCCTGGTGGCCCTTGGGTATCGGTGCACCAGAATGACGAACTCGGTGCCATCGGCACGAAGCCGGTGTCCGGCCCAGCCGTGCTGCGCTGGGCTGCTTTTCCCCCCCGAGGTGACAAGGACTCGGTGTTCTGTGCTCTTTCCACAAAACCCTCATGACAGCCCTGCCGTGACTTTGTTTCCTCGTAACGTGACAGAGGTGTCTCTCCGTCCCCCCGCAGGTCATCTCTGCAGTGTCCAGGCTGTCCCTGCACAATGTGGCCCAGAACAAAGGGATCAGGTAAGCCCCCGGAGTGCGCGCCCCCCCACCTGCACCTCCCGGACGTGAGCATGTCCAGTGTCCCCTCCCCCGCCCCCGTCCGTGTCCTCACTGTGGCTTGCCCATGTGCTGTCCAGCTGCTGGTTGGCGGTGGTCGGCAGGGCCAGGAGGAGGGCAGAGGCTGCCGCTCACGCACACCGGGCCACTGGCAGGCAGGGTGCTGGTGGCTGCAGAGTCCCTTTCGGTTTAGGTGATGAGGTCGGCAGCTTAACCCTGTCACAGACGTGGAGGGAGCAGGTTGGCCCAGTGTGGGGACGAAGTAGCCGGCGCCGTCTTTGTAAACACAGGAGGAAGGGGGCCTGCCTGCTTGGAGTCCCCGGGCAGGACGTGTCCGTGTGGTTTTCATTCCACTTAGAGCCCCGCAACCCCTACGGTCCAACCTCTCCTCTCCCCACATGGAAGGGCCGCACCGCCCGTGGGCGTGGGGAAGGGCAGCCCCACAGGACCACGGCCCATTGCCAACCCCAGCCCGCTGGTCAGGGTCAGAGAGACCTCTGAATGGGGACCAGGATCCCGGCCGGCCAGGACCGGGTGTGGGAACTGCCCTTTCTGGGTGTTTCGGGGGAACGTGGGCTAGTAGGAGTGCAAGAGGGTCTTGGGAGGGTGGAAAGGGCCCCCCGGGTGTGAGGTGGGTTGAACTCTGGGGGGGGCTTCATTCTATTGTTGCCTGGGGGTCCCCGGCCCGCCTGCAGGCTGGGGGTCCCGGGCCCGCGGCTCCCGGTGGACCCGGGCCAGCTCGGCTGCCCGTTGGTGGGGCTGTGGCTCCAGGTTCCGTGTCACAGGGACACATGCCACTGCCAGGGAGTCACTTTACTGGTGGCTTGTCAGAGGACTAGAAATTCCAGTGAATTCAGGGCTTAAAAAACAATGTCACACGACAGTCTGTTCCAAAGCGTTTCGAAAGGACACATGAAACACCTAGGAAAGAATATTCACGGCGTAGGGTGTGAAGAGTGACAACCAAACAGGCCCTCTGTCCCCGAGGGTGGCAGACATTCCAGAATGTCACCGAGTGCTGGTGAGGGCTGGCGTCGGGGCAGCTCAAACCCATCTCACCAGAACCAGCGTCGTTTCCGGACACGAGGCCAGAACCCGGTTTTTCTGTTCTGTGCTCCCCAGACACGCCGGTCCGCCCCGTGTCCCCGGCCCGTGGTGACCGGGTGCTGTGCTGTGGCTTCACTGCTGGCTGGCTTTCAGCACATTCTTGATCCGCAGGCACCTCACACACCCGCAGTGGCGGGATGGAGATTGTGCCACCGATCTGTCACTTTACCTGCTCTTTGTGGTCCCCCCTCTAAATTCCTTCACCCTCCTCCCTGCCACCCTGGGGGCTTGGGGCCGGGAGCCCAGTTAGGTTCCTGGGGGCACACGGGCGGCCTGCCCCCGTGCAGACGGGGTCCTGCCGCAGCCTCTGGCTGTTGCCCCCTGGCCCCCTCCCCCCATAGCTCGGAGGGCCTCTGCCTCCCTGGGGCTTCACTTCTGGAGACCAGTCCCCTGGGGGCTCCGACTGGGGTGCAGCTTCGGGGAGTTGGCCCTGCGTCGTCCTGCCCTCTGATTGGTGTTGCCCCTCACGCGCCCCCTACTGGGGACCTGGCCTGCAGCATGGACACGTGCCCAGAGTGGGAATTTAACCGATGCCTCTTTGGTTCAAAGGCCATGGCACTCAGTCCCCTGAGGCACACCAGCCGGGGGGCCACATTGTTTGTTGTAATAACAGAAATGGAGGGGGGCCCAGTATCCGCCCCCCTCTGCTCTGTGCCTGCAGGAAGCATGAACGGCCAGGAGGCCACTGTCCTTACGGTCACTGTCACAGTTCATTTCAGGAGAGGGCGGAGGGAGGTCCATAGAGGGTGTGAGCTCGGGGCGGGGGCTGGGGAGGCCGGGCTCCGGTCCTTGGCTCTCCCTCCCAGTGGGGCCACAGGGGTGACAGTTCTCCCGGCCCATGTGTGACAACCTTCATGGTGTGTTGCCAACCAGGGGAGCCCTGCCCCCCAAGTTTTGGTGTCCAGTTCTCACGGGGAGTCTGTCCCAGGGACACCGCTGGACCCCCCACGTGGCTGACCTTGGTCTCCAGCCCCTCCAGAGCAGGGGCTGTTCCGTGTGGCCTGGGCCCCAGAAAGCTTCACTAGCAGAGACCCTGGCTTGGCCCAAGGCCCCAGGTGACACAGACTCTGTCAGGCAGGACGTCCCCAGGGCCCAGGGAGCTGGGCCAGGCCCTGACTTTTCTTGGATGCACCTGTGAGGTGTGGGCATCCCAGGTCTGTGGGGTTAACCCCCCACTCCTGCGGGGGAGGAGGAGGAGGGACAGGAGGGGGGTCTGGGAGCAGAAGCGCCAGGGCCTGCACCCCCTCATCGCCGCTCCTCACCTCCCTGCGCTCCCCCTCCTCGTCCGGCCCGATCCAGGCCATTTCCGGGGTCCTGTCTGCCCGCGGCCCCTGGGAGCTCGGAGCACAGCAGAACTTTCTAGGACTGAGAGGAAAGCCCCTCATCTTGCGCCCGCTGCAGGCCCCGCCCCCTGTGCTCCCGCTGCCCTGAGTGTGGCCCGGCGGCTCCACCCTGGATGCCCTGTGAGTTACACACCGAAAGGTGAAGCAGCTTCAGCCACACGTCAGCCCGTGGCCCAGTGGGGTCTCCGGGTTCCGCCCCTGACAGGCGTCTGTCTGCCTTTTGTCTCCGGTGGCCAGAGGTGCCCATCCAGCCGGCCGGTGCGCCTACCCTTGACGCTCCCACCCCCAGGCCTCCCCAAATTGTCCGAAGGTGCTGACACCGCTGAAGCCAGGTGGCCGCAGGGCCTGGGGCCGACTGTGAAGGGCCCTCGCCACTGAGAGGTCCTGTTCCACGTGAAGCCCGTCCCCTCCTCGAGTGTCCCCTGCATCTGCAGAGGTCGGCCCTGGCTCCCCGGGCCTGGCTCCCGGGCACAGGCCGCACACAGCTCTCTTGGTGGTTCCCCGTTCCGGCTGACGCTGTCCCTGTTCTGCTGGCTGTCACCCAGCTTGTCCCACGAACCAGACCTGTGTGAGGATGGAGACTGGGACGGGCGTGGCGATTGCCACCTGCTTATTGGCCGCTCGGCCTGTCAGCAAGATGTTTTCATTGTCCCACCTGGTGGCAACCTGTCCCGGCCACCTGTCCTTGCTGTGCTCTCAGCAGGGAGACAAGCTGGCCATGTGACCCCCAGGCCAGCCCGGTGGACGAGCCTGCGTTCCTCTCATTACGATGCCGGTGTCTGCGTCTCCGGTGCTGGCTGTTGGGGGGGGCACCTCCCCTCCTCCGTCACCCCTACTGGAGGGAGGTTCCCAGGAGCGCTTGTGCGCCTCCCGCCGCTGCCACCAAAGGGGTGAGAGCGGGAAACAGACACATTTTTCCCAGAATGCGTTACCCGGCTGTGTCTCGCTGGCGGGAAGCAGCTCCACGCTGGCTGGGGGTGCTTGGTGGTCAGAGCCGGCGGTGAGGCTCGGGCCGGGGGCAGGGCACCGGGCGCAGCCTGCGTGGGTGGGCCGGGGCCGTGGGCTGTGGGGCGGCTTCGGGAAGACGGGCCGTGAACGTGAGCTCGCTGGGACAAAGCTCTCTGCAGACGTAATGAAATTAAGGCTCTTGGGATGCGGCCGTCCAGATTGCCTGGCAGGCCTTCCGTCCAATGGCGGACGAGGGTCCTTCTGAGAGACGCACATGGGGGAGACCCAGGGGAGGAGGCCGAGGCCAAGCAGAGAAGGGGACAGACCATCTGGGCCCCCCCCCACCCCCCCACTGCCACTAGGAGCCGGGAGGGGCCGGGAGGCCGGGCAGGCTCCAACCCTGCGGCCCGGACCGGATGCCGAGCCGGTGCTAACGGCTGGCAGGCAGAGGTTCGGGGTTCAGAGGCCCCTCCAGTCAGCAGGGGTGGGAAGGTGGCCTCCTCGGTCACAGGTGCCCTGTCCCCAGTGACATGCAGAGTTGGGAGCAGCAAGAGTGGGGGACGCTCGGGGGTCTCCACCGGGCGGACACTTACCATGTCCTTGCTCAGCAGCCCACCTCTCCTGCCTGCCCTGCCCCCTGGACCTGCCTCTGCAGACCCCAGGGTCCCGGCGGGGACTGTGGCCCTGGTTTCACCTGGGCGTCGCTGCCCCAGGGAGGCAGCGAGGCCCACCCACCGATTGCTGACCGTGGTTTAAGATCCTGGTGGTAGCCCCTGGGCCGGCCCATCTGCACTCTGTCCCCCGGCCCCCAGGGGACTCCTGCCCCACCGGGCCCTTCAGCATCCGCCCTGCTCCACTCCCACCTCACTGAGCCCGCACATTCCCGAGGGTGCAGGGCGTGCTCACCCGTGGGAGGGGAGGGCTGCCTCTTCTCACCGTAACTCCTGACCATGAGCAGAGACCACCCCCCCTGCCCGGCCCAACCCCGCCCATCCCCCCCTGATGTGCCTGGCGCCGTGGGAAAGGCCTCCACACTGCGTTTCAGAAAGCCTCACAGCACACTGGGGAGGCAGGTGGCTTCGCTCACTGCACAGGTGAGGTCGCAGGTTCGAAGCTCACTCCCTTGGCGAGTTCCTGGCCTAGGAAGCCGTAGTGCCCCATCTGGTATGAGGCTGGAATTCTGAACATGAAATCGGACTTTGATCTTCAAACCAGTCCCCCTGCCACCTCCTGGGAGAAGCCCCCCAGTCTCCCCGGGCCAAGACCATGTCCCCCCCAGAGCCTTTCCCCTCCCCTCTGTGCCTGTGTGGCCTTCTCGGTGGGTGCAGGTCCCCCTCATCCGTGACACAGGCACAGCCTGGGCCGGGTGTGGGGGGGCAGGGGTACGGCCTGGTGCCGCCCCCCCGCCTTGTTTCGATGGCTCGTCTGCACTGGGCGGGGCTGAGGCAGTCTGTGGTGACAGTCGGCCGCGGTAGCCGGAGAGCCGGTTTGCCAAGTGCAGCCCTGGGCTCTGAGCCTCCCTGCCAATTAGCGGCGGCACCCCGGTGGCTTTCCGGTAATTAACGGGCCTGCTGGGCCCTGCAGCCACAGTTTCCACGTGCTGTTTAGGTTGGCCTGGCTGCAGGGTCCCGGCCCCCGGTGCTGGTCCTGGGGGGGGCTGTTGGCCGGGCTGCCAGGGTCCCTCCCACCCACGCTGCCCTCTCCCCTCCGCCCGGCTCTCCCATCGCCCCGACACAGAGAATTCTGAGGCCGGTTTCAGAACCGGAAACTGAGGCCCAGCCAGGGGCGGGGACCCGCCCAGGGCCCCTCAGGTAGTGTCGGGGCGTAAACGGAACTCCCGTTGCCCGTGATGGCCAGGACCTGGGCGGCCAGCTCATCCGGGTCAGCACTGGGTGCAGACGGGATGGGTGGTCGCCCCGCAGGGCTGGGTGGCCTCTGGGGCTGAGTTTGCTCTTGGAGGCTGGTCTTGCCCTCCAGGGTGGGAAGGGTGGGCACGGTGAACCTTCGCGGAATCTCAGAGAAGCCCTGAGGACAAGCGGCGACCCCAGAGCTGGGTCCCGTCTCGGCCTCGTCCCTGTACCCGCGACACAGGGCAGCCCCTCAGAGCCGGGGCAGGGAACCCACGACGGGGGGAGGAGGCCGGACGGCGCCTCCACTGGCGCCTGGTGCTGTTCTCGGGTCCCCTCCCTCTGGCCAGCGACTCCTCTTGCTGCGTGCACGGGCCCGTGGCTGCCTGCCCGACTCGGGGGCTCCGACCGACTGGGGGGCTCTGCTGGGCTCCCAGGCTCCCAGCAGGCACCTGCTGCCTGCGCGGGGACCCCTCAGTCCCCTCGGTGGGGTGGGCGGGAAGCACGGCTTCCCCAAAACTGGGCAGAAGGAAGTGGGTCCTCAGGACCATCCTGCCGGGGCCAGGGGAGCCTGGGGGGCGGGGCCTGGGTGGCTGTGCCCGGTGCTCGCCCAGGACCGTTCACCGGACAGACAGTGCCGTGGTGCTTGCTTCTCCTCTCTCCCCTTAGAGAGCTGACCAGCACCGCCATTGATGTGGGGGAGCTGGGGGCGGGGGCGGCACGGTGGGGTCTGGTGGGTCAGCTGGTTCTGAGGCAGGAGGGGGGGGACCTGGGTCACTTTGCAGAGTGGCCACCAGTCCCGCCTGCCCTAGCCACCCCCCCCCCGTTTGGGCTGTGTGCTGCGGGGGGTGGGGGGGGAACGAGGCCCCAGAACCTGCCTCGGTGTGGAAGTCGGGGTTAGGGTGGTGAAGTCACGCCTCTGTGTGATTTCTCAGATGCTCTTCTGAAGGCGCTTCCGTAAATCGGATTTAAAGCTGCCACTTCTGGTTCCTGGGGAAGGAGGAGTTTGAGAGTATTTGCCATCCACCCATCTGTTCACCTGTTCCCTCCTGGCCAGGCCCCTCCTCATCCTCACACCCTCCCGCCCCCCATTCATCTCACTCACCTGCCCGTTGACCCCAGATCCGACCACTCTCCCACCCACCTGTCTGTCCATCCATCCATCCGTCCATCCTAGTGCTGGCCACTGTGTGACGCAGTGGGGACCGAACGGAGCCTTGAGGGGTGAATGGAGACTCGGCTGAGTGGGGTGTGGCGTGGCCTCCCCCCTGGCAGCCCCGGCCTCCATGCAAGGCCCCCTGTCCTGCCCCCCCTGGTAGGTGGTCCCCCCTCCTGCTCCGCCCACCCTGGCTGCAGCCTGCCTCTGGCTCTGTCAGTAATGAACTGGCCTTGCAGCCGTGTCCCCCAGGGGATTGGTGGCCCCGGGTCAGGGGCGCACTCTTTGGGCGCCAATGATGGTTCTGCGTTCCGCCTTCTCCGTGGGCCGGGACGGGCGGGCGAGGGGGCGGGGCGAGCGGCCACCCAGGACCCCGCAGAGACTCGGGGAGGAGGATGGAGTGAAATGCAACCACGTAAGACCAACTGTTTTTAAAAAGAGACACAGAGTTTTAAAACTCCTTCCAGGTCCGTGGTTAGTGAGCCACCACTGGTGGTCTGTCTGGCCGGAAACAAGGCCCTGAAGTGCCCTGGATAAGGGCCTCTTAGGGGGTAGTTTTTTTAATTCCTCACCTGGGGACGTGTGTGTTGATTTGAGAGGGTGGGGGAAACAGTGATGTCAGGGACATCGATTGGCTGCCTCCTGTCCTGGGGGTCGAACAGGCGACCTTTTGGTGGACCGGCCGACGCTCCAGCCACCAGGGCCACCCGGCCAGGCAGGTCTTCGTGGTCTTGCTGGTGGAAGACAGCCTGGGTGAGGGTGAGGATGAGGATGGTCAGGGAAGGGAGAAGCCACGGCAACCGTGTGGGGCTGGGCGGGGCCTGGGCCTCCCACTCGGGGTGTCTGCCTGGCTGGGTCACAACACAACGACACACCCCAAGGTCACCTGGGCCCCGTTTCCTCCCCCAAGAAGTCGACAGAAGCCCATGGCTCCTCTACAGAGCTGAGTGGGGGCCCGTGATGGAGGACAGGCGGGAGCGGGGGGGGGGGGGGAGACCCAGCCGGCCATAGGACCTGCTCACCTCACTGTCACCTTCCCTGCAGGCCTTTCCCCTCCGAGGAGACGGCGGAGAGCGATGACGACGTGTACCGCAGCCTGGAGGAGCTGGCGGAGTGAGCAGCGGGCGGGGCGGGGCGGGGCGGGGCGGTGAGTGGAGGGGCGGGGCTCGGCGGGGCTGGAGGCGGGGCGGGGGCGGGGACCTGGCTTCCGCATGCTCCCACGCAGACGGCACGTGGGCATTTTTGCATCTCACGCCTCCCTCCACGTCTGGAAGGGCCCCCAGCGTGTCTGGAGGTGACACGGGTGTGGTCTTCCTCCCCGGTCCCCGTCCCCGGTCCAGGGAGCCTCTTCTGCAAGGGCTGCAGGCTGAGCGCTGCATGGGAGGTTGGAGGTCCCGAGGTTTCTGGAGCGCGGCCCTGGGCACACAGGTCCAGAGGGGGCTCAGGTGGCCTGACGGGGTGGGCGTGGGCCCTAGACCAGGCCACTGCAGCCACCGGGGTGTCGCCGGTCTTTTCAATGCTGCGTTTGTCTGCCTCCCCTCTGTGAGGACCACCTTGCTGCACCTGCTCATGGCCAGGCCTGGCCGTCCATCCCAGGCTACTCACCTCATGGTCCCAGAGCCCCCGGGGACCAATGGGAGCCCTTGGGGGACTCTCTCGGAAGGAATCACCTGGCGCTGCTGGGCCAGCTGCGGTCGGGTGGGATCGTGTGGCCTGCTACTCCAGGAGGGGCCGGCAGCTTCCCTAAGAAGAGGCCGTGGGTGGGGGAGGCAGGGGAGCCCCGTGCTTCAGGAGGGGGGCCTGGGCCCCAGGAGAGACAGGCTTGCCCAGGCCTGGGGCAGCCCCTGGCCGCTCTGAGCTGGCGGGCCACTGCCATTGGGCCAGGTGCAGAGCCCTTTGCCAGCTCTCTGCTGACTCGGGGCCTCGCTCCAGCGTGACAGTGAACTTTTCTGGGCCCTGATAAGTGGCAGCTGCCCACTCTGACCAGTCTCAGAAGTCAGAGGGATTTTGAAAAGGTCCCCGCTGATGACATGCGTGCCTTCGATGTATGTGGCTGAATATGGCTTGTGGCTTAGCCCCCCTGCAGGGGTGAGGAAACCGAGGCTCAGAGAGGCCCGGGGGGCGGCAGTCTCCTGGGGGTGAGGACCTGCAGCCCCCAGCCTCCTCGGCCCTGTTCCAGCCTCCTGCTTGCCCAGCCTGGGGTGGGAGTGCGTCCCATTCCCTCCTTGGCATTTTCCACCTTCTCACTCACCACGTCCGGGCCCGAGTGTCTCCTGGTCTGGGAAACGCCTCACACTCCACCTGCCCTGACGAAGCAGCAGGACCCGTCCTCACGGTGCCCCGTCTGCAATGGTCAGTGTCCACTAGAAATCCTCAGACTCCAGAGCACCCGGAAAAGTGTGGCCTGTTCGGGCGAACACGGAGGTGGTCGGAACCGAGGTCGACGACTTCGGTGCTGCCATGCGAAGCTCTGTCCACACCGTCAGGAACCAGGAGGGAAGACCTCGCCCGAGGAGCGGACAGATGGGAGCCACGGACAGATGGGAGCAGAGCGGGAGGGGCTGCGAAAGGGGCCACGTGGGAAAAGCCGGGACTCGAAACGCACAGTCGGGGGCCAGCCTCCGACGCGCAGGAGCCGGCCAGGAGGTCTGCCCCGGCCAGGACGGGGATCTCGGGAGAGCGGAAGGTGCAGCGGAGGAAAGAAACAGAAAACCGAGGGGCTCCAACCTTCCTAAACTCCAGCCCCCCGGGGGGGAAATTGCGGATTGTGCCGTCGGAGCCTGTGCTCTGCCCCTGGCCCAGAAGGGGGTGGCGTTGAGGGTTGGCTCTGCCCAGGTTGCACTGTGGACTCGATGCCGTCTCTGTTAGGGCCCCAGCGAGACTGCAAAGGTTCCTGGCCAACAAACGGGCCTTGGATTAGTCTGCCCGGTCCTATAAAAACAAAGCCAGAGAAGTTAAACTACCCAACTTCAGGACTTTGTATGAAACTAAAAAAAAAAAGAGAGGCACCTGCGAGGGGGGCTGACGAGTTGATGGACCAGATAAGAGAGTCCCACAAGGGACCTCTGGGTCTACCGGTGTTCGTCAGAGGGTCCTCGGCAGTTCAGGGGGAAAGGAAGTTTCCGCAGACCACCCGGAACACCCCCGTCCCCCTCGCACCAGCCGCGAGTCCACTGGAGCCGAGTTGGAGACCAGCGTGAACACACCACCTCGCAGGTCTCAGAGTCGCTGCCGGAGAAAATCCCTTGTGAACTGGGAGAAAGCAGAGACCTCTCACCCAACACAAGGGTTTTCCTCGAGTGTGGGGCGGAGTCGGACCACGGAAGACACAGTCGAGAAATCGGACATCCTTAACATGATGAATAGACTCTTATCCAACGATACTGTGAAGAAAACAAGCAGCCAAACCCAGAGCCTGGGAAAAAGTTCACAAAACGCGCCTGACAAGGAACGTTCACCCAAAGTCATAAAGAAGACCTAGAAGCCCGTACCTGGGACAGCAGCGCACTGGCAGACCAGGCCTTTTGCAGAGGGAGGTAGACCCGCAAAGACCCTAAGCCCGTGGGTGCGCCCTTGACCCCGCTGGTCTTCAGGGAAACTCAGAGGGAAGCTGCCGGGGCACTGGGCTGGACAGCCAGCTCGGGGCAGAAACGGGGGTGATGGACGCCTCAGCCAGAGCCGCATGCCCGGCTGCGGGGGCTGCGGCTGCGAGGAAGAGCCCTTGGCCACGGCTGGGGTCACCCCAACTGCGCCTCCCCAGCTCCACTCGTGGGCGCGTTGCATTTCCGAAGGTCACAAGTGCATGTGTGTGCACACACCCACGTGCTCACAGCAGCTTTTATTTACAGTAACCCCCACAAGGAGGTCCCCAAAGACGCGCCCAGAGGGGGCTGGCGACAAGGGGTGGCCCGTCCACCAGGTGGGCGCGCTCGGTGAGAAAACCGAGTGGGCTGCGGACACAGCAGCTTGGCTGGACCTCCGAGGCCCCAAAGAACAAAGCAGGGCGCAAAGGGACCGCCCCCTCCTTCAAGTGCTGCGGCTCCTCTCTGGGGTCATAGCGGGGAGCCAGTGCCCACCTTGCCCTGCCCCGAGGTCAGTTGGTGCTCCAGGTCTCTCCCACCCACTGTGCCCACTTCAGAGCTCAGCCCCCTCAGGTGCTCGGGAGCGAACTTGGGGCAGCCAGTGCCCCCGAGGGAGACGCAGCAGTATGGGGACGTGCTCCCCAGAAGATCCCTGAGGTCTCGGCCAGCCCCCCCACCCCTCACGGGGCGCCGGCTCCCCCGCTGCGTGGTGTGAGCACGGGCTCGGGGAAGGATGAGAAGCTGCGTCTCAGACACTGGTGCTGTGAGGGGGCCTCGTGCTGGCAGTCTGGTGTCCCTGCGCCCCCGAGGTCCTGTTCTGGGCCGACTCTCTGTCCTTTTCATTAACGTCATCATTTCCTAAAATGTTTTAACTGTCAGGCTGTGGCTGATGTGGCTCGGTGGGTGGGAGCTTTGCCCTGTAACTGAAAGATTGGGGGTTCGATTCCCAGTCAGGGCTCAAAACCTGGGTTGCGGGTTTGATCTCTGGTCCGGGCGTGTACGATTCCTGGTCGTGTACAGGAAGCAACGAGTCCATGTGCCTCTCTCTCCCTTCCTCTTTCTGTAGAAGCAATGGAAAAGCATCCTCTGGTGAGGATTAAATAAATATATTTAACTATGGGGCCCCCCGCCCCCACAACTTCCACAGTCCCCCAGAGCAAAGCCGCTGTCCCCAGACGGGATGAACAGCCGCATCTGAGTCTTAGGGAGCGGCTGGGCGCTGCCCAGCTTCTGCTTGGTGGCACTCGGTCACAGTTTTTGATGGCGGCCACGTCACCAGGCTCACTTGGCTGCACCACAAAACCCGGGCGTCAGCACCCCCAGGACCCGTGGGCGGAGCTCCGGGGGCTGCTCCCTTGGGCCTGCTCCCTCACACCTGGGTGGCGGGAAGCATCTATCCAATAGCAGCTTCCTCCCCATCCCTGCTCTCCCCACCCAGAGCCCCTCCCCTGCCACAGAGGGAGGTCCGGGTGCAGCTGCCCACAGCCTTTGAAATGACAGCTCATATTCAAAAGCTGGGTGTGGGGGGGCCAGGAGCCTGTTCCTAAGAGCTGCTGGGTATCAGTTCTACTCCCCCCAACCTCCACACATTGTGGCTGCCCCGCGGGGTGTGGAGGGGGGCTCCCACATTTCGGTTCCTTCTAGATGTGAACTTTGTGGGCCCTGCTTGGACCCCCGGCTGTGAGGTGTATGCTGCCACCTGGGGCTGGCCCGGCCTCCGGGGTGAGCCGGCCTGAGCACAGTTGCCCTGAGTGGTGGCCCCACGGCAGCCCTGGGCCTGGGTGGGTCCTGCCCCGGAAGCCCCAGGGTGACCCCCGGGGGCTCGTCCTGGCCACCAGGGCTGTGTGTGGTCGGATTGGCTCATTCGTGGATTTGGTGAATGTTTGCCGAGCACCCGCTCCCCATTGGGCGTGGCGAACAGAAGGGACGGGGAGTTGGGTTGGTCCAGGGAATAGCGAGCTTCCTCCACAGTCGTGCACGGATAATCGGAGGTGCAGCGCGGGGTGTGCCCAGTAGGGAGCGGCAGACTGGGCCGAGATCCTGGAAGGCCCCTCGGAGGAGGTGCCCCTGGCAGGGCAGAGGCAGAGGTGGTGACTTGTCGGAGAGTCGGGGCTCGGCCAATGGCTGCAACCTCGTCTGCAAATTACAGGTTAAGCGGCGATTTCCTTGGTACTCGTTTGGGGAGGTGCATCCGGTCCCCTCTGCTCCGCGTCCTTACCCTGTGACCTCTGCACCTTGACCTTCACCCTGGGCTGAGCGCTCCAGGCACCGGGTCGCAGGTGTGGGCGGGGCGGAGCGCCTTTGGAGGAGGGTCTCCTGGACCCCGCTCCGGGCCTGCGCCCTGAGTCCCCAGCGTTCACTGGTCGGCTGGGGAAGCGCGGGGCGTCCCGCACCTGCCGGATCTAAACTCGCAGTCACCGGACGCAGGCGTCTGCTGGGTTTTATGGACCCTGGGAGATGGAGGCCGAGAGGGGGAGCTCGCGGCCCGCGGCGGCCTCCCCGCTGGGCCACGCCCCCTCCCTTCTGACCCCTCCCCTCCGCGCAGTGAGCACGACCTGGGGGAGGACATCTACGACTGCGTCCCGTGCGAGGATGAAGGTGACGACATCTACGAGGACATCATCAAGGTGGAGGTGCAGCAGCCCATGGTGAGCCGCCGCCCCTGCCCACCCCCCTCCCCCGCGCTCCCGCCCATCGCACGCCTGGGCTTTAGACTTGGCGGAGCCAGCCGAGCGCCAGGCCGTGGGGTGGGGGGCTGCTCCCCAGGGCCCCCCATTCCCCTGAGTCTCCTGAGGAGCTCCAGAGGCAACCCGATTGCCACCGCGACCGTCCACGATGCGTTGCCGCGGATTCTCCCTGAAGGACACAGGGGCCTGCGAGCCTTTCCCGCCAGGCGTGGGAGCCGGAGGGCCGCCTGGCACCGCTCCCGTGGGCCCCCGTTTTGTGCAGGGCAGGAGGACCCGGCATTGCCTCAGCAGGCCGGCTGTGCATCTTCTGTGGGGCGAGGGCGTTCACTCCCGGGCAGGTGGCCCCCAGGGCGCCCCTCGCCAGTGTGGGCGGGTTGCCCACAGGTGCTGTGCAGGAGGTGGGGGTCCCGCTGCCCGGGGTGGGCCTCGGCCCCTCGGGGCCCCGAACTCTGGGGGTGGTTGAGGTGCCTCTTGCCGGCCCCGGAGGCTTGGATGCCCTTGGTTCACCGAAGGGGCTATTTCTCGAAAAGCGCATCTGGGCGTTGCCCTTCCCATGGCGGTGGCACCGGCGGGTGGGGAGACAGGGGGAGCTGGGAGCAGCCCGGCTCTGGCCAGGCCTTTCCTTCCCAGGCTGCCGAGCGGCGGTGCTTACGGCCCCCAGGCTCAGCTCCTAAGAACCGGTCTCTCATTTTGCCCCAAGGTCTGAGGGTGGGTTTCCTGCCCCACTATCACCAGGGGTCTCGCCATGGGGAGCCAGCTGTGTGTGTGCCGGGGGGGGGGTCTGCCCTCCCTGGGCAGCCAGGCAGTGGGGCAGCTCTGTCCCCCAACCTTCCTGGGGCATCTGCGAGGGGCTGAGAGGACAGTCCCTCGCCCTGGGGCAGGCGGCCCCTGCTTCCTGCCCCGGGTGCCCGGCTAGGCTGCGCGCACTGGGCACCTCACTCTCCAAGCCTCTCCCAGGCGGTGTGTGCGCAGTGGCCCGGGGGGGGTTCTGGACGGTCCCTGGACCCCAGGTCATCCAAGCTCCTGAGAGACCCCCGAATGTGTCTGGCCTGAGGGGACCCTACAGTGGGCACCCCGAGTTCTCTGCTGTCCCTGGTCCTGAAGTGCACAGGGCAAGACCTGGGGCACTGGGGGCCAGTGCCCGCCTGCATCCTGGAGACACGATGGCATGTCACTGGCTCTGCTTTGCTCATGAGCTGTCATGTCCACTCAGGCAGGGTGGGCCTCCTGCCACGTCCTCCAGATAAAGCTGCCGGTCCACTTTGGTCCGCTGTCATGTCTGGGGCCATCGCAGCAGCCTGAGTGGGAGGTAACAGGGATGGTGGCTTTGGCAAAGGCAGATGGAGCCCCAGAGGGTGGCAGGTGTCCCTCTCGGAGGCCAGGCGTGGGAAGTCCAGCGTCAACTCAGTCTCAGCGCTGCCCCCTCACCCAGCCAGGCTGACGGCCATCCCTCAGGCCGCTGGCTACCGGAGAGCGGTGAGGGTAATGTACCGGCGCTGCTAACCGGGTCTCTCCCATTTGTTTCCACGCTCTCAGATTAGGTACATGCAGGTAAGTACAGCCTGCGCCGTCTGCCTCCTCCTCTGCCGGTGGCCGTGGCCCTGGCTCTGTTCTACCTACAGTTTTAGGGAGACTGTGGGCCCCCCGCCTCCCCACGAAGCCCTGAGTGGGGGTAACAGCCCCCAGGACGAGCAGGGCGGTCGCCTGGGAGGGAGCCTTGGGGGCTCCCGCCGACCCCGGCCCCTGGGGCGTGTGCCTGGGTGGCTTTGCAGAGCTGCAGCCCCGAGACCCTGGCCTGTCTCAGAGGAGCGTGGTGTCCGGGTGCGCGTGAGCCTAAATGTCCTGCTGCATGGCCCAGCTCCGGGTCCCCGGAGGCGACCACCTCCGTGTGAACAGTCGTACCCCCACCCCCGCTGTGGGCCCAGCCACCTGCCCCCACCCAGAGGCGGACGGGAGGCTCTGCCACGTGCCCCAGTGGCCCCTGATTGCAGGCCAGTGGACTCTTGGAAGCCCAGCCCTGTGAGAAATTGGTGTCTTTCTCTGAGGCACTAACTGGCCAACGCGGGGACGGCCACTCAGTTGGCTGACATGGGTCCTCAGGGGGCTCGGGAGCTCTCCCTGTGCACACAGTAGGTGCTTAAGCAAGTCACACCTGCTCCATGCCCTCTCTTCTCTGGCACTGCCACCTCGGGTTCTTGGGTTCACCCCACATCGCCCCTCCCACCTCGGTTGCCTCACCTGTAAAGGGAAGGAAAGGCCTCGGGCCCCCACTGTCCCCCTCGGGTCCTGCCGTGTCTTGCCCAGCCACCCCCCCACCGGCCAGGGCTGGCGGCGTCTAGCTCACAGCCCGTGTCACCCCCCAGAAAACGGGCATGAGCGAGGAGGACAAGAGGAACTGCTGCCTGCTGGAGATCCAGGAGACGGAGGCCAAGTACTGCCGGACGCTGGAGGACATCGAGAAGGTGGGCGGGGACTTGGCGGTGGTGGCCGGTGCAGGCCCTGAGTGGGCCTCTCGCTGGCTTTGCCTCGGGCAGCCCCTCGACCCGCCAGCGCTGAGTGGGCTGAAAAAACCAACGTTGCTTTTAAGATGGAACCTTCCTGGCCGTTCTTTGGTTGCGGGTCTGGTCCAGTGGGGCTGTGAGGGGGACACCTCGGTGGGTCCCTCACCGTTGAGGGTGCTGTGGGGCCTCCGGCCAGCAGTCCCGGAGGTTCCGTGGACCCAGGTCTGGCTCAGGCCTCCGCCTCCCTCCCCCGGCAGCCCCACCCCTTCCGAGAGTCCCAGGCCCTTGTCTCCGCCACGCGGCCCAAGTTCATGAAGGAAACTGGCGGGCCGTGCGCTCTCTCTCCCGGCTAGAAATCGGGCTTTGCCGGCTGGTGCTGCCCATGTGTGACGTGACCGAGGGACGCCGGGGCCTGAGCACGCTGAGGGCGGGTCTGGGGGTGCAGCCAGGAGCCCGGACTCAGGGGCCTGTCACCCCCAGAGGTGCACGTGGCACGGTGCCCTCACCTCCGGCCTGTGTTTCCGCTTGTGTCTCCAACAACAGCCACGCTCACCTCGGTCGTCGCAGGTTCAAGGCCAGCGCCACGAGGAGTGACCCCTGGGGGCTGGGGCTCTGCCCCTGTAGGGGGAGTGGGTGCTGGGTTGGTGCTCAGGCCTGCCCAGGGCGGAGTCCAGATCCCCCAGAAGGCTCTCGGGGAGCCGAGCCCCGGCCAGGGCAGCCCTGCGGGGCTGAGACGTTGGGCGCTCTCTTCCAGAACTACATGGTCCCCCTGAGGCTGGTGCTGGGCCCGGCAGACGTGGCGGCAATCTTCATCAACCTGGAGGTCAGCGTCCGTCCCCGGGGTCCTGGGGTCCCGGGGCGCTGTGTCCTGGCCCGGGTGCGGGGGGTCCTGGCTGAGCAGTGTGCTGATGGCTGGCGGGTGACAGGAGCAGAGCTGCCCTGCCCGCCGTCTGTGCAGCCCACGTGGCTCAGACAGACACGCCCTGGGAGAGGCGTGAGGTTTGGGCGGCACCTGCCCCCGCCCCCGCCCTCAGAGCAGAGCCAGACGTGGTCCCCAGGAGGCCCCGTGCCTGTGGGACGGTCCACCCTGCTGTGGTCAGCGCGCCGGGCCAGGCTACCTCGAGGCCATACCTGGGGGGCTCCCTCCACAGTGCTTGACAGCCACGGGGTGGCTCTGCCCACCCCCTCAGCCCCCCGTCAGTTTGAGGGTGGGCTCTGGTCCCTGCTGCTCTTGGCTGACAGACCTTGGGGCTTCCCACTGTCTGTGCCCCTGAAATGGAGTGAGTTCATCTCCGTGAGCTGAGACTGTGGGAGCCTCAGGGGCAGAACAGAGTCTGGGGGGCCCTTGGGGGGCCCTGCGGTGCTGCACGCTGGTCACCTGTTCACCCTGAAACGTGGGAAAGAGGAGCCCGCTGCCCCTGCACTGGCCTGGGAACGCGCAGGGCGGTGAGGACCACGCGGGCCCGGCCAGCCTGGCAGACCTGGCCACATGCTGATGTACCGCCTTCCCTCCCAGGACCTCATCAAGGTGCACCGCGGCTTCCTGCGGGCCATCGACCTCTCCATGATGGCGGGGGGCGGCACTCTGGCCAAGGTCTTCCTCGAGTTCAAGGAGAGGTGAGTGGCAGGCCCCGCCCCCTCCCAGGGGCTCTCCGTTCCACTCTGGGACCCTGCAGGGCCTACAGGGACAGCGCCCAGGTGGGTGTCCTTTGCTGTGCGTTGCCCGAGGCAGGTGGCTGTGCCCCCCTGGCCTTCCTCACCTGTGAAACTGAGAAAGCTGCCCGCCCTCCGCCATCACAGGGGAGCAGGCCCCTTCATGCACCCCCGGCTGGGCCCAGGCCTCCCGGGGGTCCTGCTGCCACCTGCACCTCAGTGTCGGGGAGTCTGAGGGCCATGACCGCCCTCCTGCTGAGCCCCGGGAGTCGGGGAGCCGGGCCCCTGGGAGAGTCTGTGCCCGTGCTGGGTGGGGAGGTGGCGCGTGGCAGCTGCGGCCAGTGAACAGCCGAGGCTGCCTGGGCAGGTCCTGGTGAAGGGCTTGGGGGCTCCTGGGCAGGGGGACCTGGCTGAGCGCCCAGCCTGCCTCGTCCTCAGAGCTGAGCGCCTTCCCGGCTGTGAGGGTAAACTGAGGCGGGGCCTGGGTCTCTGGGGGTGCGGCCAGGGCCAGCCTTGTTGGGGTCCCCTGTGAGGGGCTTCTCCCCTCTGGCCGCAGCCCTTTTTGGCCCTGACCTGGAACAGGGCCTCAGAGGGGGCCTCCTCGGATTTGGGGAGAGCAGGGTCCCCTTCTTCCCAACGCTTTGACCGCCCTACTCCGAGCCGGGTGGTATTTCCGGATGGGGAGGAAGTGGCCACCAGAAAGAAGGAACCCTTTCAACATGCAGTGCTGAAACACCGCACGCGTGTGGTGTTTGCGTGTGAGGGGGTCACGGGGAGAGGCCTGTTTGCTGTGTACTTAGAGCCGCCTCGCAGCCGAAGTGGCTGGGGGCCTCCTCAGCAGCATGTGTGTACATGCATCTGCATGTGTGTGCCTGCGTGTGCCTGTCTGCACGTCCAGGCTCCTGATCTACGGCGAGTACTGCAGCCACATGGAACACGCCCAGAACACGCTGAACCAGCTCCTCGCCAGCCGGGAGGACTTCAGGCTGAAAGTCGAGGTAACGGTGGATCCAGGCCTGCCCCTGGCCCGTGCCTCTCGGGCAGCAGCCCGCTGGCCTTTTGCCTGTTTTGCGGGGTGGGGGGGTCCCGATGTGAGTCTTCTGTAGGTGGCATTAGCAAGTGGTTTCCTCTCCTTTGTTGGGGTGGGAGGTGGCAGCTGGGGGTTGCTGTCCTGGGCCAGGACACAGCCCCAAGGACCAGATCTGGCTCAGCCTGGCTCAGCAAGGGGCTAGGACTGACCCCTGGTTGTCCTGGCCTGTGTGGACCCCAAGGGGGCTCAGGGGACGGATGTTTGCTGGGAGCCGTGGAGCCTCTCGCCCTGTCCCATCCTCGCCCCCGGCTCAGGGCCCTGCCTTGTCGGGTTTTCCTGCGTGAGCCCCTCTCCAGGACCCTCCACTGTCCCCTTCCTTGGGGTCCCGAGGCTGCGCCCCAGGCTGGGACTCCCACGGCAAACCCTGCTTCCAGGGTGGATCCTGGCTCCGGGCCCCTTGGCTCCGTCAGTGCTGGGGGTGCCCCTTGGTGGTGCAGGATGCCCCCATGTGTCCAGGCAGCTCGGGGGGGCCTGCGGCTGGGCGGGTGGTCCCCTCACGTGAGCTGGCTTCCCCGAGGGTCCTGATGCAGACCCAGGAGGGCGCCAGCCCCAGAATCCCAGAGTTCTTGTGTGGCCACTGTGGCCCCTTCAGCTGTGAGAGGTGGGGGCCCCACACCCAGTTGGGGGGTTCTGGGAGCCAGGTCAGAGAAGCACCAGACACCTGGGGCCCAGCGTCCCCAGCCGAGGGTGCTGTCCCCAACTTGCTGCCCCCGCCACCCAGGAGTGCACGCTGAAGGTCCAGGATGGGAAGTTCAAGCTGCAAGACCTGCTGGTGGTGCCCATGCAGAGGGTGCTCAAGTACCACCTCCTCCTGAAGGTGAGCCCCTCGCCTCGGCCCGAGGGCGGGGCCGGCAGGTTAAGTCAGGTGTTGCTCCGTGTGTAAAGACTGGGCCGTCTGTACTAGGAATGGCTGGTATATTCAGGGGATGTTTGTCACAGAAGATACACAGAAGAAGACTATGATTAAACTTGGCAAGAGAGAACGGAAAATCAGAGACACAGATAAGCGCCCCTGACCAGGAATGAGAGAGTCCCTTCCTCCTTAGCCATGTCCGAGCTCCCTGGTAGCCATGGTAAAAATGGAAACAGGAAGACTTTCTGGACAGACAGACCTGGGGGGAGGCAGGGGTTTCTGGGAGTTGCCAAGTGAGGCTCTTGAGTGACTCAACCAGGCACCTGTTAGCTTCACACCGTGCTTTGTGCTGCCTCGGGTCCCTGTTGTCCGCAAGACTTGGGGACACCCCTCCCTGAAGCAGCGTGAGGTCTAGGTGAGGGCCAATAGTCCGTCTGCTGGAGTCGGGCAGCCGACCCAGAGCCTGGATCGCCGGGAGGGTCCTTGGGGGCCTCAGTCCATGCATACCCATGCCGGTGGGTGCGAGGGGAGGCTGGGACCCCTGAGTGGTGACTGTGACCATTCTCGCCCCACCCCCAGGAACTTCTGAGCCATTCCACCGACCGGCCGGAGAGGCAGCAGCTGAAGGAAGCCCTGGAAGCCATGCAGGTGGGTGGGTAAACTGAAGCAGGGAGAGGCCGGACCAGGCTGGGCTTGCGGTACCAAGCCTGTGTTTTTGGACTGGAATTGGGTTCGCTAAGAAGCCTTGCCTTGTGACCGGAAGTGTAGCTTCTCCTGGGACAGAGCAGGGGACAGGGCGGCCGGAGAGACCCCCCGGGGGCAGAGGGGCAGGTGGAAGGGGCTGAAGGCCCCCTCTCTTCTTGCCTCCCGAGCGTCCGCCGGGGCCAGCGCTGGTCCCCAGGCGCCGGACTTGGTTCTGAGCTGCCCGCCACCCAGCCCTGTGACCTCTGCTTGCTTCTGAAACTCCGGCCCCACCCAGCCAGCCCACCTCCATCCTTCTTCCTCTGGAAGCCCACTGTTTGGGCGTGCCTCCTGGGGGGCGCTCAGCTCGAGTCACTCCTCCACTCAACCCCCCTTTGTGGCCCCCGCTGCCCCCACATCAGGCACGGGCTTGCCTGGCTCTGCAGCTGTGGCTCCTTAGGCTGAGCGGCTGGACAAGGTGCCTGGTCATCCTTAAGGTCACTGCCTCGGGTTTCAGACCCTGCCCGGACCTGGGGCTGTTTGTAGGAACCAGCAGGGGGGCGCTGGAGGTGGGGCTGGAGCTGGCCCCCACCTTGGCCTGGCCCGAGGGTTCCACCTGAGGCACCGTCTCGCTGAGCAGGGTCAGTGCCCTCCAAGTGGGTTCTTGGGGTGGGGCTGGGTCCAGTCACTCAGTCCCCTGGATCTCAGTGGACACTGCCCCCTGGTGGCCAGCAGGGGCTTCAGCACATGGACACAGCTAGCTGTGGGGTTTGCCCACTGGCAGCTGTGGCCTGTGGGGTGTCCGCGTCCCAGAGCTGAAAAGCCCCCCAATCCGAGTCTCCTTGGCTGTCTGTGTCCCTGGTCTAACCTAAAAGCAGATCGGGGGCAGGAGTTTGGGGCTCCCGGCCCAGCAACTGGGGTGCGCTTTTGGGCTGATGTTACCTTTTTTGCCTCAGTGTCTTCATTTGTCAAAAGGGGATTTGGGGGCCCGCCTCCGCTTTGGCGGACGGTCGAAGGGGCCACGCTGGCCCTGCCCAGCACAGGCTTGCTGACCCCTCCCTGCCCTGTCCTTCTCCAGGACTTGGCCATGTACATCAATGAGGTCAAGCGGGACAAAGAGACCCTCAAGAAGATCAGCGAATTTCAGAGCTCCATAGAAAACCTGGTGAGTGTGGCCGGCTCTCCCCGCCGTGGGGAGTAACCTGGGACTTTAACGATGACGTCACGATCCTGTTATGGGATATGGGGCAGCGGGGACCCACTGGTCCAGCCAGGTCTGGGGAGCCGTGCCAACAGCCCGGTGCCCAGTGCCCAGGTCTCAGCTGCCCACAGGCGGGGCAGCCCGAGGGAGCGTGGTGTGGGCCCCAGGGCCCTCCCCCGGGCCTGCAGGGAGGGTGTTCTCGGGTCCCAGAGGCCACGGCCCCCAGGGCAATGGCAGAGTGCGTTGGCCCAGCTGCCCGGGAGCTGCCCTCTGACAGGCAGGGCTCCCACTTCCTGGGAGCCTCGGAGGCTCACCCTTGGCCGCGGGGTGAGGGCCATGCCCTGTCGGGGAGAGGAGCTGGGCCACCCAGGGGGCAGACCCGTCCGCGAGAGCCCACCACTGACTCCAGGACCTGCCGGGTGGTGACCGGTGTTCCCCACTCCGCTCGGCCGCCCTGCGGGGCCAGATGCTTCTTCGCTGTGGGGTCCGTCCTGTGCGTCGTCTCCGAACCGCAGCCAAGGAGCCCAGATAACAAAGGAGCCGGAGAACGAAAATGCAGTCTCAGCCCACGGGCGGGGGTTTGCTGGGCGGCCGCTTCCCGGGGAGGAGCAGCTGCTGGCAGGACCCGGAGCTCGCCTGCCCGCTGGCCCACCCACCTGCCCGCCGCCTTCTCTCTCTGATGAGGCCCTTTGTTCCCGGAACTTGGCTTTCCGCTGGGCACCTGGCTTTTCCTGCCAGTCCCCCGCTCTGCACGCCACACCCCCACGGCCTGTTGAGGTCGCCCTCCGTGGGTTGCTGTTGGTTCCCTCAGGGGTGAAGGGGGTCCTCACCAGGGCTGCGGGGGGTGGGGACAGGAGCTCCAGGGCCAGCTCCCTACGCCATCTGCTCTCCCCTTGTTCTGAGCATCAGCCGGGACCCCCGTGTCCATTTCGCTGGGCTCCGCCTCCGGATTCTGTGGGAGCGGTGCACCTCAGGCTCCGGCACCCCCGCCCCTCCTCCTCATGCAGGAGCGGGGACGGGGGACCCTCGGGCTGACGCCCTGCTGTCTTTCCCAGCAAGTGAAGCTGGAGGAGTTCGGGAGGCCCAAGATCGACGGCGAGCTGAAGGTCCGGTCCATAGTCAACCACACCAAGCAGGACAGGTGAGCGGGCGGCGGCCCCGGGAGGGCGGCACCCAGCACAGCCGGGCACCCGCTGGACTTGGCGTTTCCGGGGAAGAGAGCTGCCTGCCCACTCGGCTTTGTGTTGCTCCATTTTAATTGCTTCCTTCCTTCTCGGCGAGCGTGCTGGGGAGCTGTGTCCGCCAGCGGCTGCCACACCCGTGGGGCTGGCCTGCTGTGGTGGGGCTGGGCTGGGGGACAGCCAGAGGCTCCAGCAGGCGAGCCCTCAGGCTCCCGGGAGCCGGTCAGACGGCAGCTCCGTCAGCTCTTTGCCAAGTGACCGAGGGAGTGACCGAGGGAGGGACCGAGGGAGTGCCCGGGTGGGCGGCAGACAAGGCTGTGGTGCAGCTTGGCAAGCTTGCTGCTGTTCAGTCCTCCGTGTGCACCTACTGTGTGCAAGGCCTGGGGCTGTGGTGGGGGGCACGGTTCGGCCCGTGGGGCTCCGGGGCGAGGGGGCCCATGGACACCTGGGGCCCCAGGGGCTGGGGCAGGGAGGGCGTCCTGGAGGAGCCGTGGCCGAGCAGCCGAGACCTGGCCGGGGGTCGGCGTCCTCGGGAGAGCCGGGCAGGAGGGGGCACAGCACGTGGGCCGTGCTCACGGCCCCCTGGCTGTGCCGTTGGGCCAGGTACTTGTTCCTGTTCGACAAGGTGGTCATCGTCTGCAAGAGGAGGGGTTACAGCTATGAGCTGAAGGAGGTCATCGAGCTGCTGCTCCACAAGGTGACCGACGACCCCACGAACAACAAGGACCTCAAGAAGGTGGGTCCCCCGTCCTCTGGGCTGCACCCTGCGGGGCAGGCCGTGATACCCCCCGAGGGAGGCATGGTGGGGTGGTCTTGGGGAGAGAGTGAGGCAGACTGGAGTGAGTGGTGCCCCGTGGGCCGCGGTGGGGACAGGGCTTCCCTGGTCAGCCATTCTCTTGTCACTGTGACTTCTGAAGGCGGGCCTGCTCTGCCCGCTGCTGGCCGGCAAGCTCCTGGCCTTTCTTTGAATCTCTCCTGGGAGTGGGCGTGGCCAGGAGCCCGGCGTCCCAGGGAGGAGACTGAGCAGAGGGACCCAGCCCAAAGTCTGGGTGAGAGCCCACCCTAGGCCTTGGCTCCAGCCCACATGTCCCCGAAGCAAGTGCTTCTCCAGCCTTGGGGGGAGGGCTCTGGGTGGTCCGCATTGTGGCTGTCAGACCGTGTCCAGCCAGGGGGCCATGGCAGCTAGGGGTGGGGCTGTGGTTGCTGAGGGTGGGATCATGCTGTCCAGGGGCAGAGCCAAGGCTATTGGGCATGACCACAGCTGATGGGGGTGGGACTTTGGGTGGGGCCATGGCTACTGGGGAGGAGTCATGCTCCTTGGGGTGGGGCTGCTGGCCCCCCTGTTGTGGGTTCTGAGAGGCTTCTGGCCCCGGAGCTTGAGCCCTGACTGTGGGCGGCCCTGAGCTGGGTGTGGGGGCTGGGAGCCCACATGCTGAAAACCCCAGACCCTGGGCTTCAGAGCTTACAGTGCAGGCACCTCGTGGAGGAGCTCTTAGGGGTGACGCACCTAACCCGGCATCTACACCAGCTACGGGGGCCCGGAGGGGTGACCTGAAGCCCCTGCCCAGTCTTAGGGCTGAGGACACAACCTCCAAGTCCCAGGCCCTGGCACCTCGCCCTCCCGGAGGGGCCCTCGCCGGTTGCCCCAGCCTGGGGTCCCGGGCTGCAGCGCCCACTGCAGGGCCGGGCGGGGCCTCGTAACGACCCGTGTCCCCCTTCCTTCCTCTCCTCACGCTTCCTAGTCTCATGGGAAAATGGTAAGGACCCGGCTGGGCCCGAGGAGGGTGGGCGGGCTCACGGCCTTCGTCCCCCCTAGTTTTTAAATTGTGACGATGACACACGTGCAGGAGGAAAAGTGGGCCCTTCACGGAGGGTGCTGAGGGGGGTCCTGCCCCCGCCCTGGCCGTGCCCTGGAGGGCGTTCCCTCTGGTCTCCCTCTGCCGCCCTCGGCCTTCTCTCGGTGCCCTGCCTTTTTTTCCGTTGATTTGCCTCGGAGGAGTTTCTTTAGCATCACATGTAGGAAGTGAAAATGGGCGGGCCGGCGTCGTGGGCGGGCTCCCCGGGGACCAGGCTGCAGCGTTGGGGGCTGAGTGAGGGCACACTGGGTGGGTGGAAGATGGGTGCCAGGAAATCTTGTTAGAGGGTGTGCATGGGCACCCCCCATGTGCCGGTGTGGACATGAGTACACACATGCACATGTGCATGCAGGCAGACATGAGTGTACTGCGCACATGTATGTTCTTACATGTGCACACCCAGACAGCACACACAAGTGAGCGGTGCTCACATGTACACATGTAGGCAGACATGTGCCCACCTGTATGCATTGCACACACACATGAGCATACTGGAGGCATAGATGTGGGCACACATGCCAGCACGCAGACCGTACGTGTGCACACGCAGACACACACATGCACAGGAGCACGGGAACTCTTGTGCCAGTGTGCGGCAGTGTGGCCCCCTGACCCCCCGCAGTGGTCCTATGGCTTCTACCTGGTCCACCTGCAAGGCAAGCAGGGCTTCCAGTTCTTCTGCAAGACGGAGGACATGAAGCGGAAGTGGATGGAGCAGTTCGAGATGGCCATGTGAGTCTGGGGGCCTCTCGGACGAGGGCTCGGGCAGATGCCGAGCCAGAGCCGGCCTCGGCCCCCCGGCCCCACTCCGGTGGCATCCTGGCTGTCTTACCATCCACCTGGCAAGGGGGCCTCCCTCTGGCACAGCCTGTCCCGGGGGGCCCAGTGACCACCGCCTCAAGGCTGGGCCTTGCCCGCCTGGCCGGCCGGGCAGTGGGTGGCAGGGATGGTGGTGATGCCGAGGGGACCCGTGATGGCCCGGGGCCTGGGGGCCTGGCCGCCTCTGTGTGGAGGCCTCAGAGCTGTGTGTCCACGTGGTCTGGGAGGAGCCCCTGCACGTCCCACGGAGAAGGGCGGTCAGTGGGGCACGGGGGTCCCCACACACGTCAGACCCGACACCAGATGGGCAGTGCCTGGCGCCCTCCGACTCCACTGGCAGCGGGGCTGGTGGGCTTGCCTCCCGCCGTGTCCTCCTGGGGGCGGATGCGGGGGCAGGGCTCAGGCTCCCGGACACATCTGTGGAGTTTCCCACGGCTGGACCGCTGTCAGCACGTGGCTGTGACCTTCACCCAGAAGGTCTCTCAGGCTCAGCTGGTGTGGGCTCAGGGCTCCAGGGACACCCCTTTCCCTCCCGCCAGGTCAAACATCAGGCCCGACAAAGCCAACGCCAACCACCACAGCTTCCAGATGTACACGTTCGACAAGACCACCAACTGTAAGGCCTGCAGGATGTTCCTCAGGTGAGGGGCCTCCCGCCCACCCCTCCCCCGAGGCAGCCCTGGCACCGCCGACCACCTCCCTCCTCCGGCCCGGTCAGTGTTGCACCCAGCCAGGGTGGGAGGCGCTGTCCCGGTGGGTGCTCGGGGCCCGAAGAGCCAGATGGGACCGTGCTGGCGGAGGGGCTGCACATTAGGATGGGGGGTCCAGGAGGCCTGGGCTGTGAGGGACGGGCACTCTGTGGGGACAGTGAGGCCTGGGGCTTGATGGGCCCGGCCTGCGGCTGCAGGGCATGGGGGTCCGGGCAGCGCCTGCCTCACCTCCACCTTCTCCCACTTCCGGCCCAGGGGCACCTTCTACCAGGGGTACCTGTGCACCAAGTGTGGCGTCGGGGCGCACAAGGAGTGTCTGGAAGTGACGCCTCCCTGCAAGATCAGTGAGTCCCGCACCGCCCGCCCGCATCTGGGGCCGGTCCTCTGGGCCATACGTGGCGTCCCCGGCAGAGGGTCCCATTGCTCGCAGCTGCCCTTTGCCACCCTCCTGGCTCTGGTTGAGGGAGCCACGCTCCTCTCCTGCTGGGGTGACCCCCTGGGACAGAGACGAGGGACCTGAGGCTCGGAGACTGGAGGACACCGCCCCAGGTCACACAGTGTTGGGGCTGGGATGCTTCAGAGCCCCCCCTGCCCCCCGCTGCTAACCGTGGGGTCGGGGGCTTCTCCCTGCCTCTTCTCCGTCCCTGTCTCACGTCCGTCGTAAACTTCTGGAGGCCCCCCCACAGTGGACACGTTCGGTTCTTGGCTGTGCGTGGAGGTTTCTGACCACAGAGAACCTCCACTCTGGGCTGTGTTGCCCGGCGCGCCCGGCTGTCTGGATACACGCATGTGTGCATGGGCAGTGTTCCCCTCCCCCCGTGTGAGCGTGTCAGGAGCCCAGTGGCGGAGCGGCGGGAGGAGAAGGGGGGACCCTCCGGTTGGTATTGGTTAATGAGGGGCGGGAGGCGCCTGACCTGGAGCCACTGGACCGGCTGCCGAAAGCCTGAGGTGGCTCAGGAAGGTCGCAGAGCCCCCCCGGAGGGGGGGCTGGCCCAGCCCTGGGTCCTGCGTGGGTCCTGTGGGCGGCCCTACCCTCTCTTCCCCGTGAGACGGGGAAGCCGCGCTGTGGGGGTCACACTGCCTCTGCTTGTCACCCAAGACCCCTCTGCCAAGAAGAGAAGGCTTCTCAATTCCCCGTTTCCTGCCTGGCGCTGGCCCGGCGCCCTGACAGGCCGGCCCAGGCCCCGGTCCTCACTGTGGGCCACGCAGCCGCCCAGCCTTGCAGGCCCCTCTGGCTTGGCTCGGCTTTGCAGCGTTGCCCGGCAGCACTGCCCCCTGGTGGCCGAGCGGCCTTCCTGCTGTGACTTGGGCGCTTGGTGGTGGTTGTCACTGTTCTGACCCTACAAGGAACAAACTCACTGAAAATTTGTAGGGAGGAGAAATAGAAAAAAATGAAATGAAAGTGGAAAGTAAATACCACCCAGGAACTCACCAAGAAACAGCCAGAGGCAGTGTCCCAGGCCAGGCACCGGCCAGCACCCACAGGAAGTGCGGAGCCGACCATGTTCTGGTCTTGGCCGTGGTGTCTCGGGTGACAGGCGGGCCTGGCGTGTCCCTCCGTCTGCCTGGAGCGGGGTGACGCCCCTCTCATGGCACGTGGGAGGCAGGCTGGCCCTTGGCAGCACCCCCCCCCGCCCCACCACGTGTGTGGCCCTGTGGCCGGCCGTCATCCTGAAAAGTAAAAGGTCGGCAGTTCGGTCCCTGGTCAAGGCACAGGCCTGGGGTGCGGGTTCGACCCCATCTCGGTCTTCAGCCACCCAGCCGGCCGTTCCAGGTTGGGCGCCCTCCCCACCCCCCCACAAACCGATACGTTCCAGGGGAGTGGTCTTCCTGTGCTTCCCTTTCTGGTGATTAAACACCACTTCCTGTCGAAAATTCGGAAAACATAGAAAAAGCCAAGGAGAAGGAAACACAGCCCCCTGGCCCGGAGCTGCCTGCCCCCGGGTCACGCCTGTGTGTCGTGGTTCTGGGTGTATTTGTAACTGGGATCTCCCCCAGGGGCCGTATCCAGTCTTTCAGGAGGGCGACCTCCGCATCATTAAAGCCCCTGGGAGCCCCCAGCTTCACTGAGGAGCCTGGTTCCCCTGCAGGCCCGTCCTCGGGGCGCTGTCCTGCCCCGTCTCCTCTGGCCCTTTGCCCTGGAGGGTTCCCGGCTACTCTCTCTCCCACCTGGGGCTCTCACCCGTTGTTCTGGTCACAGGCTCTGGGCAGCGGCTTTGGCCTTTGTCACCTGCACCCCAGGGCTCTGTCACTGTGCTGGGGACCCAGGCACAGATGGGCTCAGTGTTCGCTGCCCCCGGGCCAGGCTGTCTCCAAGAGCCTCTCCCGCGGGGAGCCTGGGCACCGCCCCACCTGACACCCACGGAGCCCGTCCCCCCGATCTGTGGGTTCTGCCCAGAGCCGTCTGCACTGTGAGTGTCCGATGGTGTTGAGGCCGCGGCGGCCTCCCACCTCAGGCAGCCCCCGAGGTCCCTGCTTTGTCCGATGCTGGGGTGGTAGACCCCCTCGGCAGGTGGCCGGGGCCCAGCCTGGTGCTGCGTCCCCTCTTTAGGGCCCGGGCAGGGGCAGGGGTCTCTGGTGCGGGCTTCCTCCGTCTGGTGGGCTGAGGTGCTGGGCCCTGCGACCTGCAGGCGCCTGCGTGTACCACGGGGCTGTCCAGTAGGCGGCCTGGGCGCCACGGCCGCCTTACCAGGTGTCGCGGTCGGTTGGGACAACCTCCCCTTGGGGCCCAGGCCCCCCCAGGGCCCAGGCAGCGCTGCCCCGGAGCCGAGGGGGCCGGGCAGGAACACCCGCCGGCCACCGGGTCTGAGGCCCGGTCTGCGTTCTCCCGCGGGCGCCTAAGAGCAGACAGAGCTCAGGATTTGCCGTCAGAAGTGAGACTTCCGCAGCGGCCCGCTGGGCGCGTCTGTGCCAGGCGGGACCCCCGGCGCCTCGCTCTTGCTGGGGGGGCCCGGCCCGAGCACTGGCGCCTGCCCCCTAAGGCCCGACCTGCTTCCATTTCAGGTTCGCCTGCAGACCTGGTGAGTCTCCTGCTCCCCCGCTCCTGCCGCCCGCACCCCCACGCCCTGCGTGCCCGGCAGGGCCCACGTGCTGGCTCTCAGTGCCCCTGGGGCCTCTCGGCGAGCCACCCTCCACAGTCACCGGGCCCGGATGGCTGAGCCCTGCCCGGCCAACCCCCGTGCCGCTTCCCAGCAGCTGGCTCTCGGCCAGGGGTGCCCAGCGTGTGACATGTGTCTGTCCTCCTGCCCCCCCGTCTATTCAGCTGACCTGAGGGTAAAGCCCCTGAGTCACATGTGGGGCGTGGACCTTGTGTCCTGCCCCAGCTGTGGGGACAAGTCCCCTGCACTTAACAGGCACTTAAAGGCTGCTCACCCGGCCCTGCTGTGGGGGCAGAGACGCCCCCGGTCGTACAGAACAGGACGTGTCCCGGGCAGCTGACAGGGCCCAGGCTCCGGCGGGGAGGCCACAGGGCTGGGGCAGTCGGGCAGGCTTCCTGGAGGGAGGGGGTTGCAGGTACGGCAGGGCAGAGGGCAGAGGGGAGAGGGGAGGTGGGCGTCCCAGGGCTGGACCAGGCACCGAGGTGGAAGGGAGAGGAAGGGGAGTGGGGCCGCAGAGAGGATCCTGGCCCCCTTCCGCCTCGGGCCCTCTCTCTGGGGGTGCGGGGCAGCGTCTGAGGTGGGGCAGCCTTGTCTCGTCACTGGTGCCTGTCCTTCCCCTCACAGGACGCCCCCGGAGCCGGACCAGGTGAGTCTGTGGGCTTGGCTGCTGCCCTCAGTGGCCACCCGGGTGCCGAGCTCGCACCGGGCCCTGGCCACTGCTCGGCTTTCCCCTGCCTCCCGGGCCCCGCCCCCGCCCCGTGTGTGTCCCCCAGCCCCCCAGTGGAGGGGTGGTGTCCTCGGACGTTGGGTTCTGTTGCAGTCTCTGCCGTTTTGGGCCCCCTCTGCGCAGTGTCACGGGACCGTGGCTTCTCGGGGTTCAGGCTGACAGCATCACATGTCGGGAAGTCTCGGCGCCACCCAGTGCCGGGAAGCCAGGCCCGCTGCCGCTGCTGTGGTGCTGCCAGGCCCACGCCGGCGGCCGAGTCAGAACGGGGCCCAGTCTAGGAGCGGCCCGCCCGGTCTGGGGGTCTCAGCCAGGACCCCCATTTCAGCCCCAGAGCTGCTCGGACCAGCTGTGTGGCCTTGGCAAGCCCCTGGCCCGGCTGACACAGGGACCTTGTCCCGGGCCACCCGGGCCGGCTCTCCGCCAGCGCTGTGGAAGGCGGTGGGAAGAGAGTGCCGTTCAGAACTGAGCTGCCGCCCGTCCCGGCCCCGAGTCTGCCGGTCCCGAAACACACAGAACAGTGGCTCGGGAGTCTTCCGGGCAGAACCAGGCCCGGGCCACCGCTGCTGCTCTGTCGCCCACAGGCCCCAAGATGGTGGCTGTGCAGAATTACCATGGCAACCCCGCGCCCCCCGGGAAGCCTGTGCTGACCTTCCAGACGGGTGATGTGATCGAGCTGCTGAGAGGGGACCCCGAGTCTCAGTGGTGGGAGGTGGGTCCTGGGCCCGGACCCTGGGGACCCAGCTCCCCCACCCCCACCCAGGCTCCCCGGCTGGGTCTGCGGGGATAAGAGGCAGCGGCAGCTGGGAGAGGGGCTCTGGTCGCAGCGCCGAGTCAGCTGCGGAGTTACGCCCGTGGGCCTCGGTGTTCTCTGCGAAGCAGGGACGCCCGCGCCCTCCTGCCCACAGTGGGTGTGAGGGCTGCGGAGGTTGTAGCAGGACAAGCGGGTCCCCCACGTCTGGGGAGCTGCCCTGACCCTGTCCTGGCCCTCAGGGAGCAGGGAGCCACTCCACCCTTAGGCCAGGCCCAGCGCTGACCGCCCGGCATCTTTTAGGGGCGGCTGGTGCAGACCAGGAAGTCGGGCTACTTCCCCAGCACGTCCGTGAAGCCCTGCCCCGTGGACGGACGGGTGAGCACGACCGCAGGAGCTTCCGGAGCATGGGGGCCATTGCCAGGGCTGCCCAGAACTGCGTCCTCACTGGGGATGTCCTTGCCAACTGGCCAGTGGGAGCTGGCCCTGGAGCACAGTCAGAGAAGATGGGTGGGGGTCGAGGGGCAGGGTGACCCCCCATTTGGGGGACTCAGCGAGTGGGGGGCTGCGCTTTGCCGAGGTGCGGCAAACACACAACCTCCACCGCGAGCCCGGCCCCCAGGAGCCCTGTACCCGCGTTTGAGCACTCAGGGTTTGTGCCGGTCTGGCCCCCAGACACCACGCTGCCGTGGCGGGCCGCCTGCCTGCCCTGGGCCCCCGTCCACACCAAAACACTCTGTGGTCTTTGGCAGTCACACCCTTCCGGGGCTGTGGGCGCACTGGTCGTTAGTTGCTACTCATTCATTCATTCATTCATTCCACCACTCACCCGTGAAACCTGTGCATCCACTGAGGGTCCTGAGTCCCAGACACTGCCCTCAGGGACCTCGCAGTCCAGTGGCTCTGACCCGACAGTGGTCCAGTTGTTGCTGACAAGACCCCCTCTGGCTCCCATGGTCTGGGCAGCCCCTGAGGGGACATTAACCTGAACATTCTCTTTTGCCAGCCACCCACTGGCCGGCTGCCGTCCAGGGAGATTGACTACAGTGCTTACCCCTGGTGAGTGGACAGGTGGGGCTCTGGGCTGGGGGCGGGGCCTCTGGGCTGGGGGTGGGGCCCGGGCTGGGGACGGGGCTCCAGAAGCCCATTAGCAGGCAGGGTCCAGGTTCTGGGCTGTCTGCAGGCTGGCAGAGCCCTGCAGCCCCAGCCCCTCTCCTTTCTCGGCCCCTAAGTCACCTGGAGTTGGGGGTCGTCCATCCCTTGGCAGCTGGTTTGCCTTGTCAGGGCACATCATCGGGTGGAATGTTCGGGAGAAGGGAGTTCTTTTTTTACGCAACCTTCATCGAGGTTTGTCATGTGCAATACAGGAAAGCCACGTGCTGCAGGTCAGATCGAGTCAGGCACACACTCAGCTGCGGCTCCGCCAGGACAGTGAGGGCAGCTGTGTCGATAAAAGCCTGAGTGAGGGGGGGACACTGCAGGGACGGGTCACAGGTGCAGGTGGGCCTCGGAGTCCGGCATTTGTCACTCCACCTGCCGCGTCACCCGGCCACCCCTGCAGGGGCCACAGTGTGGGCGGCTTTAGTGTGGGCACCGCCCGCCCCGGAGCGTCCAGCCTCACGGTCTTCAGTTTGGGGCTCTTCCCTGTAGCCCCCCCACCCCGTGCCCGGCGCTGTGCCGGGGCTGTACCTCGATGTCCCACACCCGGGCTCAGTGGCTTTGGTGTGTGTCCGGGAGGCCGGGCCTGCTGGCGCTCGCCCTTCCCCCACGCGGAGGTCTCACGGGCACAGGGGGCCCCCCAGCCGCGACTTTCACCTGATGGCTGAGCTCACAGGACCTGAGATTCCTAATGGCAGGCCTCGCGTCTGCACACTGGGACACACGTCTCGCTTCAGCCTGACAGGGAGGCATGAAGGGCGACGGGTTTTGTTTAGGAAGCGGGGCTGGGGGCTCGCCCTCCGTCTGGGCTGGCTTTGGCCCTAGCAGAGGTGGCAGCCAGGGCTTCCTGTGTGAATCTGCCCGAACTCCTTCCAGGGCGTGTCAGTGGTCTCTGGTGTGTTACAACAAAACCCATGCGGGAACAGCTTTTATTTATCGCTGCTTTTTCTTTAAAGACTTTATTGGTTTATTTACTTTTAGAGAGAAACAAAGGGAGGGAGAAAAAGAGGGAGAGAAACATCAGTGTGTGTTTGCCTCTCATGCCCCCCCCACTGGGGACCTGGCCCACAACCCGGACATGTGCCCTGGCTGGGAATCGCACCAGCAAACCTTTGGTCTGCAGGCTGGCGCTCCGTCCACTGAGCCACACCAGCCAGGGCTTATCACTGCTGTTCAAACTCTGAAAACCGACCCTGGCGTCGGTGTCGCCCTGGACCCCTCTTGCAGACCCTGGGGTTCTCATCCCCCTGGACCTCCATCTTTCCTGCGCCCTTCTGTGCCCACAGGCTGATACCCCGCCCCCGCTCAGTCTCTGGGCCCCGCCCACCGCTGGCCCTGCCCACGGGGGCGTGGCCTCATCCTAACGGACACATTATGCAGATTAGAGTTTCCGTGGCAGGCGGCCAGATGGGGGGGGCGGGGCAGATGCCAGAGGCTCGGTCCGTGTGTGACCACCCTCACTCCTTCCCATGTTCTAGGTTTGCCGGCAACCTGGAGAGGCAGCAGACGGACAACCTGCTCAAATCCCACGCCAGTGGGACCTACCTGATCAGGGAGCGGCCGGCGGAGGCGGAGCGCTTCGCCATCAGCATCAAGTACGTGGAGGCCGCGTGGGCCACGGGGACGTCCCCGGGGCCGTTCTGAACCTCAGACCCCTGTCCCCTCCAGGCCTGGGGCTTGCTAGGTCGGGCTGGTTGTGGACCGTAGTGTCCAAATCTGGACGTTTCTGAGAGGAGCGGTGTCCACAGGTCCCTCGTGAGCCGTCCCAGCTGCCATCGGTCCCTAGCTGCCCCATGGGCTCGGTTGGACGTTTTTGGGTTACGGGGAACCCGAAGCTCAGAGAAGCTCGGTCCCCAGAGCAGGGCAGGGATGCTGTGGGCTCAGGGACATTCCAGTGGCACGCAGGTGGGCCTGGGGGAGTGCAGGACGGCCACACAGCTGCCATCTGGTAGCCGCAGTCAGTGGTACTTGGTCTGGGTACCCCCCCAGACCAAGGGGGTGGTTGCCCCCTCATGGGTCTGCGGTCCCCTCTCCCAGGGGCTGGTCACCAGTGGCATAGGACGCCCACTGGACAGGAGTTGTGGGCCGGGCTGTCGAGAACCCCACTCGGGGTGGCCTGTGTCCCACCAGCCCTGTGTCCCTGGGGGACCCGTTCGGCTGGGGTGTGAAGCCGTTTCATAGGATTGGTTCCTGCAGCTGCAGGTCTGGAGGGAGGTTCCGTGTGTGGAAGGTTTTAGCATCTGCCGTCCTAAGGGATGTCAGTGTGTTATCCTCTGTCCTGTGGGGCCCCGGTCTGCCCTCCGTGTCAGCTGGAACGGGCGGGGTTGGCACCTGGGGAGGAGGGGTCGGAGGGGGCTCACCAGCACAGCCCCGTTTGGGCTGAGACCTGCGGACACGGTGCGCTGCGAGGCTGGCAGTAGGGCGCGCAGTGGGGCAGAGCTGGAGGCCGGGCGGCTGCGGGGCGGGGTGTGGAGCTGGGGACTCTCAGGAGACCGTGCCACCTCGGGGGTGGGTGCTCCCCTCAGGCCTCCTGGGCACAGGTCAGACCTTTGACCTACCTACGGGGCGAAGGCCTCACAGGTGAAGGGGACACAGGGGCCCACCAGTCCTGCCTCAGGAAGTGGCCAGGGGAGGAGAGTTGTGGGGCTTCTGGGACTTGCAGGCTGACCGGAAACAGGCAAGGGGGACAGACAGATGGACAGATGAGCAGTAGGAGACAGGCCCAGACCCGGGCGGGTGGGGAGAGGGCTGGAGGGACGCGGCCGTGGAACCCGAGGTGTGAGCCGAGGGCCTTGGGTGTTTGCCTCTGTGACGTGCACCGAGCCTGGGCCCCGAGGGGCTGACCGCGGTGGTCCGCGTCCTTCATCCAGGTTCAATGACGAGGTGAAGCACATCAAGGTGGTGGAGAAAGACAGCTGGATCCACATCACAGAAGCGAAGAAATTTGAAAGCCTCTTGGTGGGTGATTCTGTGGCTCCCGCCGGCCTGGCCCTGGGGGTGGGAGGGGCCCGGCTTCCCTCTGCGGCCACAGACCCGGCCCGCACCCCATGCCTTACAGCCTCATTGCTGCCCCTGAGTCAGGGCCGTCCCCCAAAGCCCCCAGAGGGCCAAGTGGGCTGACCGTGGTGGGCAGTGAGGGGAGGGCCCAGCCCGCCCCGGCCACCAGCGGATCGGCAGCCCGTTCCTACCGGTCCTCCTGCCAGGGCCAGAAACCGTGGTTCACTGAGGCTCCGTCAGGGCCTGGCGTGTAGCCACCTCACACTCGGGGGGCTTCCCACGGCACCCCTTCCCTGCCTGCCCCCCACCCCCGCACGTTCACAGCCCACCTGGAACGCACGGAACAGCACAGGTCTCCAGGTGGTTCGTAAAGTCAGACCCATTAACCCTCTTACTGCAAGTGGCCGGTGCTCTCAGACCCTCCAACCAGAGAATCTGGGCGCTTCGGCCCCCCACCGTGGCCCCCCCAGAAGCCCAGAGTGAAACAGGAAGTCCCCACCAAGCCCTCTCCCCCCATAACCACTGACAGCGCCGTTGCAGCCCCTCAGCGCGGTGGGACCCCCCCTGTTTGGATGCCCCCCTTTCCCGGGTGGCGTTTGCTCCTTCGGAGAAGCTGTTATTTCTAGAAGCCTTTCCCTGGTGTCCGACCCTGGGGGGCTTCCTGCTTGTCTCCATCACACAGCCTCACACACACACCTCAGTCTCAGCGTTTCACGGACATTCCCGTCAGAAACTTGTGGGAGAGAAGTGGCTGGATCGAAAGTCTTCGAGACACTGACCCGCCACCCTGGGCCTAGTGCTGAGGGGAGAAGGGCCAGGCAGGTCTCGGGATCGAGGGGAGGAGCTCCCTCCGTGAACCCAGGAGGTGGAGGAGGGAGGCCTGCCTGGAGGCAGTGGCCACAGTCAGTGAGCACACGTGTCCCGCAGGAGTTGGTGGAGTATTACCAGTGCCACTCTCTCAAGGAGAGCTTCAAGCAGCTGGACACCACGCTCAAGTACCCCTACAAGTCACGGGAACGCTCAGCTTCCAGGGCCTCCAGCCGGTCCCCAGGTGAGGCCCCCGCCCACCCAGCCCGCCAGGGCTCCGCTGTCCCAGTTCCCACGGCCCAGGCCCTCCCTGCCCACTACCTGCCCTGGAGGAGGGCTTTCCATGGGCCACACTGACCTAGGCCGGCAGCCTGTTCCCAAGTACCGGCTCCTGGGAGCAGTGGCCCTGACACCCCCCAGCCCATCACAAGCACCCTCCCAAGCCGGGGTGCCCTGGTGGTCTCAGGGGACAGGTGGGGTACGCCAGCTCTGACTCTTGGTGCCTCTGCCCAGAGGTCAGCACGTGAGAGAACTGGGCAGGCCCACCTGCCCTCAGATCCCTCCCTGTGCCCCGCCCCCCAGGGCCTCCACTGTGAGAAAGCCGGGCCCAGCGCCTGTGAGTGGGGTGCAGCCCTGCAGCCCAGGCCAGGGGCCACCTGGGGTGGGGGCATAGTGGGCCTGGAGCGTTGTACGTCCAGCCCAGGACCACCCCCGAGCCGCTCTGCTTCCTCCGGCCTGCAGGGGCCTGAGGAGCCCTGGGTCCAGGCAGAGCAGGCAAGGGAGGGGTGACGGGCCTTTAGTGAGGACCTGCTCTCTGCGGGGGCCGGGGGTGGGGCTCTAAGCACGGAGCCCCCGGGAGGAGGCGCCCCTGATTTGCCATCTGGGATATGCAGGTGCAGGGGGAGTGAGGGGGGCTGGGAAGAGCCGCTGTGCCCAAGCCCGGGTGGGCCTGCAGGCCGTCCCCTGCCCTTGGCCCCACCCCTGCCGCTGTGGCCGTGCGCCGTGGGTCCCTCGGACGCTCCTGCACCCCCTGTCACCTCCTCTCTCGCCTCTTTGCAGCCTCCTGCGCCTCCTACAACTTCTCTTTTCTCAGCCCTCAGGGCCTCAGCTTCGCTCCTCAGGGCCCCTCCGCTCCCTTCTGGTCAGGTACCGCCGCCCTCCCCGCTGCCGCCACCTGTCCGCCACGCACACCCCGAGCGGTGGCTCCGCAGCTGGTCAGCCCTCGTCCCTTGTTGCTCTCTGGGAGCTCTGCCTCTGGTCGCGGTCAGCACCCAAGCGGCCACCCTCATGGTGGGGGTGGGGGCGCAGAGCCGGCGAGGCCCGCTCAGCGCTGTGGGACTTGTAGGGGCAGGAGGACGGGGTCTCCGTGGCCCCACTGCATGGCCGTCCGCTACCAGAGTTCAGGGCCCTCCCCCTGCTTTGTGTGCTTTCCCCGTCACTGCGACCTGTCTGTCCGTCAGGACTCCGGGGCCCCGGGCTTGGTTCCAGTCTGGTGGGGCATCTGGACCTGGGACGAGTGGGAGGCCGGGCCGGGGCAGGTGCTGTCGGAGTGCAGGTGGGCCCTGGCCTCGGGCAGGCGGCGCGGGGGCTGCAGCGGTCAGAGTGTGGGCAGACGGCCCCGGCCCGGGTGGTGACCCCCCGGGTTCCCTCCAGGTGGGGGGACCTCAGACCACGTGCCGCCCTGTGGTCTCTACAGAGGAGTGAGGGGCCCCGCAGTGGGGCCGGGCTGCGACGTCCTCTCCCCGGGCACTGGGCCGGGCCCCTGGGGAGAGAGGCAGCGGTGTGACGCCGCCCGCGTCCCCAACAGTGTGCACGCCCCGCGTCATCGGCACCGCCGTGGCCAGGTACAACTTCGCTGCTCGGGACATGCGGGAGCTCTCGCTCCGGGAGGGCGACGTGGTGAAGATCTACAGCCGCATCGGCGGGGACCAGGGCTGGTGGCGGGGCGAGACCAGCGGCCGGGTGAGTGGCCCCGACTGCCCAGAGGCCCCCGGGGCGGGGGGGGGGGGGACCGGGGCTGCGGCCGCACGTGACCCAGTGCAGCTCCTCCCGGGGTCTGCGAAGGAGCCGCCATCTGCCCCGAGTCTCCTGTGTCCAACCCCGAGAGGCATTGTTTTGTGCCCGGCAGTCGGTGCTCCCCCGATTCACCTTCCCTGTGCGTGTTGGGGTCTCCGCGCCCCCACTGCCCGGAGCCCCCGGTCTGGCCCGCAGTGCGGGTCTGCGCCGGTGTATCTCGGTGTTCGCTGGGTCTGAGTGCCTCTGGGTTTCACTCTCTTTCTCCACGTGCTCACAGTAGGGTTCTCATAACTGACTTTGACGCGCTGTCAGACTTAGAGAAGTGCCGCGGCGGGTGCCCGGCTTCGCCGATCAGGACCGAGGTGCCCACCTCTCCGCCTGTTGCCTCTTCTCTGCCCCGGCTCCGACACACACACACTTACTTCTTTCTAAACCATTTAAAAATATATTTTATTAGAGTTGGAGAGGGAGGGAGAAAGAGAGGGAAAGAAACATCAGTGTGCGGTTGCCTCTTGAGTGCCCCCCACTGGGGAACCTGGCCTGCAACCCAGGCATGTGCCCTGACTGGGAATTGAACCCATGATCCTTTGGTTCGCGGGCCGGTGCTCGATCCACCGAGCTACACCAGCCAGGGCCCATTCTGGGGCTTCTATGTGCTGAGTTCTGTTCTCTGCTAAAATTTTCTGCTTTTCCATCCCTCTTCTGGAGCATTCAAGTTAGTCTCTTACCTTCCTGGCGATCACGTCCCGCATCTGGGGGAGCTGGAGATGGCCCCCGGGCTCTGCCTTCCCCTCCCCGCCTGTCACTGGACCCTGACTGAGCCCCGAGCTTGCGCCTACGGGACCCTGGGGCTCTGGGTGCTGCTGCTTTCTCCAGACGGGGTGTTTTTTCCTAGCTGGCGGCTAGAAAGAGAGCAGTTTCATCTTACACTGCTCGGGGCTGGCACATTCACTCCAGGCTCCCGTGTGCACCTGGGCCCCGCCCCACCAGGCACGCAGCCGCTTTTCCTGGGCGGGGCAGCCTTTCGAAGGAGCCCTCCCGTCCCGGAACCCGAGCTCGCCCTCACCCCCCCCAGCCCCGCCCTTACTCTGTCCTGCGGTCTCTTTCAGGTCGGCTGGTTTCCCTCAACCTACGTGGAGGAGGAGGGTGTCCAGTGACGGCAGGGACACCGGGGACTCGGGAGCCTCCTGGAAGGGTGGCGCCAGCTTGACGTGCGGCTCCAGGTCCTGACCCGGAGGGGAAGCGCCCGCCGAGCCTCCTGTGCGCAGCAGCCTGCAGGGGCGGGGAGGGTGGCCCAGGCTCTCGCTCACCGCAGACCGCCCCGCCAGCCGCCTGCCCTCGGGGGCCTGTCCGGGGCTCGCCACTTGTACATAGAGGAAACCTGGCTGCCCGCGGAGGCGCGGGTGCCGGGTGGCAGGTGAGGCCGGGGCTCGTCTTGCCCCTGCCTGGTGGAGATGCTCGAGGAAGCCTGGCTTTGGACATGGATGCGGTCCCAGGGAGGGCTGGGCGCGCGGAGGGGACCTTCCCCGCACCCTTTCTGCTTCGCCTGGACCCTTGGCCCTCTGGCTTCCAGCTGCTCCCAGGGGCCACCTCAGGCCCTGAGGGGTGCAGGTGTAGGAGACGCACTGCAAGGGGCCTCTCTCGGGAGGGAGCCTGGGGACGAGCCAGTCGCTGGCCTGCCCCCTGGCCCACGGTACTGCCTGTGCCCCCGCTGTCCGCAGACACGCATCTCTGTGAACCCCAGTGCGGGCAGGAAGGCCTCCCTCCCTCTGTCCCTGCTGCTCGCCTTCCTCTGTGGGAGGAGGCCCCGCCCTCCCGTGCGGGGCGCCCTCTGGGTGTCGCCTGTCCTGCAGAGGGGTCCGTGGGGGGCCCCGCAGCCTTTGCACAGGATGTCGGCTCTCGCCCTTGGTCTGTGTTCCCTCTGAGAGCTGTGGCTCGTGAACTGGGCCAGTGGCCAGGCCGAACAAAGTGCTCTTGGAGGCAGCTGTACCCCTGTAACGCCCACTCCCAAATTCTGCTGGCCTTGACCTCTGGCTGGCTTGGCCAGACCCTGTTTTCTCCGCCTGGACGCTGCACGAGACCCAGGGAGAGCCTCCCTCCCAGGGCTGTGGCCAAGCTCCCGGTGCAGCCCGGGCTTCTCGGGGCCCCTCCTCCCTGCGGTCGGCTGCACAGCTCTGTGGGGGGGCCAGGCTGGCCTGCTGGCCACACTGCTCCCTGGGGTCCCTCTGAGGCCAGCCACGTCGCCCCTAGGCGTCCTGGCCTGGGGCGAGGCAGGGAGGGTCCAAGGTGGCGGGCAGCAAGGGGAGGAGAGCGGGCAGCCTGCAGAGGCTCGAGAAGAGGGTGAGCGGAGTGACGCGCCGGGGGCGGGAGAGCCGGCCTCAAAGGGGGCAGACCCTCCTCCCTTTCGGGGCGCACCCTGCACTTTGCGCACGACCCTCGGCTCAGTGGGTTGGGCCGCCAGCCCCCGTGGGAGGGGATGGGAGGGGACGCGCCCGGCCGGCCCCGTTTTGTTTACTGTTGTCCGGCTTTGTGTTTCTGTTGCTATGTTTTTGGTTTGGCTTGTTTGCCTTTTGAGGGAAACAGAAGTGTGTAATTATTTCATCCAAAGCTCCCAGTATCTGTCCATCTGTGAATACTAAGGACGAGATTTTATAAGATCAGGAAAACAATGTGTATTCGAGCCCATCCTGAAGCAGGTGGCCGTGACACCAAAGGACGCCGAGAACACCGGATCTGGAGCCCTGGGTTTTGTGAATGTTCGGTTTCGTTCTTCCTGACACGTGGGGTTGCTTTGGTTGGGTTTTGCACTGTTCCACGCGGCAGAGGAGGGGCGGGGGCCGGGGCCAGGGCCAGGGCGGGGCCGGGGCGGAGGGGCTTCAGGCAGTGAACGCCTGCGGCCCGAGCACATGGGTCCGGGATCTGGGGCCCTACAGCCGAGGTGACCCCAGGTGGAACGCAGACTGTACATTTGCCAATAGGTTTTTTCAGACCACAGTTTTTACTGCAAATAAACCTCAGTTCTTTTCTTTGGGAGTGGCTGACCTTTTGTGCTGGTGGGGCGGGGGAGGGTGTGGCTGGATTCCTGTGTCTCCCTCAGGGTCTGCCCTGCTCGGGTGGGGCCAGGTCAGCCCAGGGGACGCGGCTTGTGGGTCTGGAGGAGATCATGACACCAGCCGGCACCTCCTCCTGCTGGCACAGCACCTGGCCCCCGGGCAGCCCCGGGGTGGCAGCTGTCCTCCTGTCTGGAGGGATCTGAGCCCGGCTTCGCCCTTCCTCCCCCACCCCCCCTGTTGCCTTGTGTGTTGGGAGATAAACTCAGTGCTCTCCCCTGAGGGCGGGACTGGCCTGTGAGAGGGTCCCTTCTTCTGCCAGGAGGCAGTCAGAGGCGGGCTCTGGGGCGGATGGAGCACCACCCCTGCCCATTCCTCCCCTTCTCAACAGGTTCTCCCCCCCAGGAGGCTGGTGGAGCTCCTGCTGGGGGCGTCCGTGGCTGGAGCGGGGGTGGGCACAGCCCGTCCTGCCCCTCCTGACCCGGAGCCTGGGCACCGGCCACCACCGGCTGCGGGGGAGGCTGGACTCGCGGGGCCTGGGTGGGGCACACGGCCCCCCTGGGGAGCGCCAGGCCCTGGTCCTGAGGAGGCAGGAGCGTGGCCTTCGGGGGGGCCACGGGCCACATGCCCGCCCCACGGGGTCCCCAGGGGCCAGTGGAGCCTCGGAAGCAGGTGCCCAGCTGGCGCTCAGCAAATGTCAGCAAATGTCCGAAAGGAGGGAGGCGGGCTCAGGTGTTGGAGGTGACGCAGGTGCCCCGAGGCTGGCTGGGGGCCTGTTCTGGGGCAGCCCCTCCCTGAGAGCAGCTCCCAGGCCTGAGTCCACGAGAGGCCGGTTCCCACACCGGCTCCCCGAGAGCCAGCCCCTCACTTCCGAGTCTCGCACCCACGTGGAGGACACAGCGCGGGGGGCCGAGCGAGACTGGGCCACCCAGAGGAAGCCCTGACCCCAAGCAGAGAGTGTGGCGGCCCGAGGGGAGGCTGCTGCGTCCATGGGCAACTTCAGGGGGCGGGTGCTGGGGACCAGGGACCCCAGAGCATCTGCTGTGGGTCCAGACCCAAAGTGTGGGCGTCCCGCCTGTCCGAGGGCCCACATGTGGACAGGGGAGGGGGCCGCCTGGCCAGGGTTCCCTGGGGCGTGTGTGGGGGGCAGGGTGGAGCTGGGCAGCCCGGCATCGACCAGGCCCCACTGCAGCCTGATGAGGGAGGGGGTGTCAGGACACCACTCGGTGTAAACGTGAGCACTGGGAGAGGCGGTGTGGTGAGCCGGGCGGCACGGGGACCGGAGGGAGGGAGGTGGGCGGTGGCCACGGGGACGGTGCAGGGAAGAGCACCTTGCTCTTCTCTGGGCTTCTACGCCCCAGCAGGGCCGGGGCGGGGGCTCGGTTTTCTGTCGCTGCCGGACGGACGGATCGCCGCAGACGCAGCGGCCCAGGCAGCCCCGCCTGTCGGCCTGCGGGTCTCGGTGTCACGGAGGCGCAGGCGGGCGTCCCTGGGCTGCGGTCCAGGTGCCGGCACAGCCGTGCGCCTTTGGGGGGCTCCAGGCAGAATCCATCTGCCTGCCTTTTCCAGCTTCCAGAGGCTTCCTGCATTCCTGGAACTTGGTCCCTGTCCTCCCTCTAGAAAGCAGAGGTGCCTCTGGGACCCTCCCTCAGTCACAGCTGGCCCCCCCTCCGATCACAGTGGGCAGAGCGTCCCGGTTCTTGAGGACTCCGGTGAGAGTCCAGGAGGAACGCTGGGGCGCTTGCCCAGGTGGAAAGCCCGGCCCGGGGCAGGGGACAGAGCCCAGGCCCCCCAGGTGCCGGAGACAATGGAAAAGCCCCTTCAAACCCAGGACCCCAACGGACGTTGCCCCGCAGGTCAGGCCGTGTGGGAATGGTCCCCGCCCCCGGCCGGGATGGGCCCCACTCTGTGCCTCCTCGATCGGTGGAAGGGAAAAGCCTTCCCCAAAACCGCCTGTTGTGCACGGATCTGTGTCCTTCCCAGGAAGCCGGGTGGCTGCTCCTGCCCGGTGCCTGGTCACGTGACTGCTGGGGAGTCAGGCCCCTGCAGGTGTGGTCGGGCAGGGAGAGGGAGGTCCCTGGGTGTCCCTGTAAGAAGGTGGGATTTGAATGTAGACCTGTGCAGAGGGACAAGTCCGTGGGGACAGAGATGGAGATGGGGTGACCCTTGTCAGCCAAGAGACCCCAAAGATGCCAGCAAACTGCCAGAAGTTTGAGAGAATGGGACAGAGGCTCCCCCAAATCCCTCAGAAGGAACCAGCCCCTTGGACACCCAGACCCTGGACTTCAGGCCTCCAGAACCAAGGGAGCCCAGTTCTGCTGCTGAGGCCGCTCCACTGTGGTCCTCTGTCACTTTGTCTCGGGGACACTCATGCCCTGGGTGACTGTTCCCGGGCCTGGAGGTCTGCACGTCCAGAGCCGAGAGCGGGAAGCAGGGTCCCAGCTGTGGGCACTCCTGCGACCTTGGGCCCCTGTCCCGATGACAGGGGTTGCCCATCCCGCGGAAAGCCGAGCGCTGGGGCACTCACCGTCCTACAGAAGTGAGAAGCCCCTGGTGGCCCGCTGCCCGGGCAGCCTGCAGGGGGCTGGCAACGCCCCTCTTAGACCACAGCAGCGGGGTCGGCTCAGACCTGGTCGGAGAAGGGGTAGTGAGCCGGGAGGCAGCGCCGGGGATGTGAGAGGGTCCAGCAACCGTCCACTCCCAAGAGACCCAACAGACCCGAGGGAGACGAACTGGAGGGTGGAGTCGGGCAGTATTTGAAGGAACACTGGCTGGCCGCCTTTCAGAGCAAATCCAGGGCCAGTGTGGAGGGTCGGGGACCCGAAGACCCCCAAGGAGCGTACATCGAAGCAGACCAGTCTGGAGCCGACCAGCGAAGCTGCGAAACACTGCAGGCGGGGGGAGACCTTCACAGTAGCTGGCCGGCCCTGGGCGGCGTGGCTCAGCTGGGCCGCAGCCTGTAACCAAAAGGTTGTGGGTTCAGCCCCCCCCAGTCTGGTGTGTCCGGGAGGCAGCCAGTTGGTTCTCCTCTCTTGCATCGATGTTTTTCTCCTCCTCTCACTAAAATCAGTGCAAAGATGTCCTTGAGTGAGGGTTTAAAAAAAAGAGAAAACTGAGAGGTGACTTCCAGCGAAATGACCATATAGTTAGTCAGTCGCTTGTCAGCCGGGTCTCCGAAGTGTCGGCGTGGAATGCTGCAACCCCCGGAGTGTTTCTCACACACACACACACACACACACACACACACACACACACACACACACACACAAAATACAAAGGCATTTTCAGGGAAAAGAAGGAGCAGAAGCAGTTTAACATGCTCTCCCTGAAGGATTTTCTACAGAAAGTTCTAGAAGGACTTCAGACTGAAGGGCAACAGTAAACATGGGGACATATCGAACTCTGAGAGGAGCCAGTCACGGGGTGTGATGTGGCCGGAGCCCGGGTGGGATTTCCACGGGTGAGCACAAACCCTAAAGGCGGGGCAAGGGGCAGCCGGCACGCGGGACCCTCCACGGTTTGGACAGAGGAGAAGGCAGCAGCTTTGGCGACCGTCTTCCATCTGTGGCCCACGAGCTCCTGTGGGCCTGGCACAGCTCAGCCGGCTCCTGTGTCCAGGTGACAGGCTGTGTCCTCCTCTGGAAGGGTGACCGGGCAAGGTCCCGGTCCACACTTGCTGAGGCAGCTGGCAGAAGTCACTCCCCTGCGGTGTCGGCTGCTGCCACGCTCTCGGCGGGAGCACCTGTCCTGCCCACTAGTTCCCAGTCTTCTGTAACAAGCTGGGGTTCAGGGGTGACACGGGCCACCTCTGCCAGAGGCCCCGCCTGTCCCGTGGGGCAGGGGCTCCGCAGGGCTGGCTGCCTGGCACAAGGAGCTGAGTTAGAAATCAGCGATGAAGTCCACACCAGCAACTTCCAAAGCTCACAGACAGAGAAGCGCATTTCTCAGTAGCAGCCCAGGCTAGGACGGCACTTCAGACCCACTCTCGGTGAGAATTGAGGGAAACGCTCCGTACCCAACTCGAAATGTGCTTCAGACGCTGGACCGCGGTGGCGGTGTCACAGGAGCGGGGGGCTCGGCGGGCTGTCCTGGCTGAGTCGCCCAGGCAGAGTGCACTACACCCGCACCTGTGAAGGGAGGGCCAGGGCTGCGGGCCTGCCCACACCGTGGCCGTGACTGATTTGCAGGGGCTTTTCTCCCAGGTGGGCTAAAAGTGCCAGGTAGTCATCCCCAGGTAAATTCAGAACTTCCCTGCGATGGGCCCCACGGGGGGAATAGCTCCCATGGGTGGGGAAACTGAGGCTTAGCGAGGGGACCAGCCCACGACGGTGCAACTGGCTGGCAGCAGGACCCTGTCTCCGGGTCCCTCACTGGAGCCAGGCCACCTCCTGAGCTGTGCCCTCCAGCATCTGGGGAGACCGCGTGGTCCCTCCGCCTCTCCCAGACTTGAGCAGGCCCTGGTGGATGATGACCCAGCTGACCGTGCCGGGCCTGGCCCTGCAGCCGCCAACCCTTGTCCAAAGTCCAGGGGCTGCTGCTGCCCTCGTGGCTGGTGAGGATTTTGCAACAGCTGCTCATCTGAGCGCAAGGCCCAGAACAGTCAGCGCCGTCCCTGCTGCCGCCCTGGGGCAGCCATGCCCGGCGTGTCACTCATCCGTGGGTCCCGTGCCGGGAATTCTCAGGGGGACGTGGCCACATTCCTCCCTCACCCTCTCTGACCTTGTCGAGTGCAGCCCTGCCTCAGGCCGTGGGGCCAGGCCCAGCCCTCCCGGAGAGACCAGGCCGGCGTCCTTCCCACCTGGACCCAGAGGCCCCCCAAGGAAGCCTGGTGCTGGGGAAGCCACCCGTCCTCTGGGGGAGCCAGGGGACTGAGTGATGGGCTCCGTCCCCATGGTGAGGACAAAGAATGGCGGCAGCACAGGGTCAGGCCAGAGCCCAAGCCACCTCCTCCCAGATGCCCTCCTGGGTTTCCTGCTGGAAGAAGGACCATTTGCTCAGGAGCAGCCCCAGCACATCAGCCACGTCTTCCTCCAGGGCCTGGAGCCCCACGACAGCTGGGTCTCAGCTGCCTCCCGGCTGCCCGCTGCGCTCTGTCCACACTGGGGCTCCCTAAATGTAGAGGACAGACGAGCCAGCCGGCTGCCTGGCCCGCCACGCAGAGCCCGGTCATATGGCGGACTGTCTGCCGCAGCCGCCGGTGTCACCCTGTGGTCACCCACCCCTGATGGGAGCACAGTTTCCTCCGGCCCTGTGGGGCAGGGCTCCTACCCGACACCAGCACCTGCCCGGACTCTGCACCCAGAGGCTGGCCTGCCGGAGCCCCTCGGGGCACCCTCTGCGCTCCGCAGGGACAGAGTGCCCCAGGCCCGGAGACAGACTGCAGTTTCCCCGTTTACTTTCCCGTGTGGCCTGAGGCGAGCTGGCTGCCCTCTCCGGCCCCGGGGCCCCAACCTTGGGCGAAGGCAGGCGTCCCAGGAGGCTCGGGCTGGACGGGCAGGTCCGTGTGAAGGCTTTCTGGCCACCTGCGGGGCCGAGTCTGGGGGCACAAGTGCATATGGGCAGGCAGGGGTCCTTGTGACCCCCGTCTTAGGGGTGAGGCGGTGAGGCCGCCAGCCTGGTCCCTGAGGGCAGTGGATGGGGCCTCAGGGTTCACAGCCCGCTCCACCGCCCGCCTGGGAGCTGCCTGCTTGGCTGCTGCCCCAGCTGGCAGTCTGGGCGGCGTGTCCCTGGCGGTGGGTGGGGCGGGGGCAGCCCAGTTCCGGCTGGAGCTCCGCAGGAAGGAAGGAGGGGACAGCACCACAGAAGCCACCAGGCCAGGCACAGACAGGCCTCTGGGGCAGAGGGGCACTGCTGCCACCCAGGTAAACTGCTCAGGACAGGGGCAGGGCCCGGCCCTCCCCTTGGGGGGGCCCAGGTCACTGTGGGGGGCCCTGGGCAGGGTTCGTGCCTGGTCCTGTCCCTGATCTACCCCCCACCCGATCCTGCAGCAGAAAAGGGCTCCTCTGGGCCCCTCACAGCTAAGGGAGCTCCAGCCCCCAACCATCCACGTGACCCCAAGCCCTGGGCGGTTCTGCACCCTCCCCCCTGGCAAACAGGACGTGTGGCCGACCCAGGGTTGGGAGAGGGTCGGAGGGAGGGGAGAGCGGTTAATGTTGAAGCTGCTGCCTCCAGAGGGCGGAGGGACTCGGGCTGCCCGGGCCGCCCAGCCCAGGTGGGGGTCCCGCACTGGCCGGTGGGCAGGCCGGGCACGTGGCAGCACCCAGGGCCGGAGGCCAGGCGGGAGGCGGGTGAGGGTGCTGGGCGGGGCCAGGGGCGGGGCCAGCCTTCTCCGCACCCACCGGAGGCCAACTTCCCACAGGTAGGACACGTCCACTGGGGGTCCTGGGAGGGGGAGGAACGTCAAGGACCAGAGGTGAGTTCGGACGCTAGCGGGGGTGGGGCGCGCGCCTCCCCATGCCCAGGCCGCCTGCAGGAGCGAGGCCACCTCCACACCTTGGCTCACAGCCAAACCCCTCAGGCTTTCCCTGCCCATCCCGGGGGTCCCAGAAGACCCCTCAGAGGCATCCTTTGTCCCTGTGATGGGCAGGTTCCACCCCCAAGGTGACACCTCTTCAGCACCTTGTGTCTGGAGAAGATGGGCTCCTGGTCACATTCTTCTAATTGTGAGATTTTTCTTGCTGGGGAAGTCTGGGAGGGCTTCCTGGAGGAGGGATTCAGGTGAGCCCTGAAGTCTGTGGGGAGGACAGTGAGGAGGCTGGGGGTGGGCTAGTTTCTGAGCCCCTGCCCGATGCGCAGACGGCTGGACCTCACAGCCCGTCTCAGCTTCTGCCTCAGGGCCCACTGGGCAGGAGTGCCTTCTGTCCGGGTTGAGGGGGCGTCCCCAAGGGGTCGTGTAGGATCCGTGCTAGAGGGCCGCATGTGTCCCTGTGTCAGGGCTGCCGCCACGTGCCACGTGATCCCTGCTCCCATGCACACCGCCCCCCTCCTCCTGCCCTCCTGTCTGAGTGCAGGTGACACTGCCAGCCCCTCCCCACAGCCCCCAACCCCGGCCTCGTCCCCCTGGGTTATTGCCACCATCTCCTCTGGAGGCCCCACCTGTCTCCATGTCCCCTGTCCCGCCACCACCCGCAGCCCCGGACCTGTGGGTCACTGGGTCCCTACCCTCAGGAAGCATCTCAGGCTGTGGGGACAGGTCCCTGTCCTCTCACAGCTGCCCGTCTGGCTTCTCTGTTCTCAGATCCCCTCCAGTCCTCCCCGCCCTTTCCCACTGGGCGCCCCACTTTCCTGGGTCTCATTTTGGCTCCTCCTCCCCACCACGCCCCGGGCCCCGACAGTCCACAGAGCTCTCCAGCTCCATCACAGCCCTGCCCTTTGTCCACCCCCTGGGCTGACCGGGACCTTCTGTCCCCCACCAGGGTCTCCCTGGGCCCAGCCAGGCTGGGCCTGTACAAGGCCCTCAGGAGGCGCACGCTGACCGAGGGCACGAGCCCATGCAGGCCCTGGGGTGGCAGGAGGAAGGCTTGGGGGGCACAGTCCCCTACAGCGTCCTGTCCCCACCCCCCTCAGCCCCAACTCTCTCCCCAGCTCCTTGTGCTGATGCCACCCGGGGTCCCCATGGCCTCGCTGAGCCGAGCTCTGCGAGCGGCCGCCTCACGCCCCGGTAGGAGCCCCGCGCAGCGCCTGGGGCCTCGGGCCCTGACCGGTGGGCCCGGCCCTACCACTGAGAAGAGCGTGCCCTATGAGTGGACCCTGAAGGAGACCCCGGGTCCCTCCGCGGAGGCCCAAAGCCCAAGCCGGCCCCTGCCCAGCACGGCCAGCGTGGTGGTCATCGGCGGAGGCAGCTTGGGCTGCCAGACCCTGTACCACCTGGCCAAGCTGGGCGTGAGCGGGGCCGTGCTGCTGGAGCGGGAGCGCCTGACCTCCGGGACCACCTGGCACACTGCAGGTAGGGCGGGGCCGCGGGGAGGGCGGGGCCGACTCAGCGGGGCGGGCTCCGAGGGGGCGGGGACGGACTCAGCAGGGGCGGGGCCAGGTCTGAACTGGCAGCCACGGCGGCTGGGGGCAGCTGAGCGGAGAAAACGGGGGCTATTCTGTGGGTGGGCAGAGCGGGGCTGCCTGTCCCTACGTCTCCGCAGCTGTGGTGGGAGGGGGAACAGACGCCTCCCTGGGACCCGGGAGGTCGAAGCTGAGGCAGAGCTGGGAGCCAGTTGTCTATGCAAAGAGCAAAGCGGCGCCCCCTCCCTGCCTGTCACAGGGTCCCTGGGGTGAGGGGCGCACGGGCGTGAGGACGGACAGGGAGGGGCCGTCGGGGGCGGGCGGGTGCACACTGGGCTCCTCCAGGACCACCAGGTGTGTCTCCGACTCTCTTTCTCCCGAGTCACCTGTGGGCGTGAATTAAGCACCTACTGTGTGCATGTGCCTAGGGCACCCGACCTTCTGCCCTAACCCTGGGTCAAGTCTACCGGAGTCCGTGGGATAAACATGCCTGATTTGGCAGGTGTCATGCCCCGGGCACGAGGTCACTGGACGTGGGGTTGGGAAGGCATAGGCGGCACGGGTCCTAGGAGGTGATTGCCGCCGCCCCCCATCGGTCTCACGGCCCCTCCCAGCCTCCCGCTCCCCAGGCTCTGGTCCAAGGGCAGGGCCTTGTGGGGGACGGCCGGCTCTGGGCGAAACCGTCCTCCTGCCTCCCTCAGAGGGCGGCCGTGTTTTCGCGGCCATGTCCCCGTGGCCGTGTGGCCCGTGCACGGCCCGCAACAGGTGCTGGAGGAACCGAGCCTCTGACATTGTCACCCTCTGAGCTGCCCGCTGCCTGGCCTTGACCCCTCACCTGCTGCTCATCAACATCTCGGGCTGCAGAGGCTGCAGAGAAAGACCCGGGCGCGGGGGTCTGCCTGGTCCCCGGGGGCCCTGGCCTGGGGGAGGGGGCGCGGCACCCCGACGCTGGGGCAGACCGTGCCGCGCCTCCCTGCCAGGCCTGCTGTGGCAGCTGCGGCCCAGCGACGTGGAGGTGGAACTGCTGGCCCACACGCGGCGCGTGGTGAGCCAGGACCTGCCGGCGGAGACCGGCCTGCACACCGGCTGGATCCAGAACGGGGGCCTGTTCATCGCGTCCAACAGGCAGCGTCTGGATGAGTACAAGAGGCTCATGTCGGTGGGTGCGCCCCCTGCCGGGAGGGCGGGGCAGCGTGGCGGGGGAGGAGCCGCACAGGTCTGGGTTCTAACCACTGTACTGCGCTTGCTGGCAGCGCGGCCTGGGAGGAGGGCCTCTGCTCTGCGAGCCTTGGTCTCCTCCTCCCTGAGAAGGGGCCACGTTGCAGAGCGCAGGGCGCTGAGCCCCGGAGTCTGGGGAGGCGCGTTTGCTGTCGTCACGCCTGCTGCTCACAGGGGCTGCTGGGGCATGGGCTTCGTCTGAGGCCTCCTGGAGGGGGAAGGGCCAGAGCTGGACTTTGTGGCCCAAGAGGGGGAGACTGGGGCCAGAAGAGGCCTGCTCCCCCAGGGCTGAGTCACTGTCCCCTGCGTCCCCTAGCTGGGCAAGGCCTACGGCGTGGAGTCCCACGTGCTCAGCCCGGCGGAGACCAAGGCGCTGTACCCGCTGATGAATGTGGACGACCTGTACGGGACCCTGTACGTGCCTCACGACGGCACCATGGACCCCGCCGGCACCTGCAGCACCCTCGCCCGGGCGGCCAGGGCCCGCGGGGCACAGGTATCCGCAGCCCCGGCCCTGGGCCCCTGCTGCCAGGACACCTGGTCTACCTAAGGACCCCAGGAGCCGAAGGCAGGAGAGCGGGTGCTCTTCTCACTGCTGGGTGGCTTTGGGGCCTCTCTGAGCCGGCTGTCTGCTCCTGGGAGGGCAGCCAGTTGGGTCTGTCCTGCACCCTGTCCTTCCCCCAAGTCCCAGCCCTGAAGGACAAAGGACGCCTCTTCCAGTGTCACCGAGGTGCTTTTATCTTCTTTCCTCTCAAGCGCACACACATTGCAGAAAACCACATTAGGAAAGGCACATGAGCAGAAAAGGACGGACACCCCCACGAGGGCAATGATGTGCCAGTTCACCCCAAGGACATTTCCTGGGCAGGGGACATACTGTGGGTGCATGGACGCTCCCGCCGTTGCACCAGGCGGTGGCCTGCAGGCAGCAGTTCGTCCAACAAGCCTCTTTTTTCACGTCACATTACGGACACAAACCGCTGGGTGTGGGGACCAGCTCTCCGAGTGGGGGAGCACGGGTTTAGTCCTCAGGGCTGCATGGCCCCCTGTCGCCAGGGTTGGCCCCCTGGCAGAAGCAGGGGTCCAGGGCCCATCGGGATGGGGGTGGTGAGAGCCCTGTACGGCTTTGGAAGCAGCCAGTCTCGCCCCAGGTCATCGAGAACTGCCCAGTGACGGGCATCCGCGTGCGGACGGATGACTTCGGGGTTCGGCGGGTGGCGGCCGTGGAGACCCAGCACGGCTCGGTCCAGACGCCCTGCGTGGTCAACTGTGCAGGTGGGTGTGCGTGCTGCTGGCCCCGAGTGGCCGCGGGCGCTCCCAGCCCTGCCCCTCTCTGCGCTGGCCGGGGCTCAGGCCTGCGGGCGCCTGTGCCCCCCACCCCAGGCGGGCTGCCCGGGAAGGTGCCCACAGGGCTGAGCCGTCCTGCTGTGCCCACAGGAGTGTGGGCGGACTCCGTGGGCCGGATGGCTGGAGTCAAGGTCCCGCTGGTGGCCATGCACCACGCCTACGTCGTCACTGAACGCATCGAGGGCATCCAGGCAAGCAGCGGCCCCGGGCTCCGCGTCGGCCGCGGGGGCGCAGGGGCCCCGGCGCTTACACTCAGTGTGACCCGTGTGGGCTCCATCAGCACCTGCGCAGTGAAATGGGCACAGGACTCTGGGTGTTCTGGGTGGTGCGAGACCCCAGCGAGGAGGCAGAGCTGTGGCTGGTGGCGCTGACCTCTGGGCCCTTGGGCACAGCTCCTCGAGGGCGCCCAGGCAGCCCTGCCCCCTGCAGGTGGCCCAGCTTGTCCCATGTCTGGGCGCTGGGCAGGTGGTCCAGGGCAGCCCAATGCCCCTGTGCCCCAAATATGTCCCGATTCCAGCCTCAGAGCCCACCACCCAGCCTCCCAGCCCCCTCCGCTCTCTCTCCTGCGGGGGTGGCTGGTGGCTTCCTGTCCCCCTGTCGTGGGCCACTCCTTTCCCTCCCTCTCTTCCTCCCACCCCTACGTTCATTTCCCTCTGGTCGTCTATCCATCCTTTTAACTGTGCGTGCTTCTGTCCACCCCTCCTTCATCGAGGGCCCTCCGTCTCTCCACCCAGTTATTCATCTGTTTATCTGTCCAGTTGTCTGTCCATCCCTTCGTCCATGTACCCACGTGCACCTCCTCCACTCAGTCATCCACCGATCTGTCACCCGCCATTCCATCTCACGGTCCCCCTTGTCTCCCTCCACCCAACACTGGGGATGAGCCCAGGGTCCCAGCTCGAGTGGAGAAGCTGGGGCTACAACCGAGGGGCCGAGGCCTTGTGGGGGGGGTGCGGGCGGAAGGCCCAGACTAGTGAACGGGCAGGTCCGACAGGCCCCCGGGCCCCCGTCTGTGGGCAGGGGAGGCTCCTGTGGAGGCCACGGCTGGAGGTGGCCGAGAGGGACGAGGTGGGGGAGAGCCCGGAGCCTGGCAGCCAGCTCCGCAGGCCGTTCGGAGGGGCCAGAGGGTCTGGGGTGGGGACGGCGGGAGGTGACACTGCCCCGGTAAAAGGGGGCCTGGGGGCCCTGACCCCGCCCTGGATGAGCCTGGCTTCCTTTGGTCACAGGGAGGCGGGGACACAACCTGCCGGAAGAAAAGTCAGGGGCGGCCCTGGCCACCAGGTGTCCCCACCGCCCTGCTCTCTGGAGCCCGGCTGGCTTTCACTTGGTCCGTAAGGCTGTGGAGAGGCCGTGGAGGTCCCGCTGAGTCCCCCACCCTGTTCCCGAAGGGCCCAGGTCCCGAGTGGCCCTGTGCCCCCCACAACAGCCCCCCGCACTGTGCATAGGTTCTCCTTCCAGTGCTGTGGGGGGTGCACCCCGTCCACATGCCCTCCCCCCACTCTGATCGATTTCTGAGACCATCTCGCCTTGATTTGCTCGTGGGCTGAACCAGCGGCCGGTGCTGGCGGTGGGGAGGCCACGCTGACGAACACTGCTGACCCCGGGCAGGCAGTGTCCGCCTTCCCGTGCCCCCTGGGTGTGTGAATGGCGTTTCTTGCCTGTGGCTCAGGCTTCCGCGTCACGGTCACGGGCCACACCCCCTGTCACCCGTCCGTCCGTCCGTCTGTACCGTGGACTACGATCTCCGTCCGTCCGCCATCCGTCACCCACACCTGTCTGTCATCTCTCTCTCTGTCCATCCGCCTGCCTGCCCCCCACCCGCCAGCACCCCAAACCTTCACCCATTCATTACTGGCCTCTCCCCGGGGGCCACCCGCCCCCGACCTCCGACCTCCGGCATCTGAACTCTGTCTCTGTGGGTTTCATTTCGGACGTTTGATCGGATGGACTCCCGCCGTCTGTGACCTCTCGTGGCCGCCCCTTCCGCTCGTGGGGCGCCTCCAGGAGCCCCGCCCCCTCTGGTGGGGGGGGGCGTTAGAGTTTCGTTCTTTCTCGGGTCTGAACATGACCCTGCCGTGGACCGCACTCTGTCTGTCCGTCTGTCCACCTGCTGGTGGGCGTCGAGTCGTGCCCAGCCCTTGGCCCCCGTCAGCAGTGCGGCGGTGAGCGTTCCCCGGCCGCGTGTCCGTGTGGGTGGGCGAGCTTCCCTCTCTCCTGGGGGACACGTCGGAGTGGAGTCTCTGGGTCTCGGGGTGCGACGTCTGAGGGGCCCTCCTTTGGAACAGCTGCGCTGCCTCACACCCCCATGGCCACGGCTGGGGGGCCAGTCTCCCCGAGTCTCGCCAGCCCGGCATCGTCTGACTCCGGCCACCCCCTCGGGGCAGGGACGCACCGAGCGGGAGAGCCCCGTGTCTCCGGCGAGCTGTGCTGTTCGAGTCTTTTCGTGAGCGTGTTGGCCATTCGGACGCCTTCTTTGGAGAGATGTCTGTTCAGATCCTTTGCTCATCTGTAAATTGTGTTATCTGTCTTTTTTTTTTAAGTTATAAGAGTTTTTTTTAATAAAGATTTTATTTATTTTTAGACAGAGGGGAAGGGAGGGAGAAAGAGAGAGAGAGAAACATTGATGTGTGGTTGCCTCTCATGTGCCCTTACTGGGGACTTGGCTTGCAACCCAGGCCTGAGCTGTGACTGGGAATCGAACCGGAGACCCTTTGCTTCCCAGTCTGGTGCTGAGTCCACTGAGCCACACCAGCCGGGGCTGTAAGAGTTTTAACATATTGTGGACACAAATCCTTCACCAGGTTTATCATTCGTGACTCTGGTCTCCCACTCCGGGGCGTTGCTTCACTTTCTCGGTGGTGTCGGTGCACGGAGTCCTCCGCTCCCATGAAGGACCGCCGGTGTGTCTCTTTGTCCCTTTCGCGTCTGGTGCCGAGTTTGCGAAGGCGTCTCCTCAGCCACGGTCACGAAGGCTCACACTTTCCTCTAAGACTTTTACAGCTTTAGCCCTTGCACTTCGGGCCGTGGTCCGTTTGGATTGGGCTTTGCGGGTGGTGTGAGGAAGGGCCCGGCTTCATTCTCCTGCGGGGACTCCACGCGTCCCAGCACCTGGGTCGAATCGCCCGGCCACCGCGGCTGGGTGCCACCCCCGTGAGGGTTCACTTCGGGACCTCCTGCGCCTGTGTTGCGCCGCCACTCCGCGTCACTGTCACTTTGTAGCGAGTCTGGAGTGAGTTTTGAAGTCGGGAAGTGTGACTCCTTTCTCTTTGTAAAGAAGAGTCCTCTGGGTGCCTCACCTTATCATATAAACTTCAGGGTCCCCTCGTCAATGTCCGGAGGACACAGCCGAGACCTCGGTGGGGGGGGATGCTGGAACAGCCGGTCGGGGGCAGGGTCCCCGCCTCGGTGACAGGGAGGCTCCCACAGACCCGCACGTCTCCGCACTCACTCAGAGGGTCTCGGACTTCTTCCCAAACTACGTCTGGTCTCCAGACGGAGTTTTCTCGTGTTAAATGTATTCGTAAGCACTGACCATTCTCTCTGACGACGGAAGCGGAGTTACCTACTTACTCCCGTTTGGGGTTGGTCGTTGCTGGTGTGTGAAGTGTCAGCTTGTTGTTGGGTATTAACCTGTGCCCTTCAGGCTCGCGGAACTGTTTCGTTAGTTCTGACAGTTTTTAGGGGGCTCCTTCGGATTCTCTACACGCGAGATCACGTCGCCTGCAAGTGGAGGCGGTTTTACTTCTTCTCCTCCAGTCGGATGTCTTTCCCTCCTTCCTCTAACCCGACCGCTGCCCTGGCCGGGACCCCCCCACCCCGACCCCACACCACGTGCGGTGGACGGGCTGCCAACGAGGCCACGCCCACCGCGGGTGTTGCTGAGACGCGCTCCGTCAGGCGGCTCCCGTCTCCTATTGGCCGGCGGGCGCCCTGCCCGGACAGTGTCCGGGGCCCTGTCTGCCCCCGGGGTGTGAGTGGCTTTCTTCCTCTGTGGGCACGAAGTGCTGCTCAGATCGATTTTCAGCCAACCTTGCCTTCCGGGGACAAACCCATCCCACTGGGCCGTGGTCTGTAACCCTTTTCCCAGGGCCCCGGATTCCGCCGGCTAGTATTTCTTGGAGGGCATCTGCAGTGGGTGTTCATAACTGTTGCAATTTCCCTCCCAAACGCCCATCACGAATGTGCCCTGCACGCTGGCACACCCAGCGGAATCACGAGGAGTCTGCCGGTCCCTCCCCCTCCCCCGGAGAGCTCCGCCCACCTTCCCGCCCTCTCCGCTTTGGACGGAGCCCTCGGGTCACCCCGGCTGTCACCCCGGGGCCTTCTCACCCCCCTTCCGTGGGTCTGCTGCTCCCCGGACTCATGACAGGCTCTCGGGTGCCGTCTGCGAGGAAGGAAATGCTTTTGTGTCCGTGAATGAGTTAAAACATCCGTGCTCCCTCCTTGCACTGGGCTGAGGGGCTGCCTTGGTCCGAGACTCTGCATTTAAAACCGGCTCTCAGAGCTCTGGGGGCGCCCGGCCTCCGGCCTGCGGAGTTGCTGTTCCTTCGTTGGGGACCCGCCTGTTCGCCTGGCAGTCCCCTGGGTCCAGCCCGACGCGGCCTCAGTGTGGGCCTGGCCCGTTCGCAGGGCTGGTCGGGCCCTCGTGGCCCCTCCGATGCTCAGACTCGCAAGTTTCGGCCTGAGAAATCGTCTCGGACGATTGCGCTGATGTCTCCTTCGGCCCCGTTTTCTCTTTCTGGGCCCCTGGAAGGCGGGTGTTGCTCCTTCAGGCCCAACTTTCTGATTCCCATATTTCTTGGGGGGCAAATATCTGGAAGATGGTCCCGGCCGCACCTGACCCTTCCGTTGAATTTTCGGTCTGATGATCCCGTGTCACGAAAGATGCCTTCCTCGGTGTGGGACTGTGCTCTCCTGACTCTGAAGTCTCCCTCCCCGCAGGCTGACAGGAGAACAGGAGGGGTCTGTGCGCGGGGGGGTGGTGGTGGGGAGAGCCCTCTTCCTTGCTGAAGGCCTCCAGTCTCCGCCCCTGGGGCCGTCTCCTGGCTACCCAGTGTCTCAGCGAAGTAGTCCCCACTCTGCTGTGTGGGGCGGGGGCACACTCCCCTCGCTGTCCCTGCCTGCGGCCTCTGAGGGTCCCGAGTCCACAGCCAGACTCAGTCAGGCCTCCCGCAGGGCAGGGCTGGGCCCTCGGCTGCCCCAGTGGGGACGCAGGGGGCCCGGACCCAGCTGCTTGGAAAGGACCCTCACCCACCTTCCTGTTCACACCCGTGCACACACACAGTCTGTCACGCTCGCACACACATTCTGCCTGCTCCCCGTGTTGCTGGGCCCTCCTGCTCTCTTCTCCCGGGGGGTTATACGCCCCTCCCCCCACATTCCTCCCCCTCTGCATGTCTCTGCCGCTGTTTTTATTGGGTTTGGGGAAGGAGAGACTTGCCTGGCGCTGCTCTGTCTGCTCTGTACCCCGAGACCCTGGGTTCTCTCCGTCCTCGGGGCCCTACGACACGAAGGAGGCTGGCAGGCCCTCTGGGGGAGGCGCCGGGCCTCTTCCGGCCTGGGCTCACCCCAAGGCCTCTCCGCTCTGCCTTCCAGAACATGCCCAACGTCCGTGACCACGATGCCTCGGTCTACCTCCGCCTCCAGGGTGATGCCCTGTCTGTGGGCGGCTACGAGAGGAACCCCATCTTCTGGGAGGAGGTGAGGGACACGGGGAGTGGGGGAGGGGTCGCCCTGCAGAGAGCAAGGCGGGCAAGGAGCTGCCCGCGTGGGTGAAGGCCCGAGGCCAAGCTTGCCCATCTCCAAGGCTAAAGGCAGGCCAGTGTGGCCGTGGGTTGGTGGGCAACGTGGGCCGGCTCATGCAGGGCTTTGCAGACCACAGAGCGGCTCGGGGGTCCACAGGAAGCTCAAGGGCAAGAGTGGACATGACCTGACTTAGGAGAATGGGTTGAGGGAGGGCAGGGAAGCAGGGCCCCCAGGGGGCGCTGGGCGGGGGCAGCACACAGGCCCCGCTGCAGGGTCGGTGAATGGGGGACAGACCGAGGATACCTGTAGAGGACCAGGGCGCCCTGCCACTCCTGTGGGTGGCGTCACGGGGCACGTCTTCACCCCCCCCCCCACCGGCCAAGGTGTCGGACAAGTTTGCTTTCGGCCTCTTCGACCTGGACTGGGACGTGTTCGCCCAGCATATCGAGGGCGCCATCAACCGGGTCCCGGTGCTGGAGAGGACGGGGGTCAAGTCTACGGTCTGTGGCCCAGGTGAGTGGGGCGGCCCGGGGGCGGAGGCTGGGTGTCTCTGGGTCATCTGGAGGCTGGCCTGTGCCAGGCAGGAGCCTGGTGTCCCTGTGCCTTCTCGTCACCTCCTTCCAGTGGCTCCGGGGGTGGGCATTGCTTCTCTTCTCTGCAGGCCAGAGAGCTAAGCTTGGCCGGGGCAGAGATTGGCCCCAGTGGGCACACGGCCAGGCTTCCGTGCCACCCCCGCCAGTGTGAGCACCTCCTAACACCCCAGGCCCGGCTCCTGACCTCTGCTTAACTCGTCCCGGGCCTCGGTGTGTTCATCTGTGAAACGGGCTGAGTGAGGACCCCGGTCGCAGGACTGGGGACCACAGTCCAGACCAGTCCCCTCTCTGCCTGCTTTCCAGAATGTTCTACCTGGCTGGCTGCGACCTGGGCGGACGGCCTCGCCCCTCTGAGGGTGGGTGGGCCCCGACCCGGCCCTGCCATCCACCTCGGGGGAGAGCTGAGCTGCGGGGTTGGAGAGCGTCAGGTTCCCAGGTCCCCAGAGGGCCCACAGAGCACATCCGGGGCTGCGGGCCAGGGACACAGACCCACAGAGCCGGAGAGCTCGTCCAAGGCCACCAGGCCCGGCCCCTGCAGGACGCCTGCCAGGCGGACTCCCGGAATCCGAGATAAACCTCTTGCAATCCTGCCCCAGCAACTCACAGCCCCACAGGGAGAAGTGCCCGCCCCCTGACTCCAAGGCCTGGGACGGGGCTGTCCTGGGGTGGCCCAGGGTGCAAAGGGACTCCAGGCGGGGGCAGCAAAGACAGCTGAGCCGAGGGGGCCGGGCGAGCTTCCCCATTGCAGGGCTGTGCAGAGAGGCTTGGGGACAGACAGTGCTGCCCAGACGGGACTGTGAACGAGGCTGCAAGTCCCTGTGCCTTGGCGCGGTCACCTGTGACCTGGGTGACAGAGAGCTGCCCCGCAGGGCCTGGGCAGGGAGAAGCCACTTGCAGGAGCAGGGCCCGGCCCGGGCCCAGCATCGGCTGTGGGTCCGGTGAGCACATGTGGACAGCCAGACCCCTGGGGGCAAAGTGGTGTCCCAGGCCACTTGGGGAGTGAGGGGAGACAGGACAGGAGAGGGGTAGGGGCCCGATGCCTCGACTGTGGCTGCCGGGCGTCCAGCCCTCTCCATCGGTGCAAGGGGTGCCGGCCTGAGCTGCTTTGATCTGTTCAGGGCCTGAGCAGGCCTTGGGTGAGAGTCTCGGTTTCCGAGGGAGGGAGAGGCTGTAGGGTGCCCGGGCCCGCCTGCAGGGGGCAGCGTGGCCACGTCCTGAGTACAGGCCTGTGACTCACCCACCGCCCCCTTTGGCCTCCCCTTGGCCTCCAGGAGCTGGTGGTGGGAGACACAGGCCTGACATGGGCCCCCAGGCACCGATGACCCAGGGAGCCATAACCCGGGGAGCCGGCTCAGTTTAATTAGACCGGGGGTGGGAGGCTTCCACGGAGGCTCGGCTGGGGAGGGAGGGGGAGGAAGGGCCCCCCGCTGGTTTCCCGGCTGCGGGGGAGCATCTGGGGAGGTCAGCGGTGCTCCTTGCCAGGAGCCCAAGAGCAGTCGGGGCCTCTGGCCTCTGGGACAGAGCAGGGAAGTTGGTGGGGGGGGCAGGCGGAGCTCCCATTCCAGGGCTGCAAGATTGCAGCCGAGGTGGGGTGTCGGTCCCCTGCACCCTGCATCTCTCTCTGTGTGGCTCACTCCCAAGTCATTTGCTAAACATTCGAGAGACCCTGGTCCCTGGAAATGGGCTCCTGCTTGCCACCCCCTCTCAGTCACTCGGGTGCTTCCGAACTTCCCGTCCGCCCGCCCAGGGCCTGGGGACACAGGGGCTCCCGAGGGCCGGGGGTGCAGCCTCACCTCTGCTTTCCGAAGCTCCGCTCTCATCTCAGAGCCGCCCTGCCCCCCAACCCGCCCCCTCAGCAGCCTGACGCCCCCCTGACCACCCCCCCAGGAAGCTCACCCTCCCCTGCCGCCACCCTGTCCCCTTCCTGCCCCCAGGGGCCTCCCTTCCCTGCTCTTTCCGAGCTCCCCGAGGTCCCCGAGGCTGGGCCTCCTTCAGCATGGATGCTGCCCTCCCCTCCCCAGGTCTGACCTTGGTCACCACAGGGAGCAGAGGCTGGAGCTGGGTGGCCTGGACTCGGGGTCCCAGGTCCATTGTCCTCTCACGGGGACCAGGCTGGACCTGCATCCGTCCCCCGGGGCGGGGCTGCCTGCTGCCCCACTGAGGACCACCAGACCCGCAGCCCTTCGAGGCCCCTTGTTCCACGGCGTCTTCTCACCCGAGGCTCCCTTTTCGCTCCGCGCGGACTCCCTCTGTCTCCCTCGCCCTCGTCAGGCCCCCCAGAGTGGACTCCCAGGCTGAGCCCTGGGCACCCCCAGGGGGGGCTGGGACCCCCTGTAGACAGATGGCGTCGCAGCCCCGGAGGCACTTACCTCTATGCCGATTTTCCAGATGAGGGAGCTGAGTCTCAGAGGCGAAGTGACTTGTCCAGGGTCCCACAGCCAGGAGGGGGTGGAGTGGGGCTGGGCCCCAGGACTGTGGCCGCCCAGCCCAGCGGCCTGGGCTGTTCGCCGAGGGCCCTCTCCCTCCACGCCCTGGCTCCTGCCTGAGGCAGCCCCGCAGCGGGGGTCTTGGTCCCCATCCCAAAGAACTGAGGATCATCCGGTCACTCAGTGCACATCTGCCAGGTCCCTACTGTGCACTAGGCCCTGGACACCACACCGAGCAAAGCCCAGTCCCTGCCCACTTGGTGCTCAGGGTCCAGCGGGCAAGAGTGCCTGGCAGTGACCCAGCAGAGAGATGGTGCGGTGGGGGGGGACTGTGCGCTGCCCAGGGGGGGCTCTGGGAAAGGCCCCTTGTCAGCAGAAGAATGTTGACAACCACGAGGCTAATGGGCCCCATGAGGCAGGACCAGCTCTGGCGGTAAAAGTGGAGGTGCTCAGGGGGCTGTGGCAGGAACAACCAGGGAGGCTCCCTGGAAGAAGTGGCATGGATGAGGATGAGCAGGGTCTGGTGGATGGAGGCGCCTGCAGAGCCCTGTCTCTCAGGAGGCCCCGCCCGCCTGCTGCAGCCCCTCCCTTCCATGTAGAGTCCTTCACCCCGGACCACAAGCCGCTGATGGGGGAGGCACCCGAACTCCGAGGCTTCTTCCTGGGCTGTGGCTTCAATAGTGCAGGTGAGTATGGGCGGAAGCTCCCACGTCGCCCCTGTGGCGTCTTGTGGCCTCTCCTCAAGTTCAAGCTCCCACCGGTGGCACCAGGAGCCCAGGCCTAGAAGGCCTGCAGGGATGGGTGGGGTCTGGTTGGAAGGCAGGCAGCCCCCCACGCCCACCCTGGCGTGAGGCCCTGGGTTTGGGGAGCAGTGCTGCCCGTGGGGACTGGGGATCCCTGGGGCAGATCACAGGCTGTGGCTGTGCTCCTGGCAGGGATGATGCTGGGCGGCGGCTGTGGGCAGGAGCTGGCCCATTGGATCATCCACGGACGCCCGGAGAAGGACATGTACGGCTACGACATCAGGCAAGTGCACACAGACATTGCCCGGCAGGGCGGTGCCTCACCAGCCGTCCAGGGACGTGGTGTGGTGGGTGCAGGAGCCAGGGCTATTTGGAAAGGAGCCTTCCCCTGAAATCCGGGGGGCTTCTTGAAAGAGGTGGCAGCAAGGGAAGAAAGGGAAGGAGGCTGTTGCGAGTTTGCATGGTCTCCAGTCCCCCTGCCTTGCCCAGCTGGCCAGACAGTTCCAGGACCAGCAGCCGGACCCAGCCCTCCACTGTGCAGATGGAGTGGCGACGGGTGGGGGCGGGGCTCGGCTGCAGCAGCTGTGCCCCCTGGGAGGCTGGCGGAGAGGCTGTGTTGGGGGGAGGGTTGAAGTGAGGAGGCCGCGCTCATTAAGGTCCCGGGTGCCCAAGGCCCCGCAGAGAGCGAATGGAGAGCTGGGAATGCCTCCTGATACCCGAGCCCCTGGCAGGGTCCTGGCGGAGGGACTGAGGACCCGGTTTTGCCCTGTGTTCCCGGTCCGCGGCCCACCCCTCCTGTCAGGCCCCACGGCAGTGACCGACTCCTCCGTCTGCGACAGGCGCTTTCATCACTCGCTCACGGACCACCGCCGCTGGGTCCGAGAGCGCAGCCACGAGTCCTACGCCAAGAACTACTCTGTCGTCTTCCCCCATGACGAGCCCCTGGCAGGGCGCAACATGCGGCTGGACCCCCTGCACGAGGTGCCTGCTTTGCTCCTGCCACTTCTGGGGGGCGGGGGTGTTGGGGTGACTGAGTGCACTTGGGACCCCACCTTCGGGGCCCTTGTAGACGCCGTGGTTCGTGGTTCGTGCGTTTCCAGGTGCTTCCAACAGAAGGTGCTTAGAGCAGGCACCCAGGGAACCGTAGTGGGCGTCGACGGTGGGCGTGGCATGACATGGGGCAGTGGGCGGGGCATGTAGGGTGGTGGGCGGGGCCTGGAGGGCTGAGGGCGGGGTGTAGGCGCCCCGCCCCAGATGTGCTCCTGCTCCGCGCCAGCCTTCTCTTACAGTGGCCGAGGCCATTCCTGCCAGGTGACCCCTGGGAGTGGGGTTGCTGGGCCACCCAACTAAACGCCACAGATGGGGCTTCAGTGGCAGAAACCCACTGCCCGTGGTGGCACAGGCCAGAGGCCCTGAGCGAGGCACCGGCCCCTGGCTCCTCCTCCTGGCCTTTGGGTGGCCACCTCCCGACATGTCAGCGCAGGGTGGGCAGAGGGCCCTGCTGTGTCCGGCAAGGGTCAGGGCCTGCTGTTGCACCCCAGCTCCCTCCTCAGAGCCCCATCTCCAAACACCCACACTGGGCTTGAGGCTTCCACACGGGGGTTGGTGGGTCAGCAGTTCAGTCCGCAGCAGGAGGTAGTTCCACAGGCTGGAGGCTGGAGTTTGGGGGGGATGGGATAGCTGAGGGGGCCTGGAGTGGCGGCCTGGGCCTGTGTCCTGGCTCTGGGAGCGAGGACCTCCTTGCTGTCTGCTCAGCTGGGTAGGAAGTGGGGGACCTGGGGGCTGCCCACCCCGCACGGGCGCCTGACCCTGTGTGAATGGCACTTGCCCTCCCTCCCAGGAGCTCCTGGCGCGGGGCTGCGTGTTCCAGGAGCGGCTTGGCTGGGAGCGGCCGGGATGGTTCCACCCAGGAGGCGCGGCTCCGGTGAGTGCCCCCACCCCCACGCCTGTGCCCTCATCTGCCCTCGACCAGCCCCTGCCCAAGGGGTTGCGGGTCCTGCTGTTCCTGCCACCAGTGCAGCCTGACCCGCCGCCTGTCTGCCGTTTTTTTGGGGCCCCCTCTGCAGAGCTCCTCGTGGGTGTTGGTGCTCACAGGGGCCAGGCCTTCTGGGTCCAAATGGGCGCCTGGGGCAGCTTCTTCTCCTCCGAGGCGGGCAGCGCCCGGGACCCCCACAGGCTGCAGGAGAAGTTAGAGCGGCTTCTGCCAATTCTGTGCCTGTATTTCGGCAGCTGCCGGTGCTAGTTTATGTGAGTAGGAGGACCGAGCAGACCCCAGTGGGCCTTCTGTGCGTTCCTGTGTGAGCCGGGGCTTCGCAGCGTCTGGGTCCCCTGGGGTCCCAGACCCCAGAGAGAGGACTCAGAGCGCCCTGCTCTGGGTCCCTGGGGCCGGTCCTTTCAGCCCAACCAGGGGGCCATTTCTGATCCTGCTTTGAAGGAATTAAAATCGCTTCCCGGTGGCTGTGTTCTGCCGGACCTCCTCCAGCCCAACCCACTTCCGTCCCCTAGCAGCCCTGTGCCAGGCCACCGCCAGAGCTCTTAGATGGCCTCTGCTCGGGGTCCCAGAGACTCACCGGGCACCGTCCCTCTCCCGTTAGTCTGTGGAGACCCAGGGCCCCCCTAGGTGTGAAGCACTGGGGGAGGGTCACCTGGGAGAGTGGAGGAGACAAGGCTCGAGACCGGCAGGTGGAGCAGCTGCCCCTCGAGGCGCAGGCCGGGCCGCTGGGGCAGGGCGGGTGGGGAGGATGGCCGGGGCAGCACCTGCAGAGCCGCCCGCCTTCCAGCCGGTCTGTCCCGGGGTGTCCCTCTCCCCGAGAGTCCGTGGGTGAGGAGAGAACATTGGAGTGGGAGCCGGGGACACACCCTAGAGACCGAAGATGGACAGGCCCCCACCTGGAGCCGTCCTGGGGGTCCAGGGCACTGGGTGACTAGATCATCCCCAAACCTCTAACCCTTGGCCAGGCTGCAGGGGCTGGGGTGCCCCTCTGAGGCCTCAGGGGCCTGGGGAGCTGAACCTGTCCGGGCGGAGGACCGACTCCCTGCAGGGATTCTGGTTAAAGGGCCCTCCCCAGGGGCCTGGGCTCGGAGACCCCAGACTGAGTCCAAACTTCTCACTTAGCTCTTACCTGTGAAAAGGAGGAAAGACTGGGAGGGGCTGGTGGGCTGGCTCCCACGCTTCCGTGGGAGCCAGAGGAATGTGGGGAGGAGGGGAGGCTCCGCCATCAGGAGCTGGACCCAAAAGGTTAGGACAGGTGGTGGCTGAGGAACCAGCCTCTGGGGACCCCCGCCCCCTGGGGTGGTGCCAAGCTCTGGCCCGTTCTGGCTGTTACCTGGGACGACTTGCGGTCTCTCTCTGCCTGGGTTTCCTCACCTGTAGAAAGGACCCCCCCCCCCCAGGAGAGGGCCTGGCCCAGAGCCGGCCTATCCTGGATCGCCATGGCAACAGCCTGGGGCATGGTACTAGGCCATCCACTCCTTCATGCCCAGGCCTCCCCGCCGCCTTGGTGTGGCCCTGAGGTCTGGGGTTGGGGACGACTGGCCCGGCCTCCACCCCCAGGGCCCCTCTGAGACCCACCGCCCAGCAGCACTGTGACCAAGGCTCCATCTGTGCCCCTGCCACCACTGCTTGTCTCCACAACACGCTCACGGGCTGGCAGCCTTTGTGACCAGCCTTGTCCCTGTTGGGCGGGAGGGAGGGCGCAGGGTGGGGGCCCTCACCGACGGCGCCCTCCCCCAGGTCCTGCCCTACGACTACTACGGGGCCTACGGACAGCAGGCGCACCGGGACTACACCTACGGCCGGCTGCTGCAGGGCGACCACACCTTCGACTTCCCGCCCCACCACGACCTGGTAGGTAGCGGAGTCCCCCGCTCCTTGTCCCCGTCCCCCACGTCCCACAGGCCTGGCCCTCCTGGCCAGGCTCCCTGCTCCGTCCTGTCCCCCGTCCTCCCTTTGGGGCTGACTCCGTTCCCAGGACAGATGGGGTGACGTTCTCCTGTCGCACGTGACCCCCTCCCTCGGTACCGAGACTCAGCCAGCCCTTAGGCTCCAGGGCCACCTCGCTACTTGGGCTGGGGTCTGGCTGTGCGGCTCCGACCGGGGCCTTCGCCTCCCTGAGTCTGTCTGCCTGTCTGTTTTTCTGTCCGCACTGGGAGCTGTCCTGGGGGCTGTGCAAGCTTTTGTGAGGGAAGCCCTGCCCCTTCCATGGCCTCTCGCGGATGGGTGCCCCTCGGCCCCTGCAGAGCCGGCCCTCCCGTTGAGCAGAGCCGGCTCAGCCGAGGTGGGTCCGTGGTCTGGTCCGCTGCCCCTCGCCCTCCACCTGTGGGCAGGTGAGGCTGGTCCACCAGGGCCCCTCGCCCGGGGCCTGGCTCCCCGCGCCTGTTGGGGTGGAGGTGACAGGGTACTGGGGGCCAGGCCTCCCCCCAAGTCTGTACCACATGGGGGTGCTCACGGGCAGCTTTTGTAGAAAGTGCAGTGCCGGCGTCTTTGCCACTTTGTGAAGCAGTTACGAAGCGGAGCTTCACTGTCCCTGTGATGGTGGCCAACTGGAGAGGTAGCCTACGCCCCACTCAGGCCTCCGTGTGCCTGTGGGGCCAAGGCCCCAGCCCAGGGTGCCCAGAGCCCAGGGGGAAGCACGCTGGCAGGGTCTGTCTCAGTGTCTGAGGGCCGGGCAGCAAGGCCAGCGTCCTGGGCACTGACCTGTGCGGACACCCAGGGCCCCGGCCCAGCAGCGCCCTGGGGCTGCCCCTGGAGACCCTTACGCCCACACTGGGGACCTGGCACAGGACCCGGGCACATGCCCCAACCAAGAATCTAACCAGCAACTCTTCAGTTTGCAGGCCCACGCTCAGTCCACTGAGCCACCCCAGCCAAATACAGGAAAATTTTAACTTTTTTTCCTAGTTGTTAAATGGAATTTTGCATTTCTTTTGTTAAATTTATTCATAAGCGTTTTAAAATCCTTTGGTATAAATGAAATTATTTGCTTAAGTTCATTTTTGTAAGATTTCATTTATTTTTACAGAGGGGGGAGGGAGGGAGAGAGGGAGAGAAAAATGAGTGTGTGGTTGCCTCTTGGGCGCCCCCTACTGGGGATCTGGGCCACAACCCAGGCATGTGCCCTGACTGGGAATTGAACCTGCGACCCTTCGGTTTGCAGGCTGCTGCTCAGTCCACTGAGCCACCCCAGCCAGGGCTAAGTCCATTTTTTTTTTAAAGATTTTATTTATTTATCTTTAGAGGGGAAAGGAAAGAGAGAGGGAGATAACATCAAGGTATGGTTGCCTCTCGTGAGTCCCCTGCTGGAAACTGGCCTGCAATGTAGGCATGCGCCCTGACTGGGAATCAAACCATGATCCTCTGGTTTGCAGGCCCGTGCTCAATCCACCGAGCCACACCAGCCAGGGCCTAAGTCCATTTTTGACTGTCCATCGCTAGTGTGTGAACACATAACAGTTTTTGTGTGTCGTTATATATCCGCCTTGTACCCTGTAGGGTTGGCGAAGCGTTTTGTGAGTTCTGCTCGTTTTTCAGTGGTTTTGTTGGGACTTTCTGGATGTAAGATCACATCTTCTGCACATAGGGGCCGTTTGGCTGCTTCCTCTCTGGTCCAGGCGCCTTTGATTCCTCCTTCTCGCCTGGACGGCCTGCCTAGGACTGCCCCGCCCCCGCGCCACGCTGCACGGTGGGGGCGGAGCTGGGCCCGTCCCACTGCTCGGCTCTCGGGGACATCCCTGTCAAGCCGGTGGCAGCTGTGGGTTCTTGCACACTCGTGTCACCCGGCCGAGCCACTCCCTCCCTCGGGGTCGTTGTCGCAACCAGGTGCTGGGTGTTGTCACACACATTGCCGCATCTCTCACTTCCCTCCTTCTGCTTGTGTTGGGGTTACCTTGCTCTTCCTGCCTGGCCTCTCGCAGCGGAAGGCCGGGCCCTGCTCCGAGTGGTCATCTTCTCGAGTGTCGGTGTCCACAGGCGCAAAGGCCACCCCCACATGCTTTCACACGTCCCGTGCTTACTGTCACTCACTCACTGGCTTCCTGATTCCCCTCGGGATTTTCCTCCATCTCTTGGCGATTTAGGGACGTGTTGTTCCGTCCCACCCATTTGAGGATTTCCCGACGTCCGTCTGCTAGATTTCTGTTGGGATTCCACGGTGGTCGCAGGAGAGACTCCGTCCGATTTTAGTCCTTTTGAAAGTGTTGAGTCTGGTTGGCAGCCGAGGAACCACCCTGGGCATGTCCCCTGTGCTCGAAGGGAACGTCCCAGGGTTTCTGAGCCAGGAGGGATGCGGGGGAGGCTTGGGGCAGGTGGCAGTAGAGAGCCCCAGTGCGCGCACTCCCGGGGCGGCGCCCCCAGAGCCCAGCACGTGCTCCGCACCCCTGCAGATTGAGCGGGAGTGCCTGGCCTGCCGCCGCGCCGCCGCCGTGTTCGACATGTGCTACTTCGGCAAGTTCTACCTGGTGGGCCCGGACGCCGGGAAGGCTGCCGACTGGCTGTTCTCCGCCGACGTCAGCCGCCCCCCAGGTAGGAGGTCGGGCTGGGCCCCGCTCCTGCCCCGCTCAGCACCTGGCAGGACTCTGTGGGCACAGCCCTGGGCACTGGAACCAGGTGGCAGCTGACCCTGTCACCTCTGGGCTCCCCCAGCCCGTGGCCCTGCCTATGGGCTTGGCCCCAGGCTCACCCCCACCAATGGCCCGGCCGCGGATGGTGCAGCCTCCCCTCATGCTGACCCTCCTGGGGGATGACAGTGCTGGGGGCCTGCCTGCCCCCGTGTAGGCCACTCGGGTGTGGTGGCATGCCCGAGCCTCGGGGTCTTCCCGGGGCCCCCTGCCACGTGGTTCTCCAGACCGAGCGCGGCACAGACCGGGTCCTCCTCCCGCCAGGCTCCACCGTGTACACCTGCATGCTGAATGCGCGTGGGGGCACCGAGGGCGACCTGACCGTCAGCCGCCTGGCCCCCAGCCTGGAGGCCACGCCCCTCACCCCTGCCTTTGAAGGTAAGTGGTGCCCCCGCCACAGGACAGCCCTGCTCTGGTGACCGGCCCCCCGATGGCAGACCGGGCCGGGCGCCCAGCGCTGCTCTGTGCTGACCGGTTGTGCCCGCCGCACGCAGTCAGGGCCTGGGCCATCGGGGTCCGCACTGTGGCGTTGAGGAGTGGCCGTGGTGTGGGCGGTGGGACGCGGCCGTGCCTCCCACTCGGAGGAGCTGTCAGCCCCCACCTGCCGTGGGCGGCTGTGCTGGGTGGGCTCCCTGAGCCCCTGCACACCCCCAGCCTCGCGCCGGGGCAGGTCCGTAGGAGATGGGCCCACGGGACAGGCCCGCACTGGACCTGCTGAGGAGAAAGTGTCCGCGGAGCACGGAGCGCCTTCGGTGGAGGGTCTCGGTCGGCGGGGTCAGAGGCCTGGTGTCCCCTGTGGGGCTCGGCCCTGGGGGGCAGGGGGAGCTGTGGCCCAGGCTCTGGGAGGGAGAGGCGGGGCCAGGAGCCCTCTTTGGAGGGCTGGCTCTTTGGTCCGTGACAGCGCCTGGGTGTCAGGCTGAGGCACTGGGGACCCAGCAAGAAAGTCACACAGGAAGGTGCTGGCCCATACGGAGTTCACACCTGTGGGGCAGTGGTGGTGGGACAGGCTTGCCTCACTGCCCACAGGGTCGTTCAGGATTCATTTGGGGGCTGGGCCTCGGAGGTGGCCGCTGAACTCAGGGTCACCAGAGTAGCCCTGGCCGACGAGAGGTTGCCGGTGGACATGAGGCTGTGAGCTTTGGGTGGCGGTTTCCTGGGGGTATGTGAAGCTGGGGTGGGGTCGCTCCTCTGGCCGTGGGTGATGGGGGAGCCGTCTGCTCACTTGTCCCCCCAGCTGTGGTTTGGGGACCGAGCGGCCGGAGGGGCCTCAGGGACCTCACTGTGGACCGTCCCGACAGACGGGCGTGGGGACAGTGTCCGTCAGAACACTGGCTGAACATGGGCCGGACGGGCAGGGTGACAGGAGGCCTTGGGAAGCAGCTGGGCCGGGGCGAGGAAGGCTTCCTGGAGGAGGTGGCATCTTCGAAGGACAGGCGGGTCGGAGCTGCCACCCAGACGGGCAGGGAGAAGAGAACCAGCATCGTGTGGGCAGGTGTGGGGGGGCGGGGGGGTGGAGAAGGGCTGGTGAGAGCTTTGTGTGGCCTGCGCCCCCAGGAGCGTGCAGGCCGGGCCCCGTCCCAGAGCTCATGTGCTGCCGTGGGGACGGGTCCGAGAGTCCCCAGGGAGAACTCCGGGCACAGAACTCCCCCCCAGCAAGGGCTGGGCGCGGCTCTGCCTCCGTTCTCAGGACCCGGGTGGGGACCCGGTGGTGCCAGGAGGGCCGAGAGCGGCCTCCCGAGCCTCCGATCCCCAGGGTGGGCCAGGCGGGGTGCCGGGAGGTCCGGCGTGTGGGAACCGGCAGTGATGTGGAGGCCGGCGAGGAACAGAGGCTCAGAGAGGAGAGGAGACGCTCAGGGGCTGTCTGGCACCCGCTGAGGGGGACTCGGACGCTCCTGCGGTGACGTGGTGTCAGGGCTCGTAGACTGTCCTGCACAGTAACCAAAGCCCTGGCCCCAGTGAGGGTCCCATGCTGTGTCCCGTGTGAAGTGAAAATCCAGGGCCCTGGGCGGGCGGGTCTGGCCACTGTGCCCGGGTGGTCGTCCGTGTTGGAGGAAAGAGCAGGCCGCCCTTGCTGCCCTCCCCTGCGCGCCGTCCAGCTCCAAGCCCGTGCTCCTCTTCCAGGGGACGGCTTCTACCTGGCCGTGGGCGGGGCCGTGGCGCAGCACTGCTGGTCCCACGTCACCTCGGTGCTGCAGGACCGCAGGTTCCGGTGCCAGCTCATCGACCGCTCGGAGGACCTGGGCATGATCAGCGTCCAGGGCCCGGCCAGGTGAGGGGGGGGCGGGGAGCCACCCACCCAGGCCCACCTGGGGCCGTGACCCCAGTCCCCCGCCCCCAGCCTGGGACCTGCGGGCAGAGCCCTTCACTGGCCCCGAGGGGGAGGCCAGTTTGCTGAGTGACCTGGTGAACCAGGGCCCCCATTCCCGACAAATCCTTTCCAAAGCTCCAGATCAGAAGTCGGACTGAACCGCGTGGTAAGTCAGTGTCCGAGGACTCGGGGGTCCCGAAAGGGCCCCTGAGGGTCTTTGGGTCACTGACACAGTCTGAGAACACAGCCCCCCTCCCAGCAGTGGGCGGAGCTGCCTGCCCCCTGGGCCAGGAGTGGTGTCTACACGGAGAGGGGAGGCACAGCCGCCTGCTCCCCGGATGGAGCTCAGTGGACCCGGGTGCCCGCCGCCCCTCCCGCCCCCTTGGCCTGGAGCTGGGGCACCCCTTGTGCGGCTGAGCCCCTTCAAACCCTGGGCCTGGCGGGGAAGACACCGGAGCGGCCCTGGCCCCAGGACCGCAGACAGGACGGGCTCTGCGGGCTGGCTCCACCTGGGTCTGGGAAGTGGGGAGGGCTGTTCCGGACGTTCCTGGCTAAATGTGGCGAGCTGTTGCCTCGGGGCGGTGCAGGTCCGCAGCTCCCAATGCCGTGGGGGTGGGAATGAGGGTGGGCAGTGGCCTCCCTGCAGCCCCAGCACCCTGGGGGTCCCCTGTGGGACAGAAGTGGGGGGCCATCTCCTGCCAGTGGGGAGCTAGCCCTGCAGTGTGAGGTCAGGCTGTCCTCAGTCGGTCTGCTTACCCGGCACCCTGTGCGGGACACACGGTCCCCCGTGCCCCGCTCCCCACCCCGCCACAGGGCAGGCGCCCGGGAGTGCCCAGCCAGCGCCCTTGGCTGACCGCCTGCCCGCCTTCGTGTGGCCCGCAGCCGGGCCATCCTCCAGGAGGTGCTGGACGCAGACCTGAGCGACGAGGCCTTCCCGTTCTCCACCCACCAGCTGGTGAAAGCAGCCGGGCACCCGGTAGGTTCCAGCCGCCCTCGGGGTGTGGGTGGCAGCCATGCCCACGAGGGAGCAAACCTGGGGCTGGACTTGGGAACCCAGTGCCCTGGGGCAAGTCCCTCTGCCCCCCAGGACCGTGGTGCCCCGGGTGAAGCAGACACCACGGACCCACCCACCGGGCCTCCGGGCCTCCAAGGGCTGGCGGGTCCACGCCAGCTCCGGCCAAGTTGCACCCGAACCTGGCCCTTGGGGCTCAGTGCCCAGCCTCTGCCGGGGAAGCAGCCTCAGTCTCGCCCCACAGCCGCCCTCAGAGGCCTTGGGGTCCAGCTCTGGGGCAGCACGTCCCTTTTCTGGGGTCCTGGCTGGCAACGAGGGGCGTGCGCCCCGCTCTGACTTCCCGAGGCCCAGGGGAGGGGCGGGTCGGAAGAGGCCGTCCCGGGGGTCCTTGCCACAGTACGGAGCCTCCTCCATCACAGGCCGCTCAGCCACGGCACTGCGGACTTTCTGGAACATTCTATGGTGGGGCCCTGCTGGGCACTGCAGGGGGGTTAGCAGCCCCCCGGTCCTCCGGCGCCCCACACCAGGAGCCCCCCGCTGTGGCAGCCACATACGTGTGCAGGCCCCAGGGGGTCCCCAAGGGACAGAGTCGCCGGTGGTTGGCCACTGCTGTCGGATCGCCCCCATGCTGGCGGCGGTCACGGCCGGTCCACGTTACCCCGGAGGGTGGGTGTTCTCCAGGCGAGCTCGGCGAGGGCGGGCGGGCAGCCCTAGGCGGCCCAGCCAGGAAAACACGGGGGGCACACAAATTCGAGTCAGTAAGGCAGATGTGGCTGTGAGGACGGGTGGGGCAGACGGACTGACGGACGGCCCTTCTCCCATCTCACAGGTTCCCCGGGGGCCCCGGGGAGGGAGAGTGTGAGGGGACACCGAGGGGGCCCTGCCGGCCTGCAGAGGGTCATCTGGGGTTCGGGGTGAGTCTGGGTCCCATTGGCAAACACAGTGACGTCGGTGCAGAGGCCGCCAGAGGGACAAGATGCGGCAGGGCCGCCGGCCGGCCGGGCTCCGGGCTGGCTGGGCTCGGCTCCGCCGCTCTCCTGAGGCCAAGCTGGGGAGCAGGAAGCGGGGGAGGGGGTCTCTGTCTAGCCTGCTTCCTGCCTCCTTGGTGTGAAGCTGCCTGCTGGGACCAGGGAGGGTGGGCCCTCTGGGAGAGCAACACACCTTGCCCCCCGGCTGCATGGGCCCTGGTGCCCCCGAGGAGGGGCTGCAGCCCCCGACCCCGTCTGCCACAGGCCCCGGAGTGCGGAGTCGGGGTGGGGGAGCGGCGGGGCTTGGCATCCCTCACCCTGTGTGTGGTCCAGGGGTCGGTGGGGGGCGGACCAGGTGGGGGTGCCTCCCTCTCTGCAGCCGCCCTGGCCGCCTCCCCAGGCCAGGCTGTGACCGTCTGGCTGCACCTCGGCCCGCGGGGCCCAGAAGCCCGGCTGGCGGAAGCAGAAGCCAGACAGACATCAGGATGAATCTCTCCCTGGGTGACAGGCGGGGACGCGGGGTCAAAGGAAGACGAGTGAGGGAAGCCCTAACTGAGACAGACAGACAGACAGGCTTCCTCCCACCCTCTGTCCCCACCACGGACCGTGCGTGTGACCACAGAGGCAGGGTCACCCCCTTATGACACCAAAGTTGGTTTCTTGCTCTTTTAACTGTCCCTGGGAGCCACTGCCCTGCCTTGGACGGGCCCCCCCCAAACGGACCGCGCCTTCCACAACCCAATTATTGACCTGAGGCAGAGTCCTCAGCGCCGGGACCCAGACGCGGTCATCGCCGGCCACCTGCGGTGGCTTTGGCGTTCTCTCCCTCCTCCCTCGTGCTGTCCTGGGCCTTAGGGGACCGGAGGGGACAGAGGCAGAGAGCTCTGCAGCATTCACCGCCGCACTGTCCACTCATGCTCGGCCAGTCCGGGTGCCCCCTGAGTTCTGGCATTTCATTCCAAACGGGCGGATCCTATGGCCAATGCCGAGCTTTCTCTCCCCCCACCCCAGCCTGGCTCCGGAAGTAACGCCGGCCAGGTGCCGGGCACTGAGTGGGATCGGGGCTCCAGGTGGCACTGCCATGCGAGCCGTGGGAGCCGGGTCAGCACGGAGCCCGAGGGCCTGGGGGCAGAGTCACCCCGGTGCTGGATAGAGCAGGGAGCCAGCAGTCCGGGTTCCTTCCCTGCCCCGGCCTTCCCTGGGGCTAGGCCTCCAGGCCTCGGTTTCCCCACTCTAGGGCCACGGCGACACATGTCTCGAAATCTTTCTGGGCCGCCCCACAAGCCTGTGCAGACGTCCCGAAATCTCCTGGATCCGGGGGGACTTCATATTCCCCTAAATGAGATCTTGTCTTGGCTCCGGCGCGTGTTGGCGCCTTCTCCCTCAATGCGGAGAGAGGCTGGGGCCGGAGCGCGGGGCCGGGCCAAGTCTTTATGGGAGATGGCTGGGTCCCGGCCAACCAGATGCGGGAGAGGAATGTGCGTCTGTGCAGTCGGCAAGGCCTCCTGGTCGCGGTGTGCGGACGGCAAGCGCCCGCACCCTGAGCCGCGGCCCCGGCCCGGGGTGGGTGGGCAGGCGTCTGCCGCTGCGCGGCGGGACCCACGCTCACAGCCATTGGGCAGGTGGGCGCCCCGGCTGGGCCGCGTCCCCAGCTGAGCGGTGTTTATTGTGTTGCAACGATTCTCCGAGCCGCCTGGAGCGGCCCCAGGACTCCAGGATCTTGCATTCCTGGAGGAAGGACAGAGGGCCGGGGACGCTGTCCCCGCGGCAGCCAACTGACCAGATGTCCTTGCTTCCCACATGTTGGCCTCCAGGCCACTGAGGTTCCCAGTGGGAAGCGCTGGCCTGGTGTGGTCACTGAGGCTGACGTGCTGTTCCCGGCACCTCGGTGAGGATGGGGGCCCCTCTGCAGGGCCTCAGGCCCTGGGTGGGACGCTCAGCCTCAGACGATAAAATGTTTTGCTCCTGAAAATTGATTTCAGGTAAAAAAGAAATTGAATTCCTTTTCCTGACGTTAGAAGCCCTCGCCGTGGATTTGGTCACTCGGAGTGGAAGGGTCTCCCTCCCACATGCACCCTGCAGACAGCCCCGGGGCTCAGGGCTGGGGCCCACCCCCCGGGACTGCCTCCGCCAGTGGGGTTACGCCGCCCCCCGAAACGTCCCTGTGCACAGCCCGGGCACCTTCGCCGTGAGCCCAGGGACACAGTGGTTGGAAGCAGGTTGTCGGCGCCGAGGGACCCTGGGCGTTTTCCCCAGAGAGCCCAGGGCCCCCCGGGCCAGCTCCACCCTCTCTCCGGGGAACGCTCGGCTTCTGACTCCGCAGCCCCCGCCGCTCTGGGTGGGTGCAGTTGGTGGCGCCTTTCTGAGGCCGGCCCGTAGCCTCGTTAGCAGTGTGAAGCCCAAGGCTGCGGGGAAGGTGGGCTTGGGGCAGGGTCTGCGCCCAGCGTCCCGAAGGCTGGGGGAGGCACCCCTAGGGTCGGACAGCCTCCGCAGAGCTTTTCAGACCCTCAGAGGGGGTCGCGGCTGTGACAGGTGTCTGGGGCGTCTCCCCTCTTATGCTCCTTCTGGGGAACGTCCCCGCACCCTGCCCCAGCAGCTGTCGGGATGCACTCCCGCTGGCGGCCGGATAGCGTCCGGCTGTGAGTCTGCGTTTCCCCGTCACCCATCGGAGGACACTCAGGTGGCTTCGGTGGCTGTCGTGACCGGTGCCGCGGTGAGCGCGGGTGTGCCAGCACCGACCTGAGCTCTTGCCTTCAGTCCTTGCGGGTTCGCCCCTGGCAATGGAAGAGCTGCGCGTCGGGTGGTTTCACTGCAAATTCCCACCAAGTCACCACCCCGGTTCCCTCCAAGTCGCACCTGCTCTCGTCCCCGCCAGCCACGCCCGGGGCTCCGTGTCTCCGCATCCTCGCCAGCACCGGCTCTTTCCTGGGCCCTTCTTCTATGAGTAGCCGTCCCGACAGGGATGAGGTCGCGTCTCACGGTGGTTTCTATTCGAATTCCTATTTGCATTTCTCTAGTTGTCAGTGGCACGGACCAGCTTCTCCTGAGCTTCCTGGCCCCGTGTTTAAGTCGAAGACTCGTCTCCTCCAGTCCCTGACTCGTTTCTCGGTCGGGTTATCGGTGCTGCTGTCGAATCCCGGAGGTTCTCTCCACGTCCCGGGCACTCGGCCCCCGTGGGCGTCCCGTTCTCCAGCCCCAGACGCGAGGGGCCGTTTCGGGACCCTCTCCCCTGCTCTGGCGTCTTGTGTGTCTGGCTCTGCACCGATGCCAGGCCGTTGCCGTGGCAGCAGCCTCGCAGGTGGGGAGCTGGAAACCAGGGTGCGGAGTCCCCCAGCTCTGCCCTGCGCTTCCCCGATTGCTCTGGCAACCCGAGGCCCCCGTGATTCTGTGTGAATCTCAGGACGGGTTTTTCCTGAGAAATGCGCGGGGATTTCGGCCGCAAGTCCGCAGTGTGAGTATCGCCTCGCAGTGTGGACGCTGGGCAGACAGTGCGCCTTCCAGCCCACGAACGCGGGGCCTCTTTCCACGCACTCCCCTCTCCCACCAGAGTTCTGTGGTGTTCGGCGCATAGGTCTCTCGCCCCCGTGGCCGGGTCTGTTCTTCGTGCCGCGATCGTGAGTGGGCGTGTTCACCCATTTCCTTGGTGGATGCTCCTGGGTGGCGTCTAGAAGCACCACCGACCTTCCCGTGAGGGTCTTGCGCCCCCCAGCCTCACCGAGCTTGTTCGTTAGTTTCAGCCATATTCGGGGGGCTCTCTACGGTGAGAAGGGGACGTCAGCAAAACCTGGTCTCAGTCCTTCCCGATGGCCCTCCCCGGTTCCGTGCCTCCGTCCACTGCCCTCGGTCCCCTCGGGGCTTGCTGACAAAGGCCGCCCCAGCCCCAGGTGGGGGCCGACGCCGTGGCGCACCCCTGGCCACGCCCGTCGACCAGACGCGGCACCGAGGCCGGAGAGGCCGACCCAGTCGATCCGTGTCCCCCGCGCCCTCACGCTCGGCTGCTCCCGACAGAAGGGAGGACACGCTGTCCCTGCCGCTTTGGCGACGGAAGATGAGTGTCCTGAGCGGCCGTGACCCTGTGCTCGCTCTCAGAGAGGGTCCTGGAGCGCCCCGGACCCGCTCCCTGGTTGTGCTGGGAAGCAGGGGTCCCTCGCTCCTGCCTCTTTCCTTCGCTCAGGGGGTGTCACTCAGCCGGCCTGCGCCCCAGGCCTGCGTGCAGAGCGCAGCCAGGAGTCTGACCCAGCACCCCTGTCCCCCGCCTTGCTGGGCTTCTGGGAGCAGGGGAGGGGGCTTCATCCCACCCCTGAATTCCCCTGCATTCAAAGGGAGCCAGCTCGGCTGGGGGGGAGCCTGTGTCTGCCCGACCAACGCCCTCAGTGCTGGGCTGTTAACCGGTGAGCTCCCGGAGGCCTCTCCTGCTTCTGCAGAGTGAGGTTGGCCCGGAGCCCGCGGCTGCCCAAAACCAGCCCGTCTCTGCCGGGGCCATCCTCGCCCTTTATCGGGCCATGGCTTGCAGCAGGGAAGCCGCAAAAGGTCAACGGTGCGTTTCCCGTGTCAGTTTGGACTTCCTGAGAGGTGGGGGCAAGCCCCACTCAGAGCGAATGGGTGCTGTGTCCAGAGCTTTCAGAACTCGGCCATGGGATGGGCGCCCGAGCCTGAGGGGCTGGCTCTGCTCTTGGGAGCGTGGACCCCGCCCTCCAGGCCACCGGGTCCCACCGGAGCTGCTCCGGGCAGGCCTTTCAGGCCCGAACAGCGACCGAGCTGCGTGTCCCCGGGCCGAGGGCTCAGGCTTCCCTGCCCGGGCCCCCATGGCTTCAGGGTTTGCCTGGAGGTTGGAAGCAGACACCCAACCAAACCCAGTGCGCGGGCTAAGGCCCAGGCCGCCGGGCCGGAGCCTCCCCAGCTGGTGGCAGCTTGGACGCAGGTGGGCGGGACACACCCAGAGACCAGCTGCCCCGGGTGAGCTGCTCGGGCCAGACGCTGGGTCCTCAGTCCAGTGACAGGGACTCTGATAAGAGACAAAGACAAGACAGACACAAAGGGGAGGTGGCCAGAGAAGGGACGCGGAGACCGGTGCGCACGGGAGCTGGGAGAGGTCAGGGGGGCGGGGGGGCCTCCCCGGAGCCCTGGAAGGGGGCACGCCTGGCCCACACCTGGGTTTCAGACTCGAGGCCCCCGGAATCGGAAGGGCACGCATTTGTGTTGTGTTAAGCCACAGACTTTGGACCGTTTGTGACGGGGGCCTGGGGCCCTCACACAGTTGCTTAGAAGAGCGGAGACCCAGGCACAGCGCGTCCACCTCCTCCACTTGCTGCCCAGGCCCCTCCTCCCTTCAGGGTCCTCCTGGGAACCCTCCTGGGGCACCCGGGAGGCGGGCCAGCCCGGCCCGGGCACCGGTGTCTGAGTGCCGCTGTGTGAGCCGTGACGTCCCCCCAGGTTCGGGCCATGAGACTGTCCTTCGTCGGCGAGCTGGGCTGGGAGCTGCACCTCCCGGCGACGTCCTGTGTGCCTGTGTACCGCGCCGTGATGGCGGCGGGCGCCAAGCACGGCCTCGTCGACGCTGGCTACCGGGCCATCGACTCCCTGAGCACCGAGAAGGGTGAGCCCTGGTCCGAGCGGTGCTGGGGGCAGAGAAGCCCCCGTGGCACCCCCCACCACAGTCCATATCCTCATGGCCCCCGCTGCCCATGACCCCGACGCCCCGCCCCCGGCCAGCCAGGGACCGTGCTGCGACCCCTGACACCCGCCCACGGATGGGGACTGGAGACGGGCCAGGCTGGGTTTGGGGTCGGCGCCCCGTTCCCTGAGCTCCGGGACCCCTTGGCAGCCGTCCTCCGACATCCCGGCCGTGGTGAGAATGCGGGGTGGCTGGCGGGGGCCCGGTCGGGGCTCTGAGCGGGGTGTCCCTCCGCACAGGCTACCGGCACTGGCACGCAGACCTGCGGCCGGACGACAGCCCCCTGGAGGCGGGCCTGGCCTTCACCTGCAAGCTCAAGTCCTCCGTGCCCTTCCTGGGGCGCAAGGCCCTGGAGCGGCAGCGGGCCGCGGGCCTCCGCCGACGCCTGGTCTGCTTCACTGTGGACGAGTGAGTGTCTCGTGGTCCTGGGTCCGCGAGGGAGGGGGGTCCACAGGGCTGTGGGGACGCTTTCTCGTGGTGCAGCTTTTAAAAGAGAAAGATTCCGTGGAGCCACTGCTTAGTGGGTGGATCCAGGCAGCGGGCCGGGTGACGGTGACCCTGTCACTGAGCTGGGACCTCCCGTGTCCTCTTGGGACGGGGATGGTGGGGGAACAGCCAGGCTGGGCCACCGTCCCCCTTGTATGGAGACCATGGGTGCCAAGGGGCCGGGTGGCTCAGGCCAGCCATGCAGCCGAGGTGTGGAGAGCCCTGGCTCGGGGGATGGACCCCTGGCCGGGTGCACCTGCTCCGGGCAGGAGCCCAGGCCCCCAGCCGGCTTCCCCGGGCGGGGCGGCGGTGTCCCAGCTGTCCCCGTGGTGCCTTCCAGGAAAGTGCCCATGTTCGGCCTGGAGGCCATCTGGAGGGACGGCCTGGTGGTGGGCCACGTGCGCAGGGCCGACTTCGGCTTCACCATCAACAAGACCATCGCCTACGGCTATATCCGGGACCCCAGCGGTGGGCCGGTGAGTCCTGTCCCCCGGCCCTGTGAGGGGCTGCGGTGCACGGGAGCAAGGACCCCGTGCCTGTGCCAGTGGCCCGCTGCGTCAGGTGTCTGCACACCAGGGGTGTGGCGGTCCAGTCTGCATCTCCCGGGCTCTGAGAAGGGTCTCAGCCCCGTGAGGGGCGGGCCCGCAGGGGAGGAGGCGAGGCCGAGGAGTGGGCAGGGGGGAGCCCCACACCCGTCAAAGGTAACGTGCGCCAGCCTCCGCCTCCTGTGCCCCCAGGTCTCCCCGGACTTCGTGAAGCGTGGGGACTACAGCCTGGAGAGGATGGGGGTGACCTACCCTGCCCAGGCTCACCTGAAGTCCCCCTTCGACCCCGACAACAAGAGAGTGAAGGGGGTGTACTGAGGGCTCCACCCCCACCCTGACTCCCTCGGGGCCTGTGGCACCCAGGGCCCGGCCCGGGACCCGGCCAGAACTTTGGTCCCCCTGCTTGTCCCCCACGTGCGGGCATGGAGAGGTGGAAAGAGACCCCAAGGGCCCATCCTTGGCCCATCCTTGGCCAAGTGACCAAGTCATTGACCAAAAGGTAGTCTCTAGTCCACCCACCCCCCAAACAGACCTGCAATGCCCTGCCCTTAGGGACCATACAAGCTTCTTAGAAGGTGCTGGGTGACGTGCACAAGCCCACTGTAACCGCAGCAGGGTGAAGGGGCTCCACCTGTGGTTGGGAGCCTTGGAGCTCCCCAGGTGCCTCTGAAATCAGGGCGGGGCCGGGTTGGTGAGTGGAAGGCAGAGCGCGCATGTGCAGACCGCCCCCCCCCCCCCAGTCAGGGCCACCTGGCTGGATGGTCCGTCTCCCGGATCCCAAGGCGGGGGGTGTGGAAGTCTGGAAAGAAAGCCCCTCCTGCCCCCTGAGAGTTTCTAGCCTGGAGACTGGGAGTGGGGGGGGGTGCCTCCGATCAGTGCCCCCCACCATTGCAGGCAGAAATGCCGTCTCCTGCCCATTTCCCTGGGAGCTACTTGTGGGCTTGGTCCGAGTGAGAGCCTGGTCAAGTCCTGCCTGGGTGGCCTTCGTCCTCTCTGTGTGACAGGCCCCTGCCTGTCCTTGTCACCCAGGGGAAGGCCCTTGCACAGAGCCTTAAGAGGGGAGGACTCCTCTGCTGCCCCGTGCCGGGCATCCGCCCCGGGACCGGCCCCTGCCCCGCCCCCACCCCACCCCCAGGGGCATTTCCTCCACCACTGGGCAGCCCAGGGGCCAGGCAGCCTCAGCGAACCGCAGCCCACGTCATGCCCAGGGGTCCGTGGGCCTCTGGGAGGCAGGGTGACAGATGCTTGGGGGACAGAGAGGACACGGTTCCCACACACAAGCTCAAAGGGCAGGGTGGTGGCGGGGGACAGACCCTGGACGCCCTCCGCTGCTCCCGTGCTCGGAGCCCTGCCCTGGGCCGTGCCGGGTCCGGCCGGGCCAATAAAGCCGCAGCCTGGGAACACTTGTGCGTGGTGGAGGGTCACTGGAGAGCTGGTGCGGGCCCTCGCCAGGCCCCGGCCAGGCTGCAGGGGCCTCTGGCCCTCTCGGAGCCCCTGCAGCCTCCCCTGCTCATCTTGGCCGGGCTCCAGCATGGGAGGGGGCGGGGGTCTAGGGAGGCCAAGTGCACCCTCTTCCCAGACAGCCTGGCCTGCAGAGCCTGGGTTGGGCCGCACCTGTTCATCCCACAGGCTGCCTCTGGGGGGCGCCAAGGACAGCGAGTCAGGCTCGCCTTCCCATCAGACCCCTTCCTCCGGGGCTGCGCCCAGTGACAGAAACCCTTGTTTCGCCCTTGTTTGGGGGTTTGCTGCTCCCCAACCCCGCTGGAGAGGGCCGGTGAGGGAGGCCACCCCGGTCACCTCCCACACTCCCCCGCCCCCTCAGAGCTCTCCCACCAGCCACCTCGGGCTTCCTTCCTCCCCTGTCCGGCATCTAGTTCTGCAGTGTCCCTGCAAAAACAAGCACCGTGCAGGGAATCCGGGGCCAGCTGGGCCGGGCTTGTCTGGAGGCTGAGAGGGGAGAAAGGGGCCTGGGTGTCCCCAGCAGTGCCGGGGGGCTCAGGGTGGGGTGGTGCCCGACCGAGGGCTGGGGGAGGTTGTGGGGCCCACGTCCGTGTGCCCAGCACAGGCATCTGCGTCAGAGTGAGGCTGGTGGTGCTCAGCCTCTGGACCCCCGTGGTGAATGGGAGGGACCCCACTGGCAGTGACGAGGTGCCGTCCCCCACCCGAGTGAGGATCGGGGGCCCTGGTAACGCAAAGCCTGTGGGGGACACCCGGCGCCCTGGCTTCCCTGGGGCCTCACAGGCAGTGGGCAGGGGTGGGGGGCACAGCTCCCTCCAGCACAGTGGACGAAAGTGGCAGCGGGCGCCTGTCCCTGTGACCTGAGGGCAGGCGTGGCTCCCACCCACGGCCTCAGCCAGGGGCCCAGCTGGCGGGGCTTCTGCCTTGTGAGGGGCTCCTGCTCCTCGGGGGGCCACTAGCCTGGGTGGGGGCCTGGGCTGCCCTGGGCCCTCAGTAACTGCTTGCTCCCCCCCCCTCACCCCCGGTTGTCTTGTTTCTGGTCTCAGGTGAGGAGGGGGCAGGGTCGAAGCCCCAGACAAAGCTGAGACGTCACACAGGTCCCCACTCAGAAGCCCAGGGAGGGAAGATGGGGTGCCCCGTTCTGCGGGAGGCATGGCTGCTGCCCGGGACCCCCCCCTGCCTGCCTCTGGCTCGCCCCAACTCAGGCCTCTGCACAGCTGTTCCTTCTGCCAGAATAGCACCCCCCCAAGATGCTGGGGGACGTGCTTCCACACCCCCACCAGGCTTCTCACTGACGTCGCTCTCCTGGCGAGGCTGTCCCTGCCACCGCGTCCTCCTCTCCTGGTCTAATGACCGTCACGGCCACCTGCTGCCCAGTGTGACGGGGTCTCACCCCACTCCCGAGGATGACCCACGGTGGCCACACGTTCTGGTGCCCAGTGCTCAGGTGTCTCGGACTGGACGGAGGAGAGGGCAGGCTGGCGTGAGACCCAGGACCGGCGGGGCTGGGGGACGTGGGGCCGGCTGGGGGCGGCCTGGGTCCGGACCTGTGTTTGTGAGCAAACAAGCTCGAGGGCGGCTTCCGGACCCACCCTACCGGCTTCGTGAGGGGCCACAGCTCAGCCCCTCTGATGGTCAGAAGCGCACAGCAAGGCCTCCTGGGTTCTGGTCTGGGAGTTAGGGGCACAGCGGGCTGCCTTCCACCTGAGGAGCTCCCGGAAATGCCGGGGAGCGTGGAGTGGGGGGAGGCACAGGGAGAGGGGCTGAGCGAGACCCAGGCCACTGTCCTCGGCCTCCAGTGCCTTTTAGAAGGCCCTGCTCCTCCCCCGGCTCAGGGTGCGTGTGTGGAGGGGGCTCCGTGGGGCACTTTCCCATAGTGGCTAGTGGCCAACTCTGGTCTGGATGTAGCGGCAGCCCCCAGGACCCCTGGGCTCCGCCTCCCCATCTGCAGGACAGCACGAACAGGTTGGGGGCCGAGCTGGGGGAGCCGAGGAGGGTCTATTGCCACCGGGGCATTTGGGGGTACTGCCGGTGGTCACACAGGGTGCTGTTGACCTTCTGCACCGGGGCCAAGAGGCCGAACCTCCCCTGCGAGAGGGCCCCTCCTTGGTCACAGAGGCTGGTGCCCAAAATGCCCCCGGGGTGGGAGGTCTGTGCTCTGCCAGGTCAGCCACTGCGGCCTGTGGGGAGAGCCGGCTGCCTGGGCCCCGCCCCCGCCCAAGGGGGCTGGACCTGCGCCCTGGGAACTCGGTGCATTTGCTCTGTCTGGAGCGACAGCCATGCGCCCCACACGGCTCTGGAGCACGCAAGGGAGACCGAGGCCAGGGTCGCTCAGCGGGGGGAGGAAGGGGACCCCAGACCCTCACCCCGCTCCTCCCATCTCCTATCCCTGCAGAAGGTGGGCGGCCCTGATAGCTGGTCCCCAGGGAGCTGAGCGCCCCCACAGGTGCAGCACCTGCTGCCTGGGTCGAACCTGGGGCCACTCCTGGGCCCCGCAGCTCCCTCCGGGGCCTCAGTTTCCCCATCGTGTGTGTGTGTGTGTGTGTGTGTGTGTGTGTGTGTGTGTGTGCTGGGCGTTATCCCAGAGCCAGAGGCAGGGCGGCGGCTTTATCACAAACATCAGGTGAGACCGTACGGGGGGCGGGGAGGCACACGACGCACTCAGTGACCTCATGGGAGGAGCCCCGAGGGCGTCCCTCAGGAGGGAGTGACCAACGGAGCACTGGGGAGCCAGCACAGGGCAGGGGTCAGGCGCCACTGTGGGCCTGGGAGTGATTTCTAATCACGACTCATCGTTGGGGGAGCCTGGGGGAGCCGTTTCTGCTCCAAGACCCTCGATTCCCTCTTTGTGAGATCACAAGTGCCTCTCAGGTGTTTGGGGACAGAATGACAGTGGCCAGCGAGGGCCTGGTGGTGTGAGGCCCGCAGAGCTCCAGGCTAAGGGCGGGGCTGTTCGTACCGGCTGACAGGCGCGAGGGGTCTTCTCCTTGGCTGAAGACCGAGCCCAGAGGCGGGCCGGCCTGGCCACCCTCCCAAGCCTGCCCTTTGCAGGAGGGGCCTGTCACCAGAGGCTGTGAAGACGACCGAGGGCCGGCTCTGCAGCCGCCCCGCCCTGCGACTTGCCACGCTCGAAGCCATGATTTACTCCACGCAGCGAGGGGCCCGCTCGTCCCCGCAGTAATGAGGTGGCTCACAGGGGCAGGCAGCCACGCCGCTGGCATCCGCAGGGTGTCAGCGGGCCCTCGCCGGCCCGTCCATCACCCTCCCTCCCCCCCAGGCTGAGCAGCGTTTTGCTGAGCTGGCCGGACAGAGCCTCATCTGTCACTCGGAACAGACACCAAGAGCCCAGCTCCGCCTCACGTGGGAGGCATCTCTGAAGGGCGGGAGGAGGAGGTCGGCGGGGGCCCAGGGCCCACGGGGGACAGACTCAGCCAGGGCTTTCTCTGGTGGGAGTGGGGCCACCCTGGGCGTGAGCTTTATTGTCTGGTGAACGGGCACCGCCTCGGCCCATTTTGCAGATGAGAAAACAGAGGGGCGGGGGGCAAAATGGCCCGTCCAAGTCACATCCCGCCAAGAGGCCCACAGGCTTGGGAGGCAGGTCTGCTCAGGGCAGGAAGGGCAGAGAGAGGGACCGTGGTGACCCTCCCATAGGAGCTGGCGCCCAGGCCTGCACCTGGATCTCCGTTGTCACATCTGCGGTGGCGGCTGGCGAGGGGCTGGGAGGGTGTCCCTCCAAGTGGGCGAAAATATCTATTTACCCAGCCATGGAGCAATTTCCGAGGCAAGTCGCTAACTAGCTAAGTGCCTGTCCTGTCTCCGTGGGTGTGACGAGAAAGCCACTCTGCAGGGGCGAGTTTAGGCAGCAGCCGGCACTCGGCCAGAGGGCCGTCAGCGCAGCTGGGGACCTGGGGTGTGGCCCGGTCGGCGGAGTCCGCCCGGCAGTCCACCCCGAGGCTCGCTTCCTGGAGGACTGGCGCTGCCGGCGACGTGGGCAGGGATTTGGGGGCCCTGGGCTCTGGACCCTGCCCCGGGTTGTCCTGACACTTCATCAGAGGGCTGAGGAGGGGGTCTTGGTCCAGCCAGTTCCGGGGGGGCTCTCAGCGGGCACACTCTGGGCTGTGCAGGGGAAGATGTTGGCGTTTGCCCTGTGGTCTCAGGCAGAGGGGCACACAGAGCCGTTTCATGGGGTCTTCACAGAGGGGTGCACAGAGCTGGTGTGAGCCCACGGGGGTGCCAGCGAGGGGACGGCCTGACACTCAGCCTTTGCCCCCACCAATGCTGACCACGGTGGGAGCCGCAGGGCCGGCGGGGCGCGGGCCGGGGCCAGCCGGGCACCGAGGGGCGGGCTCCTCCAGCCGGGAGATGACCTTCGGCAGGGGCTGCTGCTCCCATTCACCCTGAAAGAAAGGCACCACAAGGTAAACTGAGGCCCGGGGCGGGGGGAAATGGGGCTCTGCCCCCCGCCACTATTCCCAACAACCTCTTGGGGCCTCGTCCTCAAACTCACCCTCCCCCACCCCCGAGGCTGGTTAGGGGTCCTGCCCGGGAGGCTGTCCCGGCCCCTTCCGCTCCCTGCCCGCCTTCCACCCAGACGAAGCTGGCAGAACCCGCCGGGGCAGGCAGAAGTGTTAGCCATCTCCACCCCGGGCGGCATGAAACGCCATGGTGGCCGTCACATCTGTCCCTTGCCACCCTCCGGAGCCTTCAACAGCGTCCCCCTGCGGCTCCCAGACACAGGTCCCAGGGAGTCTGCAGAGCCATCCCTCCCCACCCCCACCCCCTCAGCTCTGGGCCCAGCCGAGTCGCTGCTGCATCCTGGGGTCCCTGACAAGGAGGGAAGCGGCTCTGGGTGTCAGACGGTTGGGTGTCTCGCTGGCCCCTCCCGCCCGCCCGCTTTATTTTTAGGCTCTGGGGGAGGGTGCTGGCACCCTGCTCACAGCACCCTGGTGAGTCCCGTGACGTGATGTCGCCAGAGATGGGCTCTGTCAGTCTCTCCCCTCTGCGGGGCCGTCCGTCTGTCTGTCTGTCTGTCTGGGCAGGCTGTCTCCACCGGTCTCTCTCAGGGTTTCGTGTGAGCGCTCCTTGCCAGCTCCTTGGAGGGGGCCCTGTCCCCCGGCCTGGTGGTCCTCTGGGACCTGGGGCCAGTGTGCTCCCAGAGGGGCAGGCAGCTGCAGGATCTGCCACTGGCGGTCCAGGGCTGGGGCTGGGGCTCTGGCTGCAGGGGGCCGTGCACGCCCCCACCCCCGCGCTGGTGGCCCACCTGGAAGCGCACGGCGGAGGACTTGTTGCAGTGCATGGAGATGGGGGCGAAGCCGTACAGGGCCCTGAGCATGTCCCTGCTGAAGGAGTTCCAGGGCACCTCGGCGAACTGCCTGGGGACCGAGGCCTGGGGGCAGGTGCAGATCTCCTCGCTGTTGAACCTGGCAGGTGAGGAGCAACGGCGGTCTGGTCCGTGCGCCCAGGAGGACAGCCCGGCAGGCGCAAGGGCACCTGCAGCAGACGGGCCGGGGTCCCAAGAGTGCCCCCCGGGCGCTGGCTCCGCAGGCATTGCCTGCACTGGGCCTCCTCACAGGCGGGCTCAGCCCCGTGTCCACGCCCTGGTGGCTGACGGCCTCGCTCTGCCACCTTGGAGGGCAGCAGAGGCGTGTTCGCCCTGCTCCTGGAGCCCGGCCCGGATGCCTCGCCTCCCCCTCGCAGGGCCTGGGGCCTCCCTGTCGGCCCCCCCGCCCCCGCCGTGTCCAGGCAGAGAGCACAGGCGGGCACGCTCCCCGCAGCCGTCACCTGTTCACCAGGTGGAAGTACTTCTGCAGGAAGCCGGGGTCCACCGCGCTCTTGCAGAGCTCCAGCTCCGTCTGGGGGTAGTAGTGGACGTAGTTGACGCACATCTCCTCCTGGATGCCCAGGCCGCCCTGCGGGGCGGGGAGGGTGTCAGCTCCGGCCCGCCGCCGCGCCGCCGCCAGCCTGGGCATTCCGTTCGGTCCCGCGCTCGCCCGCTGACTCATTCATTCATTCATTCCTCCATTCAAGACTGGAGCCTAGTGGGCCCTGCTCTCTCTGCGGCCACACTGTGTGTGGAATGCTGGGGTGGGGGGCACCCCACCCTCAGCAACCCGCACTCTCTAGGCGAGGGAACAGACGTCCTCTTGGAAGGGTGGGCAGCCCCCGGCCAGAAGCCCCAGGGACGGTGGCGGGGAGAAGTCAGGGCCACTCACCACGGTGGCCAGCTTCCTGTCCTCTGTGCTGTAGGTGCAGGAAGTGACCAGCAAGTCCCCCTGCGGAGCCAGCAGACCCCCGTCAGCACCCGCCCACCCGCGGCAGAGGTGCCCTGGGCCTGTCCCTGCCGGCTGCCGTGTGGGCGGAGCCCAGCAGAGGCTTCTGAGCCCCTGTACCTGAGAGTCGGACACTGAGTGTCCCCAGGGAGGGACAACGCCTGGCTTCTGTGGGCCCTCAGTACACAGCCAGGCCCGGGCAGGCCGGCTGGTGGCTCTGCAGACGGATTGGCCACGTCACAGCCCTCAGTGACCTTGGGCAAGTCCTGAGCGGCCCGGGCGCCCCTTCTGCCTGATCTCAAGTGCCACTGACGACTTCCACACCCTCATCTCCCACTAAAGCTTTGGGGCTTTGTGGCCGGCTGATCAGGCGGACAGACGCATGTCACCCCTACCCCTCCCAGGGACCCTCACACAGTGACCCAACAGCCCAGCCCTGCCCACAGGGATGTGGGGGAAACCCTTGCACAGCGCCCCCCGCCCCCCACAGCTTAGCTGTCTGCGCCCCCGCCCGGGGAATGGCCCTCCGGCCCTTTCCACCTCTGTAGCCCGACTGGATACTCACTGGGTACACTGACACCATCCTCTTCAGCATGCGGATCTCCTGGGTGGGCAGGGCGAGGGTGAGGGAGGGGGGACTTCAGATGGCCGCAGAGCCGGCTCTAGGAACCTCCCCCGTCCTCTGGGGCTGTCGGTCTGTCCCAGCCCCTTGGGGGAGCCAGGACTGGCTATAATTGGCTTTTGCCAGAAGGGATTGGAACGAGAAGGTGGGTCCCCAGACGGATGGGGCCACTGGGCTGCCTGGGTCCCCCAGGTCCTGTAGTCGTCCAGACAATGGGTCCCTCCCTGGGAGTAAATGCCCAGGGGAAGGGCTGGCCACCGTGCACCCCGCCAGGTGTCCGGGCCTTGGCCAGGACAGGGTTCTGGGACAGGGGCGTTTCCAGGGCTGTTGGGAGAGAGGTCAGACAGGCCCGGGGCGGGGGGCAGGCAGGCCCCTACCTGAAAGTGAGGGCTGTAGTGATTGTCCCTGTTCACGATGACCCTCTCCTGGCCATCCCGGGCCAGCACCGTGACCACCTTCCTCCCCGTCAGGTGGGTGTGCAGCTGAGAGGCGAAGATGTGTATCCCGGAGGAGGGCAGGGCCTGCAGGGCGGGGGGCACCCTGAGCGCTGCGCTCCACTGGCTGCCGGAACTGACCACGGGCCACGGGGCAGCGGTGGCTCCCCCCAGACACCTGCATTCCTGGGCCTCGTCGGTCTACCCATCCGTTGAATCCGTGTCAGAAAAACTTGACCAGAAACGACCCCCTGTTGGAAGAGCCCACCCTCCCTGACAGTGGCTCCCAGAGACTGGCTGGGGCTCAGTCGGCTTCCCCTCCGTCCCCTCTGGAGCCCCAAGGGATCAACAGCTCACTCTGCGTTCCGTGTCCAGGCTGCAAGCCGAGGGGTGGCCGGCAGGTGCCACCCCTCCCAGCTCGGTGGCTCACACCCGGGGAGCATGCGTGCCGAGTGCCACCTGGCCGACATGCATGCTGGGCGGTCACTCAGAGGAGCACAGGCCAGGGCAGGAGGGAGTTCCCGGAGGGCTATGAAACATCGCCCAGTGACGGAAAACAAACCAGAGCCGGCGGAGACAAACGGCCCACCACGAAAGCTGGACGGAGCCGCGGAGCTGATACAGAAAGACCCTCAAGCATGAGCAACAGCAGAGAGGTTCACGTTGAACGGTGGGGAAATGGTCCCCCGCCCCAGGTGATGGGGAAAATAGTTAAAGTATGGATAAGGGGTGGGTGGGTGGGTAAGTCTGGGGCGGGTGCCCTCCGTGCTGCGTGGGAATGACATCTTAGGGCGCGAGGGTGCTTTGTCCAAGGTAACGCTGACGTCCTGTGTAGCAGCTGTGTGGCTGGCAGTCCCCCCACTGAGACGTCTCCCCAAGCACATGAGCACTGCCTTGCAGCCCTCTGCCCAGCAGTGACCGTGGGCAGCGCCCGGGCGCCGACCCCTGCGGACAGCTCGGCCAGTCCGGGACTCCGGGAGGTACTCGGGCAGCCGGGGCAACAAGATTTGGGGGTCACGCCCACTCCTCCGGGAGCTGGGCCCCCCACTGTGCTCTGGGTGTTGGTGCCCACCCGCCTCTGCACGGGCCCTGGGTGGCTCTGAGAACCAGGCTCCCCAGTGCTCTGTGCCCCAGGCAGTGCGCTGGCCTCGGCCGACGTCCACAGTGAGAACTGGGCTGGGCTCCGCGAGGCAGCGGTTAAAAGGCAAGTCCGGGGTCACACACCTACCACTCAGTTTGTTTTTAAACACCTCGCATGCGAGGGCGTGAGGACGAAGAAGAGGAGTCTGGGACACAGACAAGTGTCCCCCTGGGGAGGAGGGAGAGAGCGCTGGGCGGGCCGTGGCCGCCAGTGGCACTGCCCGAGTTTGTGGTGGGTATTGCAGATCCAGCCTGCCCCTTGGAATAGACTCGTTACCGAACACCACGCTGGGTGTCAGGAGGACTGGGCCACCCCGCAGGGGGAGCGGGCGCCCAGGTCGCTGGTGCTCAGTGCGCATGCGTGCACCCGCCCGTGGGCGGTGCCTGGACCCACTGGGGCGACGGGGCTGGTGGGGGAGCCGCAGCCGCCGAGGTGTCCTTCCTCGGCCCCAGCTGCAGCGGGGAACCAACCGGGGCAGGGCGGCACTCACCAGCTGTGTGCACTTGTCGGTGCAGTAGCCGGTGAGGACGAACGCCGTCTCCCCAGGGGGGATGGCCATCACGGGCGTGTACACCAGGCCCAGCTCCAGGATGCCCGCGTCGAAGCGCCGCCGCGTGGCCGTGTAGTGCAGGCGGATGCCGGAGGAGTCCATCCGGTCTGGGGGCGGGGCGGAGGTGAGCAAAGGCCTCCCCTGGCCCTGGGCGTGCTGGCCCCAGCTGGCGGGCAGGAGGCGGCGGGGCACCCCTGCTCCACCATGGACACCACGTGGTGTCCACTGACTGTCCACCTTCAGGCACCAGGGACCCAGCCACTGTCGCCAGTGGCCCCAGCTCACTTCCCGCCCCAAGCTGCAGCCAGGACACGTGCCCCAGAGCCACCCGTGGTTTGGCGCTCTCAGTTCCTGGCTGGTGACCACAGTGGGACTTGTCACCTTGCTGACCTAAGGGTGGGTACCGTAAACTGGAGGGCGAGATCGCCACGCTGTGACCCACACAGGGCCCGAGGCCCTGCGTCTGGGGAGCAAACTCAGCAGCACGGACACCACCCCGCTGCACCCGGGGCCAGGCCCACCGCCGAGCCATCCTGCATGCTGCCCCGGACACCCTTCCCCCAGGGGCTGGTGCCACTGTGAGGGGCAGTCCTGGGGGCCGTGAGCAGCCCCGGCTCACCATCCCGACCCGAGAACCTGTTTGCTCACTCAGGGCGCATGTGGGCTCTGCTGGGACGTGTTTCGAGGAGCAGGGAGGAAACTCACAAGCAGAAACGCCCCGAACTGAACTAGGGGACAACTGACCCCGAGGACAGTGCTGGGGGCGCTGCCTCCATCAGCCAGGCCGCTGGAGGGTGGGTGCTGGGCAGGGACCACGGTGGCCAGACGATGGCCTCCTTCCTACCCTCAGCCAGGTGCTGGGTCCCCACCCAGGCTGTCTTGGGAGGGCCAAGCCACGGGGGGCGGGTGCAGGTGGGTCCCCCAGTTGGGGGGGAGGGGCAGCTACTGGTCCAAAAAGCCTCACTGAGGGTGGACTTCTGGGGGTGGCGGCACATGGGACCACTGCAGCCTGAAGGACTGCACCCAGCAGTCCTTCTCCCCACCCAGAGTCCTTGAACTGGTGCTCAGCGCGCTCAGACGCAGGCCTGCCGCTCTGGCTGTCCTGCCCTGTGAGCAGGGGCGTTGGGGGAGGGCAGGCGGCCGAGTTCACTCAGGCCGACCCAACACCTCAGGGGCTCCTTGCAGCTTTGGGGTCAGACCAACCCCACTAGGCTGAAGTGTGGGCTCGGTCATGGCCAGACTTCCTGGCTCCAAGAGGCCCTGCTCACTTTGTGGGGTTCCTTCCCTCTGGGCCTTCATTTTCCCACCTGCAAAGTGGGCACACAGAAACCTCTACTGCCTTTCCCAGGGGCTGGCACCTGGCACAGTGCCGTGTCCACAGCGCTGCACCAGCCTGGCGAGGCCCTGCCCGGAAAGCCCACTGCCGTCAGGGAGATGGATAGTGAACCAGAGACATGAGAGGGACGCATGCCGTGATGGGCCACAGAGGACACGAGACTTCCGGGAGGACCCCGGAGCTGACTGGAAGCCCCGATTGTCTTCCTGACTTGGCACAGTGCGTGGAAGGGTCTTGGGGGAGGACAGAGGCGGGCCCTGCGAGGTGGCCCTCGGACTGCCCTACCTTGGATCATCAGCGGGTTGTGGTAGTGAACTTCCAAGCGGAGAAACCTGGAGGATCCGGCACCCCCAAAAGCAAGGCCAGCTTCCTCTGGGTAGTAAAAGGGCTGCAGGAGGGGGAACGGGGCATCAGGTTCCGCAGCCCCAACTGGCAGAGCGGGTGTCTGAGGGCGTCCCGGATGGCAACCCCCAGGACGGCGGGGACGGAGCCATGGGGCGGGTGTTGGTGAGGCGGCTCCCCTGCTGGTGGGCAGCCCGTCCTCGGTGCCCACGGGGCTCCTGGACTCAGGTCGGGGGGTGCTGGTGCCCCTCGGCCCGCTGACCGCCTGAGCCCCTGCCGGCCTCCCCCAGAGGGCGGTGCACCTGGGGGAAACTGAGGGAAGCCCTGAGGACACAGCCCAGGGAACCGGCCTGCCACCTGCCGGTCTGGGACCACCATGTGCGCAGCCCCCCGCCAAGTCCGGCCGGGGCATGAGCTCAGTCCTGTGAAGGACATAGACCTGGGGCTTCTGCATTACTACAGAAAAACAATAAAGGCTAGAAAAAGTCTCCACGGTTCCATGGCTCAAAAGTGGAGGAATGCAGGCAGCTGGCGGGACCTGGGACTCGGGCCCTCTCGGGTGGCCTCTCAAACAGGGCAGTGGGGGACACAGAGGGTGGAGGACGGGGCCCCCCAAGGCTGCAGGGGAGGCCGGGGCGACGCACCTTGGCGCCCAGGGCCCAGGCGGCCAGCACGTGGCGGCAGTGCTCGAGCGGGTCGGACTTCATCCTGGTGTTGCAGGGCCCGCTGAGGTTGGGGCTCTGGAACCCCGCCGTGCACTGGAAGACCTCCATGTGATGCACCAGGGCCTCGTTGCCCTTGGTGACGATGGGCTCGTACTGTTGGGGGCGGGGGCACACTGACTCCAGGGCTCCCTGCCCCCTGGAGGGCCTGGCCCCACGCCCCTGCCCTGGGCCTCGGCTTGCCCATCTGTGCAATGGGAGTGTTAGGGCAGGAGATTTCCAGGTGTGCTTTTGGGACTCCGGACTTTGGGGGCGGCGCCTCCCACCTGGAACCGGGTAGAATCTTCCAGAAGCCCGTGAAGAGCCACAGAGGGAAGGAAATGAGGGCCATTTCCTGATGGGATGGGGGTGGGAAAGGACTGTCCTTGTGTGAATGTGGCAGGCAGTGGCTGGACAAGGGCACAGAGGCCGCCTGAGGCTGGGCCTGAGCTCGGGGACCAGGCGCAGCTGTGTGCCCAGCTGGCCACTGCCCGCTGGGCGCTGCTGGGCACGGCTGGGCGCTTGCTTACACGGCCTCTCTGAGCTTCAAGCCCTTTCCTGGGAACCGGGATGCTGGTGCCCAGGGCTGTGTGGGCGAGACAGCAGTGATGGAGCAGGGACCCAGGACCACCGCCCCAGACCAGGGGAGAAGTGGACAGGACTGACCCACCTCCAGGGTGGGGTTTAGGGTAATCAAGTTCTGAGTTAAGGTGCTTGTTAATGAAGGGGGAGGTGGCCAGACAGACAGACAGCCCCAGGGGTAGTTGTGGAACTCAAGATACCAGTTGCCTTTGGTCCAGGCTGGGATGCTGGGGCGCAGAGGCCCCGGGGAGGGCGGAGCCACAAGGTCAGCTCACACTCACGCTGCAGGAAGGTCGGGGTGCCTGGGGGCAGGGCGCCGGGCTCAACCAGGACCACGGACAGCGCCCAGGGGCTGCGGACCCCTGCGTACATACCATGACGATGTGGTGCCGGGAGAAGCCCTCGGGAAGCTCTGTCAAGTGGCACCAGTACGTGGTGTTCTCGGGCACGAGCACGTTGAGAACTCGGATCTCCATGGTGCTCGTGTCTGCGGGCAGGGCCGGTGCTGAGATGTTGGGCTTCAGCAGCTGGACCCTCTGCAGCCCTGTGCGCAGGCCCGAGGCGTTGACGGCCTCCAGCGAACGGAGCGGCTCCTCCAGGAGCCCATACACCAGGTGGACTGTGTCATCCTGCCACCGAGACAGTGCGCTGTGCTCGCCCACTGGGCCCCGCCCACCCTTGCCTGGCAGGTGGTGGGGGCGGCGTGCCTGGCGCGGAATCTGCAGAGCTACTGGGACCACAAGGCTGACCCCAGCCCCTCCGGAGTTGGGCGGGGCGGACGTGGAAAGTTCTGGTCATGGCCAAGCCGGAGGTTGCAGGCAGACTCAAGGGGCCGCGGGGGGTAGGGGATGGCTTTCTCTTATGCTGCTGGGAATGCAAACCCAGACTCCCATGCGGGAGGTGGCGTGGGGCATGCATGACGGTTTACCGGCCGGTGTGCGTGGGTTCATACACGTGGTGGCAGCTAACTGCTCTCCAAGTTCATGGCCACGTAAACCCAGGAGCCCCAGGAGCCCCTCCCTGCCAGGGGTGCCCAGAGTGGCAGCCCTGGAGGCACTGAGCTACACGTACAAGGGCCCTGGAGGACCCTGTGCCAAGTTCTCTGGAGGGTCCCCTGCCTGCCCCGCCTCTTCCTCAGGGGCAGGGGTCCAGAGGTCAGGGACTCTGGTGGCCTGCACTAGGGACAGCCCTGGTCGCCAGCTTGGCCCCCAGGGGGCCAGGGCCCCGCGCACTTCCCCTTGGGCCTCCCCTTCCTCGTCTGGCGTACCACTGGCCTGTGCCACAGGCACACCGCGATGGTGACAAAAGATCACGGTGGCAAAGTGCACTAGAGGGTTAAAGGGTTTTGTCTCTGGGGGTCGTTTTCCCCCAACGGGAGTCCCGGAGCAGCAGGAGAAGCCTGTGGGACCCACAGTGGCTGGGAATGCCTAGACAGAGCTGGGCGGGCCTTCCAGGTCGTCCCACCCCCTCCGCACTTCACAGACAGGTAAACTGAGGCCAGAGGAGGGCGGGACCCGCCCGGGGCCTCACAGCACCTGGGCAGCAGGGCCAGGGTGGGGAACCGGGTCTCCAGGGATCTTTCCAGAGTTCCACCCGGAGGTGAGGACCCAGGAAGAGAGAGTGTTCGGGGTGAGATCACTCAGGTCCCAGTGTGCGGGGCTGGGGAGGGGGGAGGGCCCAGTCTGGAAGCAGGTCCCCTGTGTGTCCTGCGGGGGGAGAGGCCAACAGCAGAGGAGGCCGCCCCCTGCCTCTGGGCACCCCCGACTTTCTGTCCCTGCTCCCGGGCCCAGGGACGCCGCCCTGGGTGCAAGAGTGCCCCCCGCAGCCCATGCCATTCTAGGCTCAGTGACCACCCACCTCGATGAGGTAGTCGTGGGGGTCGCAGGTGCTGAAGGGCCTCTTGAAGAGCAGGGACAGGCCCCCCGGGGTCCTCTGGGCCTGCAGCAGCTGGTAGTCCTGCTGCGTGTCCAGGTGAATCTGTCCCTTCTGGTCACTCCAGGCGTCCTGCAGAGCCAAGAGAGGGCTCGGAGCACCAAGAGCCGAGTGAGGTTTGAGCACAAGGTCACGGCCATAGGACATGTGGCTCCACAGGACACACCGGCCCGGAGGGTCCGGGGTTCTGGTCGGGGCGGGGGCTCACTCCCCCGTTCTGGGTCTGCCTGGAGACAGCACCACCTGCCCCACGCCCTCAGCCACCCCGAAGCAGGGCCGGGGAGGGGCTTTAGCTACGGCTCCCACTGGTCTGTGGGTGGAAGGGTCGTGAGGGTGCCTGGAGCCGTGGAGGGGCCCATGGGGAGGGAGGTTGTGCTGGGGAAAGGGAAGGAGAGACCGCCGGGTGCGAAAGGGCGCGCTCAGCTCAGCCCCCCCGCCCGGCACTCCCACAGCCCCGGAGCGAGACCGCCGCCCATGCTGCGTCTGAAGCATCCTGCTCCCCTCGCCCTGGGCTGGTCCCAGCTGGGCTTGGAGAGGGTACACTGAGGCCCAGAGAGGAACCAAACTTAATGCACTCTCCCAGGGTGTTAAGCAGTGGATGACCCCACCCTCCGCTACCCACAGCGGCTTCCCTCCCACGGGGGGGGGGGGCCCTGAGGTCCACCGGAGGGGCGGCTGCAAGGGAGGGGCGGCTGCAAGGGACCAGCCCTCCGCAGCAAGCAGGCCTGGGTTCCCGCCCAGGAACAGCCCGGTCCTGGGCTTGCTCCCAGGGCTGAAGCGTGTTTCCTTCATCTCCTCGAGAAGGAAGAAGTCTGCCCAAGGCTCTGCAGACGCACAGGTTCCCCAGAGGGGAGTGGTTAGGCTGGGGGCCGAGCCGGTTTGCCGAAGGACCAACTTTACACGGAGGCAGAACGTTCGCCTGTAATACTTGAGTTGGAAATCTAGAATGTGTTTGTTGAACATATGGCTTAAGGCAGAAAAACAAGCCTGACATCTGTTTGCATAGGAATTTGTTGTGCAAATTAACCGCGGTGCGCCTGTGCCGGCGGGGAGTCACCGGCTCTTTTCTCTGCTGCCGAGGGAACCTCGCCGACCGCTCGGAGGGGGCCGCCCAGGTCTCTCGGGGCCGAGGGCCCCTGGGCCGCCGAGCCCTTGAGTGCGGGTGGGCAGGGCAGCCCAGGGCGGCCAGAGCAAAGGGCTGGTGCTCCTGCAGCCCCGCCCTCACCTGGGACCCGGCAGGGCGCGGCCCTGTGGTGTCCTCGCTGGGATCCGAGGGAACGCTGTCGGGTGCCACGTCAGCTCCCGTCAACTCAGAAAACCCCAAAGAACCGCAGGGCCACACTCTGCCCACCCTTCCGAGGCGGACACAGAGGCCGGCGTCGGGCCGGCCACCTGGGTCAGCTCCGCTCCGGTGAGCCGCCCCCCCCCCCCGGCTGAACGGTGGGAGAGCCGCTCAGCTCACCGATCAGGAGAGGACCGGCTTCGGGACAACTAGCCTTCCTGTGTCTGTCTTTGTGGAGAGTTGGGGTTTGTGCTCAGAGAGGCCCCAGTGGCCAGGCTCGTCTCGGGGGGCGGGGGGCTGGGGCGGGTGCAGGGCCCCAGCGATGTGTGGGTGTGAAATGAAGTCTCCGCCCTTTACAGCAGGAGTGGGTGGGTTTGACGGCCAGGGACCCAGAACTCCGCTCCTGGGGTTCCTTCCACACCGGGGCGTCTGCTCCTGCTCCGTTCACCTGCGCAGGCAAAACTCAGCCACACGTGTGAGCACAAGGCCCGCGGGGAGTGTGGGGCCCACAGCCACGGGGGCGGCGGTGGGGCCGTGAGCATCCACATGGCCTGTGTGTCCTTCCCACGGCCCTGGGGCACGCGGGGCGAGTTTGGGGTGTGCCGCCCGGGACCACGGACGGCATCTCTGTCATTTCCTCCTCCAACTGGCATCCCCAAGACACCCAAGCTTGGGACACAAGGAGGATGTAGGCGGAAGGCCGGCCGAGGGGGCTGGGTGGGGGCTGCTCGGAGCGGAGGGAAGACTCACCCCGAAATAGGCCTTGTCCCCGTCAGTCCAGACCACCACCAGGTCGGCGTTCTCCAGCTCGCCGCGGTCCGACATCCCGAACAGCACCCCGGCCCCCGGCTCCCGCACCAGGAGCTGGAAATGGACCATCTCCTGCACGTAGCTGACGTTCCAGAAAAGCTCTAGGGTCCCCTCAGGGTCCAGGGGGATGTGGTAGGGCCAGGGGCTCCCGGGGGGCACCGAGCCCTGCAGCGTGGCCACCAGGATGACCAGGAAGACGGCCACCGCCGTGCCGTACATGGAGGCGGCCTCGCGAGCGCTGGGGCTGGGCACCTGCATGGTGGGGTGAGCGCCACCGCCCCACCGGGCCATTTATGTCCCAGCCCTTGGCTGGGGGGGGCCCAGCCTGTCTCAGTAATCACATTTGTCTGGCAGAAAATCCAATTGTCCCAGCGACCCTCCCACCAGCTCTCGCCCCAGGCCAAAGGCCCTGCCTGCTTCGCTCTCTTAATCGGCACTAATGGCTCATGGGCCTTGTCAGCGGGAATTGAAGCGGACTGGCTGTGTCCCCTCAGAACTGTCCCAGAAGAGCTGTCGGAAGGTGGCCCCCGCCCCTGCAGCCAGAAAGCCAGTCAGGCGCCCCCCGGGCAGGCAGGGGGCTGACCACCAGGCGGGCTGGCCCATCCCGTCCCCCCACAGCCGACGGGGTGGGCCCCGTGCTGTCCCATTCGCGGGGATGGGCTGACGGAGACCCCACGCTTATCTCCCAGGTGACCAGTGAGCCAGGAGACCCGGCTGCGGTGGGCCTGGCCCAGGGGGCCGTCTCTGCAGTGCCAGAGGGTGGCCCTCTTTCAGACTAAAAATAAAAGACGACTCCCAAATAGGCCCTGTGTTTAGACACTCTCCCCCTGGCCTGCTGCTCCCCCGCAGGCTCCAGCTGGTGCCGTGGCTGCTGCAGAAGGAGTGGGAGCCGTGCGGGTGGGGGGGGGCTGCGGGGTGCATTTCTGGGCAGCAGAGTCGGCGATGCTTTGCTAAGGGGTGCAGTGTAGGGTGTCTTGCTGGCGGGGGACAGACAGGGAACAGGGGTGTGAGCAGCAGGTCTGCTTCCCTGTGTCCATGGCTCCGAAACCCTTAACATCATCTAGACAAGAGTGGGCCTGGTCTGAATTTGGATCCTCCCAGGGCAGCCGTCCCGTTGCCCTGGTTCTTCTCACACCTCAGGGCCTTCCCATAGCTGGGTCCTATGGCCCTGAGAGCCTTGGGCGCCAGGCCCACCGCCTCACTCCTTCTCTGGGAAGAGTGGACTCGACACATGCCACTTTCAGGAAGTCCTCCGTGATTGCCTCCTGCTCTGACCTCGGTCCCCTCCCCTCAGGCACCTGACTTCCTTCCGTCTTCCCTTCTTTCATTCCTTCCTCCCTCCCTCCCCACCCTCCATTCTTCCTCTTCCTGTCACTCTCTCTGGAGCGACTAAGAAAGAACCCAACCACAGGGACACAGTGATGTCACCAGCTGGCGCCCAACTTTAAGCCCTCAAACGTAGGCAATGACGCACTGTGAGCAGGCAGCGCCGGCACTGGTTCTGCTCTGGTTTGGTGCCTTAGGGAGGAGAGACTGTGTCTTTGTGTGACAGTGAACTCTGGAGAAAGTTCCAGCCCTCACATGGCCCCGTGGTAGTGCCCCCTGCCGCCCGAGGCCTGGCAGTCCAGCAGAGCCAGACCGGGCAGAAGACAGACAGACAGAAGGAGCTGAAAGCCACCGGCCCGCCCCCCGGACCACATGCAGAGGGGTGTGCGCGTCCCCAGCCATGGCGAGCGCTGGTGTGTGAATCGGGGGTCGTGGGGCTGTCCCCAGTGTCTGTGCGGCACAGGGTGGGGCTGTCTGTCCCGTCCGTTGCCGGGGCCCCGCTGCCAGCACAGTGGTGCCGGGTGAGAGGCTGGTGGTGGTGAGAGTGGGAGAGGGGCAGTGGCAGCCCGGGCACCGCCAGGGGTCGGCTAGGGCGGGAGGAGCGGTGGGAGGGCCCTGCCCGGCGCCGCAGGTTGGCTTCCTGGAGGACGTGAGGGGCTCCGGTGGAGCCGGGCAGGACGGCCGTCCCGCGGCATCGGGGAGGATCCCAGAGGCTTTTAGGCAGAGTGGCCCAGGTTGGGCGGGTCCAGGTCTCATTCTTCAGATTCTTTCCAGAACCTCGTCCTCCGTGCCACAAGTGGGCACCTGGACATGCGGGTGCGGCCTGACGCCCCGTTCTGCGTTGCCCTGGAGGTCGGCGCTCCAGGTTCGGACCCTGGGGGCCCCGGTGGGCGACTTGGGAAGCGCTTTCCCACCTGGAGCCTGAGCAGGTGGACGGCACCAGGTGCTTGTCCGTCGGCCCCTCCAGGCCAGGTTCTGGGGCCTGAGAGCTGGGGGCCCGGGACCACGCTGGACCCTGGCGGGGGGGGGGAGGTGTGGCCTTGCTGGGGCAGCTGGGTGCACCTGGCCTCTGCCCGGCTCCAGACGTGGGGTCACCAGTCCCTCGGGGAGCGGGAGACCCCCTCGGCTGCCACATCCCGTGGACACAGATGCAGTTCTGCCAGATGCAAGGCTGCCCCCTCTCCAGCTGTAAGGAGGCCGGGCTTGCTCTGCGGGGACCAAACGGATTGGGCCGGTTTCAGAAGTGGCAGTTTCCCAGGACTGGGAGGGAGCGGGGAGGGAAGGTGCGGCCAGCCTTCCGGCTGCTCTGTTGGTGCCCCCGCCCACACTGGCCTTGGCTGTGGGCCTTTGCCCATCCGCAGAGGCGGGGCTGATGCCTTGCAGAGGTCAGGCTGTGTGGTCCAGGGGGTCCTGCGGCTCCACACGCCACTCTTCGCAATAACGGGTGTTTAGAAACAAGTGCTGTGGCCCCAGGGACCGGGGCGGCACTCAGCTGTCCTCCTGCCCTGTCCGGTCCAGTGAGACACCTGCGGGCCCCTCCGTGGGAGCCCTGGGGTGCGGGAGCTCTGTCCCTTCCCCCTCCAGCTCTGCTCTGGCGCTGGCCGCCCTGCCATGGAGCTGAGGCGGGGATCCGGCTGGGGGCACTGGTTTGCCACCACCGGTCAGGAAACAGGGCACACGGCTCCGCCCCGCTCTCCCCCGGGCACTCCGACACCTGACCTCCTTGGAGCCATTTTTGGCGTTTTAATAAGCCCTTTGCTCCTCCGTGTCCTCAAGGCACTGTCCTCTTCTCCTTGCTGCCGCCCCCATTGCCTCTGGCACATGAGGCCCAACCCCCCAGTTCCCAGCACATTGGGGGTCTGCGACCAGAGCCCGAGGGCACCCCAGCAACCACGGGCTGTGACCTCACCCAGGGGACGCTTGTGTTGGCAACAACCCAGGGACCAGGAGAGACGGCCCTCCCTGAGGGTGGCCCTCTCTCGTCCCTGCCTCCCCCTGAGCACCGTTGAAGACCACCTCCCGGGGCATCTCCCACCTGAGCGGGTTCTGCCTGAGGGCGAGTCCCACCCTCTGCCCTGTGTCTGTGCAGGGTCCCGAGGTTAGGAACACCCAGCTGAGCCTTGAGAGGCCCGGTGTCCGGGGCGCCGAGGGAGGGCCAGGACCTGAGGGCGGACACTCGGCCCCCAGGGCACCCCAGGGCCGCCTCAGCGCCCCCTGACTGCCCTCCTGGCTGCTGGGCCGGAGCCCCCTGGCCTTGGCGCTCTGTGCCAAGCCTGAGAAGTCGCCGGCCCCAGGGGCTCCTCGTCGCACCCGGTGCAGTTGCTGTTGGAGGGCGGACACGCCCTCCACAGGTGACAGGAAAACCAGGTCCCCAGAGTCCCATCCTTAAAACACGGCCGCTAGCGCCCGCTCGGCACACGGACGTTCAGAATTGCTTCTCACCGCTGGGAAAAATTAACTTCGTCACTCGGTAGCTTTTTGTTTATTACCTAACAAAATTTACCACATTAACCTTTTCTAAGCACACGGCTCAGCAGCCTTAGGGACAGTCACCCTGCTGTGCAGCCGCCACCACCGTCCTTTCCAGGAGGGTCCCTCTTCCCACACGGATGCCCAGTCCCCGTGAGACCCCGCCCCCGCCCCTCCTCCAGCCCCGGCCCCACCGCGGACCCCCGTCTCTGCGGGTCTGCCTCCCTGGGTCCTTGGGACCTCGCAGGATTTGCCTTTGGGCACTGGCTTCTCCCCTCGGCACGGCATCCCCCAGGCCCATCCGTGCGGTGGGGGCCGTGTGGGGATTTCCCTCCCGTCCAGGGCTGACCGAGGTTCCCCCGAGGGCACGGACCACTCGAGGTTCACCTCGCCCGCCTGCGAGGGGCCCGTGCTCTCGCCGAGGTGAGCATCGCGAGCGAATGTCTGCTCCCGGCCCAGCTTTCAGTTCTGTGGGGTTCGTGCCCGGATGTGGAGCTGCAGCCCCTGTGGCCCGTGTGTGGCTCCTGAGGAGCCCTGCCCGTACCGCTGTCCCCGCTGTCCACTGCTGTCCCCGAGGCGCGCACACCTGTGGGCCCTGCCCCGCCGTGCGCTGCTCCGGGTCACCAACCGGCTCCCTGTTGGTGAATGTTGGGGTGGTTTTCCTTTTCAGTTTCAACTCGTGGCCGCAGGGAGCAATGGCTGCCTTCGCACGCTTGTGCCCATGATTCGTGGGGATGAAGCCCCGAAGCAGACCGGTGGGGCCGGGGCAGGCGGGGGTGCCGGCCGAGGCCGTGCTCCAAGTTCGCAGGGCCTCCGAGGTGCGGGACCCTCCGGCAGTCCAGAACCCGCCGGGACAGCGCGGCCTCCCCAGAGCGAGTCCGCCCTCCCAGGCACCCGGGCTCTGGCCTCGCCGACGGCCACACTCGCTGTCGGACCGGAGACTGGCCCCCAGCTGCGCTCAGATGCGTCACATCCGTGCACACAAATCCAATCACGCCGAGCACTGCGCCATCTGCTCTGCACAGAGGCAGCTTCGAAGGCAAGCAGGTCTCTGTGCCCCGGGGGCTTCCGACATTGGCGCGGCAGCAGGGAGCAGTGGCCTGCACACTCTGATCCGATTGTCCCCCCGCTGATCAAATTACAGAGAGGCTCACCGATAACACGCCGGGGGACAGGCGCGTTAGAGAGCCCGGCACCGAGGCCATCTGCCGCACGTAGGAGGTGGGGGGGGGGGCGGGGGCGGCCCCCTCTCTGGGCAGCGCTTCGTCAATACCCAGACTGGGCGTCTGGGGAAGGCTGGCCTTGAGCCAAGTGTCACAGCCCAACGCCTGTCTCCTGCCTGGCCCCCAGGTCTGCATCTGAGGTCCCCCGGCATGGCAGGGCCGCGGAGGCCACTGTGTGTGGTCGTGCTCAGGGTCCCGGGCCCTTTCCAGGGGCCTGCAGGGGTCACATCTCGTGGTGTCCCCAGCGTCTCTCTTGTCTGGTCTGGGTGACATCG